ATCCAAGCTAAACAGATATCCATTTATCATTACTTTTAATTGAAGCCTTTAAATTCCTCTACTTTGTAATAATAGAAAACCATAAACAATCATAATATGCCTACACCTACAATTTATTAACTTTTTCCACTATCATGCAATTTATTTTGAAGTGCAAAAGCTGTAAGTTGCCGACCAAAAACCACGAGCCACAAAAATTATTAATTATAGCTCGGCAAGCTTATCGAAATCAGCATGCAAACAGCAAGTAATGAGTGGAGCGGTGGCGGGGGAATTATTGCAGCGTGAAAACACATACTTTGCGGTAAACTTCTTTTTAATTTCGATGTGAAGTGAAGGGTCCGCAGCAAAAATCAATTAAAATTAAGTGCTCTGTGCCGTTGGTCATGCACAGAGCATATGTCTATATAATAAACTTGATGCGAACGCTTAATATGCCGGGCACAACGCTCATGGAGTGGGGCATCAATATTTCATGCCTCGCTGGGACAGAGCAGCGACATTATCGAGAGAGCGTGGAAAAACCGCCCAAAAGATAGTAACAAAATAAGGAAAAGAAAATGGCAAAAAATGAGCAAGCGACCAGCTAAAAGGGAAAATGGAAGAGGAAAAATAAAAGGACGGAAAGTCCGACACTCGGTGGCGACATCGAAATCGACAACGACATCGAAGCTCGGCGCCGCTTGCCATTCATTCATTGTGTGGTCGAGGGGCAGATATATATATATATATCTATATATACTTTCGACGTCCAATTCACCATTGATAAAGTCAGGAGCAGAAGCAGGAACAGAAGGCAGGACCCTGAACCAAAATGTGAATTATTGGCAAGCATTCGCTCGGGCAGTTTTTTATTTCGCTTTTCATTTTATAGCACGGCAAATACGAATGCGTCGTCAATGTGTGGGGTTATGAATTATTGATTGGGCGATAGTCCTGCCTGACAGTCACTCTACTTAGCAAGTCGCATGCCAAAGATGAATATTCATTCTAATGAAGGCCATTGATTGGATGGCTGCAATCACAATCAGCAACACCGAAAGAAACCAAAGCAAAAAGGACCCTTAAAATGGTTGTTGTTCTATCACAGAATTAAAAATGAATAATTTTTATAGAAGTCAAATACCATACCCGATAATATATTATAATAGTTTTAATCTAACAGGGTAAAGCCATTTTATATATCGTGCTCAAAGTAATTTGGTAAAATGTCACGAGGATAGATTAATATCGTTTTAATCTGGGTGAATTTTAAATGGCAGAGAGTACTTAAGTATTCAAAAATAACTTTTTAATGATCCGTTTCTCCCATATTTGTTTTAAAGTGCGCTTAAAGCTTTGTGAGTATTTCCCACTATCCAAGTTGGCTTTGCAGCATTCACAACTTTAACAAGAAGCAAGAAAAAAGGAGGCTCCTCTTTGCCCAATCACTTTCATAAACTGAACTGGCATATTTCATTCGGTTCACTGTGGCGGCGTCGAATAAATTCCGACCCCGTCTATTCATATTTTATGAGTGCGAAAGGAGCAGTGGAGTATCCAGTGCTCCATAATACTAACGAATGTGTACGGGTCCCCGGGCTTCCGTAATTCTCCTGGAATTGATTCGAAGCTGGTGAAACAAACACACCGTCCGCATCCGCGTCCGCTTCCCTTTCAACAGGCTCCTTTAGAATTTCGCTACAAGCCGCAGATACATGGTAGTTACATCGTAGTACAAGTTGTACTTGTGGCCATGTTCGAGCAAACTTTGCTTAACTTCTGGCCCTCATAATAGAGAAGAGGCAAGCGGGCCAAACAAACAGGACTTGGATGTGTGTGTTTGTTTGCCCGAGTGTCTCTGGCAAACTTTCACTGCGCGACAGGGACAGTGACCTCATATGACAATAATTCGACGCATTTGTGTCACATCCTCGTGCACACCAGAATCCCCCTTTCCGTCGCCTTTCCCGCCGTCGGAAAAGCGCAAACGTCGACGATTGCGAGGACTGAGTATGAAAAAGATAGGGACAGTTATCTCCGCCTGACCCCTTGCCTGGAGCCTAGACAATTGCACAGACCATTGTTCGAGCCACAGTTCCTGGCACCACCCATCTTTCCACCTAACACACCAACCCACCCACCACCCACTCGACCCACCGACCTCTCCCATTTGGACGTGCTGCTACACTTCCGCCAGCAGTTAAGTGCGACATATTTGCCTGGCTAATTTCGCACACAGACCGCCGCAGGACTTTCGGTTCAAAGTCCTGCGCCTGCACCGAAATTTCCTACAGAGAAAAATAAATCACAATCTAGAATAAAAAATCTTATACTGTGTAATATTTCTTGTATGCCAATCTTTGTGATTTAAGGTACATTTATTCAAACATAGTAATGTTCCCCTTTATATTACAATATTAAAATCAATGATTTAATTATAATTTTTTAAGACTGGCCAGAATTTTTTTTTAAATTCTCGACACAAAAATAAAGTTAATAGTACATAAATACCCGAAATTTGCCAACAAAGGTTTCCAAACATTTCAGAAAACAAGCGGAAATGTTCTTCAAATTGTTTAGCCTTACTAGCTTAACTTATTTAAGTTTTTTTTCTCTAGTAAAAAAATTGTGCTTACTTTCTCCCACAACCCAAATATGAGCTCATGTATCGTTTTTTTGGCTTACTCCATGTGTGTGACATCATTCGCTCGTCTCGGCTTCCCAATTCGGACAGGAAAACCGCTTGGAAATCCTTTGCTCCGCTTCACCAAGAACAAATCGTGTTTATGGCTTTAGCAGCTTTGTCTTTCAATAGGCAAAAATGGTCCGCCTTCGTTTTTATGTTTGTCTATAAAAACTGCGTATGGGAAAATAAAAGCCAGGGGCGGGCCTCACTTAACTGCCATCCGGTTGTGGTTAAGAAGTCCTCTCCTGTCGTTGGCACTGCTATGAAATTCCTTTTTTGGAAAAGCGAATTGTTTGGCTAGAACTGAAAGCGGTTTAGCAATCTTCAACTGTGAAATTCTGTTTGAAACCTCAACTTTATTTCCGCTCAATTTTCCATGCTCTTGCTTTTATCTAGCTGGCCAAATGAAGCAGTTTTCTCTAATAGAAAATGCAAATCGAATGGAAAGTAGTTTCGTGCTTGCCCCGAAACAAAGTTCTAAAGTAGCTGAAGCGGAATGGAGGAAATTCTTTAAATTCTTGGGTGAAGATCTTATCACTGAAAAGATACAATTTGGCAAACCAAATTAAAAGTTTGTTGAATATCTTACTCTCAATAAATAAATCAATTATAATGTATAGATGTTTAATGTTAGTAAGAACAATTCTTATTTTGGGAGAGCCAAAATCGATAGATAATAACAACTCCCAACACGAAATTTGACCTTTATTGGAAGGCCAGAACACATCGGAGACTCCCTGGTCTGTTAGCGATTAGAATCTGATGCTAAATGTGTGCACGTGTGACACATGGGCAAAGTCGCAGGGTCCCAGGACACACTGATTGCCCGGTAATAAAGCACCTAGTCTACGACTCGATTGCCCCATTTGTCTGCGAAAGGGAATATGTGGCAATACCCAAATCAATCCGCACATTAATCAAGAACCCGAGATTAATTAACTGCCCTGCCCTGCTTCACTGTGAAGTGCTCCTTTGTGGAGTGTTGTGAATGAATGTCAAACATAATGACACTCATACGCACTGTGGTGCGACAGTTGACACCGTGTATCGGATGCCCGCGTCCTGTACTTCAGGGACTTCCCGCCGTTGTTTGCTTTGTACACAGGAAGAAAAACTTATTAATTAGGGCATAATGTAAAGAGCACATGGGCTAATAATCAAATAAAATTGTTTTGTTATGTTTATCAAATGAAAAAGATACTCAACACTCATGATATTTAAACTACCATGATCGTACTCTTACCGAACTACAAGATATTTTACTGGGAATAATTTATTAGAAATTTAAAGGACTTCACTTTGTAAGTCTAAGGAATTTAATAATGTTGTTAAAGGATCATTTTTAAACTTTTAAGCTCTTTTCAGCTTAGAAATACTAAGCAGTTAAGACATTCGTTGTGCTCAATGTCTACGTTCTTTTTCTTTGTGATGTGACGTGTTTTCTAGAGATGATTTTTTGGCCAACCTTATTGACACTTTCTCGCTGTGCAGCCTGCACCCACCCCCTTTGACACCCCCTTTTTGGCGCTTAATGAAGCGTAAACGGTAATTGACAGCTGAAAGCAAAGCTCAGGAGCTGCAGGTGACCTAAAATATTCGACGGTTCGACAGGCTTTGGAGGTGGGTTCATTAGAAATTCGCAGTCGAGCGTGGCGGGCTGTGTCAGGATGTGTCAGGATGTGTGTTTGGGCCAGGATGGCGTTACACTGGGCCGGTGCTCGTATCATTCCATGCCAGTTAACAAACACAGAGGGCACTCTCGTCTTGTCTGACTACAATGGCAGCGAGTGGTGGAGCAGGTGGTTCGTTCTCGAGTCCCTGTGTGTGGCATCAACATCGTCGAAGGTGTCATAAATTAGGTTTGTCACCTGTACACACACGTATGTACGTTCGTTTCTGCGGAGGGGAAGGTCCTTGTTTTTAGAACACACTCACTCACTGGCTCTCTCTCCTCGTGCGGGGATCTAAAAACCAGCATCGCTCCATCTCTGTTGCGCATTTCCCCAGGCAAGAAACACAGAAGCTTTGGAAAGCTTCGTTCCTGAAGTTCCCGTTAGCCAGGACCAATGTTTCGCGGAGTGCGCAAGGTCAGTGCAAGCTGGGAAAGGTGAAAGTTGAATCTCGGCTGCACCTGCAACCTGCAGCACGGAGAGAAAAAAGCGGCCGAAAAGCTCTTCGATCCACGATGCCAGCCAGCGAACTGGCAACACGGCCGCCAACACAACTTGGTGATAACAAAGTCGAGAGCGGGCGAGAGCTTTCCCTCGGTCCTGCTGGCAAGGATATAAAAGGATGCTGGCTGCTGGCGCACTTTCAGTTGGATTCCGAGCGAGGCAGTGGCAGCAGTGGCACTAGAAGAAGCAACAGAAGGAGCAGCAGCAGGAGCTGGAGCAGCAGAGAAACCAGGAGCGCCCGCAACCCACCGCATCGATGGGAAATGGACACAGAGCTGGGAAAACTAGCTCAGCCTAGCTCAGTGCGTTTGTGTGTGTGTATGTGTGCGCGAACCCGTGACAGTTGAAGAAGCAGAAGCAGCAGCAGTGGCAGTGGCAGTAGCAGTGTATGTGTGTGTCCGTCACTGAAGAAGAAAAGGGAAAAGAACCGAGCTAGTGCGATGCTGAAGGACTAGGGCTAAGCGTCGAGGTTGCGAGTGTCGTGAAGAGGGCCGTCAATCTGATTGACCAGCAGGAGGAGCAGCCCGCAACAGCCGTCGCCCTGGCGTCGTTTTGCGAGCGCGGCTTGATGCCCGATTCGATGATGGACATGGAGCACAGGGACCACCAGCTGCACCGCCAGCCGCAGCAGTCGCACCACCATCAGCCATCCGCTCGCCTGGCGGCCAGCACGAGCACCTTTGCCCCGCCAGCGCCGGCGGCCAGCCAGACGGACGATCGCGAGCGGGAGAGGGAGCGGGATAGGGACCACCATCTGCACCACCATCAGTCCAACCACAATGTGGCCTCCTCGCCGCTGCCCGTGAACGCCTCCATTCAGTTGCACCAACAGCAGCAACAGCAGCAGCAGCAGCAACAACAAACGCTGACGCAAATGCAGCAACCGCAGTTGAGGGAACGCGACCACCATCAGCAGCAACAGCAGCAGCAGCAGCAGCAGATGATGCAGCAACCACCGCCGCAGCAGCAGCAGATGCAGCAGCAGCAGCAGCAACTGCCGCACAGCCATCACGCCCTCATGCAGCAGTCGCAGCAGCAGCAGGCCATTCATCGAGCCGAGGCGCGAAGAGGTGAGCTCTTGTTGCAGATGCGGCGCTTGTAGCCAGTGTGCACTGTTGCTAAGCGGGCCGAACTTGTTGCTTGGTCTCCGAGGAGCCCGACCGCTTTCAAATTTGCATTCGCATCACCAAAATTCGATTAGAGACGCCACAAATCACAACTCGGGTGTTTTACTTTTTTCTTGTATCCATTGTCCTGTATCCTTAATCGGGTTAGGTGTACATAAATGTCTAGAACGAACGTACAATTGGCAGCCATTTCACATGCATGCTAATCGCTTCATTAGGTCCTGACAGGAGGACTCCTCTGACGGAGGAGTGTACAGTGTACAGTCCACCCGCTCTCACATTCGCCATGCAAAATTCAATCAGAAATTGCTTTAACTTATACCAAGAGCACCACAACACAGCAACACCACACCAGCAATAACAGCAACAACAACAGCAGCAACAACAGCAGCAGCAGCAACATCATCAGTAGAGCGAACAGCAGCAACATCAAGCTGACCTATTTCCCGAGCAAAGCTTTTTGCCAGGGGCTGCCGCTCTGACGTATGCGTTGAAAGGGGGCGGTGGGTTGGTGGAGCGGTGGCGCGGGGGAGTGGGTGCACGAGCAGTGGGCTGAGTGGGTTGAGTGGGTTAAGTGGGTGGCAGCCGGACAGCCGTCGGCTGGTCATTAAAAAATTATGACCACACATTGTTCTCTGAGATTGTACATTAAGGTAAATTCAGCTCTTCTTTTTCTGTTTCGTGCCCACACAAACAGAATAACAGTATCTAAATAACCCGCAGTCAAAAGTAGTCCAAATAGTGCTTAAATAACTCTTACCGATCTTATCTTTGGCAGATAGCATATTAATTTTACCATTCTTCAGTTTGTTTTATTAAAATGCCAGAAAACAGGTATTAATAAGTCAAACGTCAAGAAATTTGATGTCTAAATGGGGAACTAGATTTCGTTGATTTAAAGTTTTCTCAAAACATATATCATATATCATATATAGATAGCTATATCTCCCCATTTATTCCCAATATTGTGTATCTAGGAAGTGATGACCCAATTACCGCGCATATGGGATACATGCTTGGGTAAGAAAGCCATTTGGCTATCATAGCCAACAGTTTATAGTACCTTTTCTGATTCACCTCTTCAATTCTCACGTGCACATACAACTAAATGAAGCATATGAAAATCTTCGTCAAAAAGTGCATAAATAAATATTACCGATCGTTTGCAGACCACCAAAGTGACAGCTTAAAACTGCCAGCAGGCAGAAACTAATAGGTTAAAAGTCAAGACATCAGCTGTATAAATGGGTTATGTTGGGTTAAAGCTTCTAAAACGTTGCAATACCTATCTCTTCAAATAATCCCCATTTTGTGTATCCGGAATGCGATGACCTATTTATTGAGCATAAGCATACACACTCGGGTAAGGACGTCATTTGCTTACCAGTTTCTAGTTTTTAATACCTTTGCTTGACCCAGAAAAGAAGATCTACCTAAGGTAAAACAAGAATCAACTTTATATCGAAATCAGCAAAGAGAGATATCTTATTTATTTATTTATTTTACACTGTATGCCTATGTTTAAACTTAGGCTAAAGGGAAGGGGAAAGCCATAGCTGCTGGGGCGAAAGATATCTTAATTTAAAAACTAAACGGTAAACGATTTGCTTATTTTAGTATTATTACACAAAACATATCATAACTTTTTTCACCTTTTTTATGGTTAGCTGAACATTCTAAATTTAGCTGTAGATTTTTGTAGATAAGTTCCTGCCAATTGAATGAAGCCCACTTAAAACCTAGCTTAAGGTGATACAATTAGGGCCAGAAAACCATTCGCCTAATTACAATTCCAACAGCTACACTTTTTCCGGCTGCTCTTCCATCTTTTTATCATTTTTATGGAAGCAATTCAGCTATAAATCTATTAGGTCTGCGGTTAGCAGCCTCGGGCGTTACACACAAATCCAGAAAGCCTTTCATCTCGGCGCAAAACTCTCGGATTTCGCCTGGCACATTCAAATCGCAATTATTCTGAAATCAATTTCAATAAAAGTTTGCTGCGGTGCGACGGGAGTTCCAAGGAGCGGGAGACGTAAGGGGAGAATGCCCAGAATGTTTGGCAGCTTGGTGGCTTAGCCAGGCTCCAGGATTCTCGCCCATCAAAGTTTTCCTTTTTTCCAGTGTCGCTTTTCATGTTTTGTCTGTGTCTGTGTGGGTGTGTGATGGTGTGGCGGTGTGTGCGTGTGGCGGCAGAGTGAGTCGGTGGGTGAGAGCTCGTTAAAAACACTTTGCTGACGTCGCCGTTGCTGGGTGTTGGCATTGTGGCAACTTTTCAATGAACTGTAATTGAAACTGAAATGCAAACTGTGCCGTGCCGCTAATTGCCAGCAGCTGCAGCCTGAAACTGAAAACTGAAAACAGAAAACTGGAAGCGGATAAATGGTAACTGGTAACCAGAAACCAAAAACCAGAAGGCAAACAAACTGCAAGAGCAGCGCGTAAACAGCATTTAAATGTGTGGCATGAATAATTTATGATTTTTCTTGGTTCGTAGTTAGTTTTTTTTTCATTTCGTAGTTCGTTCAAGCATGCTATTAACCCGAAAGATATACAAAAACTGCATGGCATGGAGTAGCTTAGTAGATCCCCGGATCCGCCGAGCACTCGAATATACGGAAACACAAGAACCAGCTCCCAGAAAAAAATAAACACACCAATTGGCTAGCTGCTGATCGAGCCGAAAAGCATTCCCCCGATTAATTTCTCTTGTTGTTCGATTTATCGTATTCTTGCAGATACACAAGCAAAACATTCACATGGATTTCTCTATTGTAAGTCGCACCAATTTGGACAATGCCCAATAAAAAACAGAAAAAGATCCCCACATCCTACAGCCAAAATCAAACAGAAAAAAAAAAATGAAACACAAACATGAAACACGAAAGCTACTTTTTAACCTGTTACAAAACTATACTCTATTTTCTATGTGTAACTCTATCTGACTATGTATAACTTGCTACTATCTTCGAGTATTTACTGAGACATTTCCTTTGATATATGCACACTCCTTGTTTGCTTGTATTTCGATTTCCGTCTCCGCCGTTTTTTCGGTGAGCGCACCTAAGTATGCTACAGATTTTTTCAAGCTCCCCAAGGGAACAACATTTTGACTTTTACGAGGCGACGAGGGCCCCATCAAAATTATGGCGCGTCTCAAGTATCAATAAGCGAAATGGGCGACTTGTTGCCCCCAAAAAAAAAAATCTCAATCTCGCACAAACTTCAATTTTTGGCTAAACTTTAAGTAAAACGAGTGAATTGTTATGGCCCATTGCAGTGAATGTCCGTCCGTCTCTCCATTTATCTATCGCCGTGTGTATATGTGGCTTATGGTTTTCTCTGTTTGTTGCGTCTCCATTCAGTGACTGGAAGACAACACGGAACCGAAGGAGGAGCAAACAAACAGCCGCACGTGATATGCAGCCAAGAAACAGGCGATGGGTTTGGCTAATTGGGGAAACTTCATCGAGCCATCCAGCCATCGAGCCATCGAACTGTCAATTGTCAAAAGGCAGCGGGTTGAATCAGGCCCAGCACTAGTTGAACTTGGTAATTCCCCCTTTGGGAAAGTGAACTTTGTGGGCCTGCTTTATATGGATCCCAGGCCAATTATTCAAGAGTTCACGCTACACAAAGTTCAAGTGAAGTTGCCAGGTCTGCCATTTTTTCCGACTAAACTTATGTACTTGATCGATAATCCTTTTCTTAATGCTGCGGTTTGGTTTACTTTTTCATTGGTGACACCTGTGTTGTTTAAGTACTTTAATTTGCTGTACAGATTCTGCACTAAATAAATAAATAAAGAAAAAAAAAAAAAAAAAAAAAAAAATTTCGGTAATGAAGAATGCCCTTTTTTTTTCTCAGCATTTTTCCGACACTTTGTCTGCGATTTTTGTATGCGCCGTGCGGAGGTCTTTCGTTTAAGTATATTTTCTTATTTTCTTGATGCCCAGCGCATTATTCATGTAACAGTCTTGGAGTCCTGGCTTTTGCTCCCCGAGCAAGCCGGGGAAAGCGAGGAGAATACAAAACGAATTTATAGCTTAAGCCTTAATTTGCAGCATTTGCTTTGAGCACTTGATACCATCTTGCCATGCTACATGTATTTATAATAAATTTCTCGTTTTCTCGCCACGTTCTCTCGCAGCGGACGAGGAAATCAGCGATAAGGCATCAACATGCGGAAAATTGCTTATATTTCTCTCCGTGGCTCTTGTGATAATGACGCTGCCCTTCAGTCTTTTCGTTTGCTTCAAGGTAAGCGTTGCACTAACTTATATACATTTTTAATGGTCCTCTAATTACATTGCCTTTGAATTATTAATTGGAAGCTTGTGTTTCCACTTTCAGGGAATCGAAAAATATAAAGTGTAGAATAGATAACTTTAGTCATTAGTAAACGATTCGTGTATTTATTTTTACAAACTATCAGAAAACGATAAATCCTATACTCAATAACAGAAATACAACATAATAACTTTAGAAACATAAATACACATTTTTTTTATCAAATTAATGACCTAGTTTTTTTGTTTGAATAAACTTTTTGTTCTACTTAAGCGGATTTATTTAAATGTTAAGCCTCTTACGGCTCAGAAAAGTAAATCACAAATAAAAAAACTCAAACTAAGCTGATTAGGCTGAACCCTTTTTTAAACATTAATAAATTAACATTTCCGCTGTTTCTCGAAACCATTTTATTGTAGCAGAATTAAAGTTTAAACTTAAGGATTTTTAGGCACCTATATAATCTAAGGCTTCTACCGATTAAAAGATGTTATTACTCCCAGGGTACTTCGAACTTGTCACCCATGCATTTCTTCAAGTTTCAATTTCATTTCACGAACATTTCACTTACGTGCCACATTTTGCAGGTGGTGCAGGAGTACGAGCGAGCGGTTATCTTCCGTTTGGGTCGCCTCATGCAGGGCGGTGCCAAGGGCCCAGGTGAGTACCCACTGCAGTTTCCTCAGGTGAAGGAGTGAAGGGGGCGGGAATGGAGGTGAGCGGTGCTAACGATTCTATGCAAATTTTAGTGCCGCTCGCTGGCGACAAGAATTTGTGTTAATTGCTGCACTTGCTCCAAATTAGCGACTCTGGGACGAGCCTCTGTCCGTGTGCTCTCCTTTTGTGCTCCCATTCCGAGGGAGGAAGAGATTAGGCAAATCGAGGCGAACTTCTCCCACAGTCGTGACACTAGTTTGCATAATTTTGAAAAGTGTTCGCTGGCCACTATAGTTTTCTAGCCCAAGGGGAAACACTGAAAGCGCAGGTGCTTTTTTATGTTCGTAATGCAATTTTGAAGGAAAAATTTAGAAGAATGGTTGGGAAATTAAATTTAATAATTTTTATATACAAAAATATTTTCCCTATGCACTAATTTTTATTTATTTTTTAATTTTTACTTAATACCAGTTTAAATAAAACTAGCAAATGTTTCCTCAAAGAAGAGATATATTTCAAACGAAAAATATAGTTTTATTGGATAGTAAATATCTAAAAGAAAGTCTACTTTTATTTTTTATTGCATTTTAGGGGTAAAATCCTTGCTAGCCAGTGTAGTTCTCGCTGTATCTCATAACGACCGTTTAAGCCATCTCAACCATAATTACAGGTATCTTCTTCATCCTGCCCTGCATCGATTCGTATGCCCGCGTGGACTTGCGTACCCGCACCTACGACGTGCCACCGCAGGAGGTAAGTTCCGGTTACAGTTTTCCGGATGGGAAACTAAAAAGCAGTTGCAACCTGCAGTGGCAGCCACAGCTGCTGCCTTCTTCGATGTTGTTGTTGTTGTTTTTATTAACCAGAAGTGGAAATCTTTTTAGTTTATGTACTTCAAAAAGCCCCCCAAAACCCAAGCCCAACCCACACACACACTCACACTCACACATGAGACAACTTAAAACGATGCCAAGTAAAGCAGAAACCAATTAAACTTTTAGCTTTTGCCACAAGTTATTCCAGCCGACACGTTTGTTAACAAGAGAAATATATATATTTTTTGGTTGCATTTTCTCGTTTTGTGTTTTGACCAAAAGTAGAGGATACGACACACAGACACACACCCATACACACATACATACATGAGCTAGCAAAAAAAAAGATACAGATTTTGGCCTGCTGGCGGAATCCGCAAGAGAAGCTCGGCTGAACACAGCCGGAATCTGAGTTGTTGTGTGTGGATTCTGCTGACAGGACACCCACACACATGGATACAAAAAGCCACACAAACACCGAAACAGCCACACAAACACACACACACAGATACAGATTCAGATACAAATACAGATACAGACACAAGGATACAGGACGCGCAACTGGAGCGTGAATTACGCATACGCAACGTTGTCTTTCTGTTTCTTCGTATCTTGTTCTTTGACTTTTCCCCTCTCGTTCTCGTTGTCGTCGCATGTCACGGTGTTTACTTTTGGTTTCTACTCTTTCTTGTGAAATTTCTTTTCGGTTTTCGTTTTCTTCCTGCTGCAGCCCCTCAATCTGTGTGTTTTCCTGCTATCTCTATGTGTACACTCTATATCTAAATGTCTATGGCTATCTGTATCTATTAACTTATCTATCTCCCATCTTCCCAACCAGCTAAGAAACCCACTTTCTAACCACCACTACAATCGACAAAAAACAGCATCATCAACAACAAAGTGAAATAAACCCATTTCTGTTAGCCACACTTATAGTTTATTTAATTTTTTCTACCACTTCGAGTGGCTGCAGACCATTTTGTTTTTATATGAAAATGGAAGGAAAGTGGTTCTAACACCCACAACGCAACCATTCACACATACACACACATTGCTCTCTCTACTCTCTATCGTTGTTGTTGTTGTTGGTAGTCTTGTTGTATCCTATATATATATATATATATACATTTTAAATACTTTGTATGGTACTTGTTGTCGTATTGAAGTTGAACAATGTTGCAGAATTTTTATTATTATTGCCATTGGTGTGCACTCAACCACACTGCCACAACTCACACACACACACATTCAGCGGAAGAACTCACCTTTTCCTCACACACACACATGCATACCTGTACACACAGATACCGGAGTCTCATCAAGATACGCGCTCCATTTATTTTTGGGAATTTTTCATCCTTTAGTTCGCTTACTTGATCTTTTATCGCAATCCAACCCAACCCAACCCCACACATTTCTCATTTTTACCTGTGCATATTTCATTGTTCGCTTGGCAGACTTAAATGAAATATGGAGGAGCGAAAAATGCGAGGCTAATGTGAATTTAAGATAGAAATAATGGTAACTGGTTCGATTTCAATCCGCTGGCTTTTCGACCATCTTGCTGACGTCACGTGGAGCAAACTCACACTCATATACAAAAGACCCATACACCAAAACCAAAATACCCCGATTTTGTTATTTTTCCTTTACTTTTTTTTTGCATATCCACCAGCATTTTCGTGTTCCATTTGAGTTTGTTCGGTTTCGGTTTTTTGTGTAAATCGCATGAAGGCCACTGCAGAAAGGATAAAAAATGGCGAACAAAAAGAGAAAAAAAAACCGAAAAATCCCCAAAAGCCATCTCGTTGACGTTGTTATTATTCACAAACACCAGAAGACACATACAAACCCAGATTTACATACACATTCACCCGAAAATCTCCCTTTTAAGTGCATACGAAATGCGATTTTTGCGCATCATTTCGTTTCACTTTCATTTTGGTTTTCTTTTCATTTTGAATCGTATCGTAATCGTTATCGTAATCGTATTTAGTTTTCGATGTCTTTTGAACATTATCTTCAAGTTATTACAATTTGCATAGTTAAAGCTCTGATTGTCTCCTGCAATTAGGAATGAAAAACCCAAAAAAAAAAATACCAAAAAAAAAAATTAAAAACAAAAAATAATATCAAAGCAAAGTGCCAGAATGCATATCAACTGAAAATTCTATCTCTCTCTATCTATCTGTCTCGCTCTCTGTGTTCAGCCGAGCACCACATATGCATATGCAAAACGAATTGGTGGGCGGGGGCGGGGCAAAACCACAAAAGAACTGTACGCATTACGCATTGGCTCTCTCTCTCTCACACACGCACACATAACCCCCACTACCTCTATCTCTCTATCTCTCTCTACCTCTATCTCTGCCTCTCTCACTGTCTGTCTCTATCTCTGTCTGTCTAAAAAGAAAACTTGATGAAGAAATGAATGTCAAATGTTTGTTCACTGAACACAGGGTGCTGCACTCACACAATCTTAAGTCCCCAAAACCACCCACACAACGACAGCAAACACCAGAACACTGAAAAAAGAAAAACTTTAGGTCTTGCGTAGCTTAAAATGCAAGTGGAACCCCGTTAAAAACCAAACAGAAACACTGTTAATTGCACACCCTTCCACCAAAATATAATCTGTCTATCTATACCTCTCTCTCTCTCTAACTGTCCACATCTGTCTTGCTCACTCTCCTGCTAAGCAGCCACAAACCGATCTCTCACTGTCTCTCTATCTCTCTCTGTCTAATCTACCTATATGTCTATGTTTCTATCTGACTGTCTATCTTACCCACGCTCTATATAAAACTATATATATACTACCTCTCTCTGTCTCTATATATCTACATATATATTGATTTTGTTTTATGAGCTATGTAAGTTTTGTTTAGCAAAACCATATTTAAGAACCGGAACCAACCAACCATGCGAAACCCTCAAAACAAATCACACAAAAAAAGAAATTACTATCGAAATGCACTTACTTGATAAATCCCCACTCTCCCCCTGTTCGGTTAAGTGTTCAAATAATTTTTGAGAGCATGCTAAATATATATTTCCATAAATGTCTATTCTAAAAAGCTTTCTAACTGTCTTAAACGAAAAAAAAAACCAAAAACAAACAATACCAAAACTGATACGAAATACCAGCCACAGATTGTTCACAAAGTGGGTACAAACTGGAAAACGAAAATATAAAATCAAAATATAAGTAAACCACACAAAACATAACACACACAAAGCACACACAGACATCAAACATTCGCCGTTTAGTTTACACGCTCACTCACACCAAAACAGCTTTTAGTTTCTACAAACATAGTCACCACCACCACCACCCCCAAAGAAAAAAGAAACCACCCCGTCCAAAATGAACAACAACAATTATGTATTGTACAACTAACTAATTAAATCGTTACAATTTGATTTGTTTGAGCACAAGCGAAAGGACGCACCCCTCCCAAAAAAAAAAAAATGCAAGAAAACACATTGTATATATGCGATATATATATCCGCACAGCGAATATACATATATACATATAATGTCGAGTTCATCTATGTGTGTTTTGCGTGGTTTAAGCTGTTAAAAAGTGGTAACTCAACTCCTGCACGCATGCAGGCCAAAAGCCAAAAGCCAGAGCATTAGAGAAAGCTAAAGGCGCCGCCCGCCCGCCAAAACGCGCTAGAATCGTAACTGTAATTGTGATAATATAGTAGCCATATAGTAAACTCAAGTCGAAGTTAGAGCTAGAGCAAGTCCCAGCATCACAGCATCAGCATCAGTAGTTGCCCCATAGACTAGGCCATAGTTTACTATAATAAGCATATCTATTATAAAGATAACAAAGTCCAGAGCTCTAGCTAAAAATAATCAAAAAACCAGTGAAAAAAAGGTTAACCAATATTCTTTCTGTCTAACTCTCTGACTCTTTCCAACTGTCGCTCTCTGTCTCTGTCACTCACTCAGTTGTAGTCGATAGCTAATAAACGATATTTTCAGTTGAGTCCCTTTGCAAAAAAACCAAAAAAAAACCAAACCAAACAAAAATCGTTTCAAATGCTGACTAATTCCCAGCATCAACTGTGCAAATTGTAATAAATAACCTAATTATGTTTTATTGAAAACTCATTAGTTTAGGCGTTACAGTGTATAAACTATCGTTTGGAATTTTCATTTCGTTCACTTCCGATTCCCCTTTTCTATCTCTAACTGTCTGCTCTTGTTTCCATGGTTTCATCACTGATTCCTGAACGTTTGCTCATTCAATTCTGTATTCAGCAAAATGCAATGAACAAGCGCCTTATCCCAGCCCACTCTACACCACTCCACTCCACCTAAAAACACAGTCACTGATAACCACCCACCTGCCACCCACCACCCACCAACCTCCACCCACCGCCCGATCGCCACCCTTTAAAGTACCACCCAACTATTGTTCGAAATAATAAGCCATTGTTCGAGCCAAATTGATTTAGAGCTTTGTCCGTGGACAGGCAGCAGGCTTTGGATGTTCGAAAGGCATTCATAATGAAGTGAATCGTGCATGACTATGCGAAGGTATGCACAGCGAAGGTCCTTGAAACAGCTCAATAGATTGCACACAATGCCCAATCGAATTTCGGATTATTTGTTTTAGCCATCAACTGGTTGTAATATAAGCCAGCTGAAGTATGTGAAGGGCCAAAATAATTGCAAACTAATCTGCAAACTGGAAATCAGAGATTTGAAAGCATTTCCTCAAAGTAATCATACGCACTGTTGTCCCAATTTTCTGACAAAAGCTGAAAAGCCGCCTAAAGGGGAAAATATATATTCAATATAATGCACACAACGCCCAATCGGATTATTTGTTTAAGCTTTTATTTGGTAGTAATAGTAAAATCTGAGTGAAGTGTGTGAACGCAAATTTATCATACGCACTGTTATCCCAGTTTGCAAATAAATTTTATATCAGCCAAAACAACAAAACAACTTTCACAGAATAAACTGAAAAGCAGCTTTTGGGGAAGGTTAGATTAAGACCAATAAACATGGGTTTATGATTGCAATATTGCTCCTTTAACTCAGAAGTTTACCATCTCTTGTATAAAATCTAAGAAATAAATGTGAAAATGCAAGCAGATGCTTTTTTAAAATAATAAAACAAGTTTGATTCCCATTTAAAAATGGCTTTATACAATCACCTCTGCCATAGTAATAAAACTTGCACTCTCGACTTTAAACTTTTTGCCTCTCAGAATGAGGAGAATAAATCATTTTAAATTCAAATACATAACTAGATTTGCAGAAATGTCTCCGGCCCCGTCGCTTGACTTCTCCAGTTGCTGCTCACTTTTCAGTTGATTCACATGCAAAATGCTAGAGATTTGCCTTTTGCCGAAAGTTCGCCCACAAAGGGCAGGGCTGGGAAAACCCTCGAAACTGGCCGAGTGGAAACGATGACACTAAACAACATTGACACCACAGCTTCAGCTTCAGCTTTAGCTTTAGCTTTGTAGCTTTGTAGAGGCCGTAAAAAGCGGTCTAGACTACGCCGAACAATGTTTGGGCAGGTCATAAAATGTGAAGCGCTCCTTCGACGTTGAGGGAGCAACTTTTTACCACTGGAATATGTACTTGTGTGTGCCAGTGCGGGGAGATAGTTTGCCATAAGTTTGGCCAACTTATGCGAGCTGGGCCTTTGGCCGAAGGAGGAGAAAAATAAAAATTTGAGAATTCGATTTGGGCATCATGAACCGAGGCTGACACCATTGGGGCAGGGTCAGAGCGGAATAATCCAATCCCGAGCCCAAAAAATGTGTACATAACCCTGTAACATCTCTCTTTCCCCCAACCCTTTGCCACTCTCTAAAGAATGTAAGACCCTTTCTGCAAACGATTTAATGCCTTCGGTTGTTGACTTTGATTAGCTCTTGAGTTTCCCACTTTTTGGGCTTATAATTTGTGCCGTTTACACGTGTTCTCGTACTCTTATCGTTTTTGCCACCTCCCAAACTCTCTGTACCATAACTTATACACTGTAACCCCCAAGCTGTTGGGTTTGCTCCACGTATCGTTATTGCGCAGATGATCGAATCCCACTTGAGCACATAAAACTTGTGTCGGCAAATTGCTAGGATAACTCTCGCTGCCAACGAACAAAGTTCGCTGAATGCAAAACAATGCGAAAAGACTTTGGGACTTTGGGATATGCACAGGCACACAGATCCACATTCAAATGCAAATCCAAATGCAAATGCAAATGCACAGACACAGATGCAATAATCAAAATGAAAGCACTGCCTTTGTGCGAGCGTGAGTTTGTGTGGCTTTCGGCATTTTTGCGTCCCCGGTCCCCGGTCTGTGGCAAAAGTTTTGCACTCCCTGCACTTAGTTCTATTAGAGAAAGCGACCCGGCCAAGGAGCCAGCCACGTTCAAGTCAAGTGCATTCGCATTATACCACTCTTGGCCATAAAGTGCACAGCAGCCGCCGCAACTGGCCAGCCACTGAAATACAGATACAGTACAGATACAGATACAGATACAAAATGCTTAGCTTATCACCATAGAACCACCCACATGTGTATATATACTCGTGTACGGACTGCGGCTTTCAAAGCGCGTCTATCTGTATATACGCACATATTTTACGTCTGTGAATGTGTTTGTTGGCAACAATAACAAGCGAATAATAAAAATAACTAACAGACCAACTACAACAATGGCAGGAACAATAGAGAAAGCAAAAAGCAATGTCCCCAAACCAAAAAAAAAAAATACCCACTGCATCTTGTAGGTTCTCACAAAGGATAGCGTTACGGTTTCGGTGGATGCAGTGGTTTACTATCGGGTATCAAATGCAACCGTCTCTATCGCGAACGTGGAGAATGCTCACCATTCGACCAGGCTACTGGCACAGACTACTCTACGAAACACAATGGGAACTCGGCATTTGCATGAGATACTCAGCGAGCGTATGACGATTTCCGGCACGATGCAGGTGAGTTCAAACCAGTTGACAGTTGCCAGTTGGCCCGGCCCGCCGACAAGTTCTCTCTCTTCTTTCCCCCAAGAGTCGCGACTCCGTCGGGCTGCTTCCTCTAATTTAGTTAGCATACCGCCACAAAGGGATGTACATAGAAAAATAAATTAGTGACAGGAATTGGCTTACGAAATGGGGAATTATAAAAAAAAGATTTAATCAACACAAAATTAGCTTATACTTTTTGCTTTAACAACGTTTTTTAGTTTAGGTGTGATATTTGTGCTTTTCAAGTTTGGATAGATTCAACGTCCCGCGTTGGGCGCCATTTTAGCCAAACCGCTGAGATATCTATCAAAATTTCCTACCTAAAGTTAACCGAATGAAGTTTAAAGCCCATTTTATCCGGACTAAGATCCCCTATTTTTCTTTGCCTGTAAAAAGGAAACGGGAATATTCACGCAGAATAAATGCAGCCAGGCAGCTACTTGCCAGTTCCTTCTGCTGACAGATGACATTTAAGTCCCTGCTCGTAATTATGCAGCACAAACCTTAAAGTTTGCTGCAAAACTGCGACAGCGAAATATTAATTGCATTATTAAACAGCTGCCAAAGGCTGAGTCTGTCGGAATCCGTGCCTGGCATGAAAATAATCTCGGAGCCAAAGCGTTTTTTCATAGCTACAAATTGAAAAGGCAACGGAGAGGCGGTAAAGTTACGAGCCGCATATCTTAGCAGCTGCCAACTTAACCCAAATTCTATGGCGAGCCCAGGCAACGGGTCGTTTTATTTATTTATTTTCCACGCCATATGAAAAATAGTTCAAAATCAGGCGAAAATCTCGAGCAGCATCAGCGGCAGCCGTTGGTGCACGTCGAAGCGAGCATGTGCAAAATGCCAAGTTGCCAAGTTGCCCCGGCTCCGGCTCCACATCGCCACAGCTTTCACTCCCCTCGACGATGGCAAGTGCTGCATTTTTAGTTTTTCATTTCAAGGATGCTGCCACGACCCACAAACAATGTGCGGAAAAATGCGGCAGGCGATGAAAGGGGAGAGGGTGGGAAATAAAAGCAAAACCGAAACAAAACTGTTAACGACCTGAAAAACGCGTGTAAACAAAAACTAATGTATTTCTACTGCTATTTCTCACACGGCTCATCCACCTCCAACCGACCGAACGTCCAACCAACATCCAAAACAACCAACACACCAACCAACCAACCAACCAACCAACGACTTCACCCACCTCAACCACCTGGCGTCCAATCATAAACAGGTTCAACTCGACGAAGCCACCGATGCCTGGGGCATCAAAGTTGAACGTGTTGAAATGTAAGTAGCACAGCTTTTTTTCTGCCCCCCACACAGCACTTGCAGTGGCAACCTGGAAAAGTTTCTATGTCAAGCTATAAAAGTAATGTTATAAACGTTTCACCTCGCCTAGTCGAAGTTGATATGCTCTAAAGGACATTGTGAGCCTTGCTTTTTAGTGCTACTCAAGGGGTGATTTGGTTAAGGGGAATGGATTTGCTTTAGTGTTCTCCAATTTTATTACTCGTTTCAGGATATTGTAAAGTGGAAATCGGGTTTGCGCCCCAGTTACCTGTTAATCGATTTAAATCGCGATTTTCGAAATTTCCTAGACCAGATGTCGTTTAAAAGCAATGCTCCAATTTTGCTTACACAAAATATAACATTTTGCTAAAAACCTTTTTTTTTATTTACAAGAGAGATAGTAAGAAACACATACCTTTACTTTTATGAGGTTAAGTTATTTTTCATTCAGCATTTACCTCTTTATAATAGCACTTTCTTTTAAAAAGGATGTTGGATGTTCACCCAAATAACTTCACCCTACAATAACGTTATGAAATCAGAGAAGCCCCCTCAGTTTCTGCTGACTAAAGCCTCAAGAGTCCTAAGTAATTCCCAGCTTATATAACATTTAAATTGGCTAGTTTGAGCCCGGCAACCATTGTCATAGCCCCGGCAAGGCCACAGCACTCGAGTTTGTTGGTTATTTGTTCTATTTGCTTTACCATTTTTCCGGGCATTTATCACAATAACGCTGGCTGATGGGGCGATGGACTGACTGGGCGGGAGCGATGGAGGCGGGAATGTTGGATTGCGGGAGCTGCTGCCCTTTGTCTGCTGTCAGTGAGGCCCTGTTGTTATAATTTATTATTTGCCGCGCACGGGGGGCAAGTGGCTACTTTGTCAGCTTCAGTTTTCGCAGCGCGAGGAGTGTGACGTTGGCATGTCAAATGCTCATACACGGCCAACAATATGGCGTCCTGGAAGAGCCTGCTGGTGTGTCGGCCATGTTAAAACAGCTGCAACAACTTGACGCGCCCGACGCGTTGTTGCTTGTATTATTGTTGTTGTGGTTATGCTGCTGCGGCTGCTACCTTTTTTCCCCGAAACTCCCACCTTCCAGCAGCAAAAACTTGGCCGTTTCGCCATGAATACGGTTTCATTTTATGGCAGTTGTTGAATTTTTCATTATTGTATCTCAGTTCTTCCTCGCTCGCGGGGTTATTAAATTGATCAGCTGGTTTATAACTTCCTCAAATGATGCGAGAAGCGGCGGTGTTTATGAGTTATATTACTCGATTTAAATTCAAGACAAATAGGCCGGTATAAATATTATTTGATCAATTTAACTTTACGGTTCGTTGCTCGTAAAAAATTCTCTCAGAGAACGCGTTTAAATTAAAGATGCCCCATTACACTGAGATGCACATTAGCATACAGTCCCGGACTTTTTGGTTGATTGCTTAAAATGTTTTACGGAAATCGGTAGAGATAAGCACTTTGAAAAATTAAGTTGCTCATAATAGCTTTAAAAAATGGTTTAAATTAGTATTTTATTAATAAATTGGAGGTTTGTTTAGTACATTTTTTCAATTTTTAAAAAATTTTTAACTCTCTTTACTGGAAGTTGTTATTGCTTAACTTTTTTTAAGACGGCAACTTTGTAAATATAAATAATGGAATATAGTTTGGTTTCCATGGGTGAATTTTTCTGAGTGAGGAAACTTTGTAGGAGCAAAAACGCTCTTAGCTTTGAATAAGGGGTATTTCCGGCATCTGCAATTCATCGCGGCTAATCTCATTTTCTCCATCGACCGAGCAGCAAGGACGTGCGTCTGCCCGTGCAACTGCAACGTGCCATGGCCGCCGAGGCAGAAGCCGCCCGCGAGGCCCGCGCCAAAGTCATCGCCGCCGAAGGAGAACAGAAGGCGTCGAGAGCTCTGCGCGAGGCTTCCGAGGTGATTGGCGATTCGCCGGCTGCTCTCCAACTGCGATACCTCCAGGTGGGTGTTTTTTTTTTTTGCAATCCCAGGGATTTTCAGGGATTTACTAGAGATTTATTATTGATTTATTGTTTCCATCCCTGGCAGACACTGAACACCATATCCGCGGAGAAGAACTCGACCATTGTGTTCCCGCTGCCCATCGATTTAATAACGTATTTCCTGAAAACCAACGAGGCGACCACGCAGCAGAATGCCAGAGCAGCTGCGGCAGCAATTGGCAACACACCGCCACCGTTGCAACTGGCACCGCAGCAGCAGCAAGTTCAACAGCAGCAGCAGCCGCAGTACCAGCAGCCGCAGCAGCAGCAGCAGCAGCAATACCAGCAGCAGCCGCAACAGCAACAGCCGCAGCAGCAGCAGCAACAGGATCAACTTTATCAGCAGGGGCAGCAGATCTCATCAGCCATGTAAATCAGCTTAAGATCACCGAAGTTTCGGCTTTGTCGATTCCAAAATGTCCTGCACAAAGGCAATACGAAAATAGTGGGTTGGATTTAAGATTACACTTAAAAATACTTCAGGGGCATAAAAGCATTAATGTCTTCTTAGCAGAAACTCATATCCGAGTATGGATATGTATCTCGAGATACATTTAACAGAATCGTAACCGATTAGTTGACTATATTCCATTTCATGTTCTTGAGTTAGGTAACTCTTATGTATGTATCTCAACTCTCCCTGTTCCTTGTTTTGTGGGATGCATATTTTTTTGGGCTACTTGCTTATAGAGGATGAAATAAGATACGAATTTCCCACAAGGAGACATAACTGTTTTTAAATTCCTAGGGGAGCAACCCCAACCCACAAAGGCCACTATTTGTGCAGAGCATTTCTAGTTCCAAAAACCAACGGAAACAACGATTCAAGAGAATCAAAAACTTAGTTCATAACACCGAAAAGTGCGATTTGAATGAGTATAGAGTATAACTTTTCTAGTTTTACTACCAGAAGATGCAATTCTTAACATTAAATGTAGGACTTAGCAGTGCAACTAAGACCAGCACAAAACAAATCATGGATTGTAAATATTCAAATTACACAATCTATGGTCGCTCAGGTGAAAATTCTAAAACCAACCAGTTTTGAAAATGTAGAATTACGAAACTCTGAATAGTCAAAAATGGTTGGTTTGGTTTTGTATTTTCGCGCAGCCACAGAAGGTGTTTTGTAAATTTTTATGAGCATGATATTTGCCCTGTTTATTACGGGCGACTTTAAAACCTTTAGGGCAGTCGACAACTTTTCCAGTTATATTTATGTAGGACTACGCTGACTTTTCTACATCGAAGTATAACTGCTTTAGGGTTCTCCTGGACTTATCCAGGAAAGTTCATAGGCCATTGGCTTAATTGCAGGATTTTGAAAAGCTGTGGAAGTGTCCTACCAACTTATATAAAGTTGGGTTAGCTCACGTCCTCAGATCAGATCCGTTATCAACAACATTCGTAGGTCCAAAATACGAATGCCAAAACAATAAATAAGAGTAATACGAATTTATTGTACATACAATAAACAAATAGAGCAATTAAGCCGATGTAAGAATTTTATTAGTATTGACACCGATTAAAACTGTAGATGGAGTGAAAGAATTCATTAAACACAACAAACACATAAAGCGTGGTAAGTAATCGCGTCGTCATCTCTCTCGAAGTAGCTGGAGGCTACTTAAAAGCGTTAATAGTAAATGTCAGTAGATGTCAAACATAAAACAAATATAATAAAGTGCATTTGCAACACAGAAATGTTTACTTTTTAGCGCACTTCATTGATTAAAAAAGAGTTATTGAATTAATCATATATACATATACAAACATAACGAATTACATATTATGTAAAATTTGCCTTTGAAAAATTTTTAAACGGAAACGATTTCATTAAAAACATACGTCTAGATATATGTGTAAAGGAACAATAAAATTTCTTCAACTTTTTTGGTATCCAAAAGAGCAAAAACAAAAGGCAATCCCGTCTTTTATTCAAGTCTTTAAAATTAGTAAAAAATACTTACCCATCTGGGATGAATTTTAAACTCTGGTAAGTCTTAAAGAAAGTTAAAGGTACTACATTCCAAAACACCAATTAAAAAACATAGCTTAGTTATTACATATTTTTCAATTTTATTAGTTATTATCATTATTATTTGTATTATGCATTACACACCTAACCGACTTAACGGACACATTTCTATCATTTTACATCAGCTTAATTCAGTTTCCATTCATATTTGCTTCGTGAGTCTGCGTTTCAAGCGTTACTTAATCCGCAGAACATGACAATTCTCAGTTGTTATCTCAATAATTATTCATCCCACATTGCTTTCGTGTCTTATTAGGCAATTAGCAATTGGCAGCGCATGCAACACGCCTACCCAGGCAAAGGCTGAAAAATTTTTTAAATCTTTCACTTTGATTGCCGCAGTTTGTATAAAAAATTTGTGAAATTTTTGTTCTTTTTGATGCCTTGCGTGCCGCTTGCGCCGCCAATAGCTGATTTTTGTTTTAGCTGCCACAAAATCATTCATTATAGTTCGGTATTATCATTCAATTTAATTTCTCGTTTATTTCTACATGTTATGTCAAGTTTATATACAAAAATTCATCAACTACGCTAAACAATTTCAGTTTTGCCTGTGAGTTATAACAATATTTTAATTAATTATTTGCAGTGATTCAGTTGTGATTACGTTGAATGCAATTTCATACAATGATTGGTTGTTGTTCTCGTTAGTTTTTTAAGCCTGGTTATCCTATAAACTGATCTCTGTGTGTGTTTACGTGTGAAATGCTTTGAGTTGCAGTATAAATCTTCTTTACAAATACATATATCTCCATACGAAAAATGCTAAACTTTGGTTTTATGCTACAGAATGTGCACACAATGGCCAACACAATATATGCTATATCGATAAACGACAAACTAAAACTATAACAAAAATCAAATAAATTAAATAAAGTCTCCTCAATCGATGTTCGATTCATGTGTTTTGTGTCTGGATCTGTTCGTGTCGGTCATCTAGAAGCTAAGATAGGTGAGTGTGTGATTTGTGTGGTGATTGGTTGATACGTCGTCGATCGGTTAGAATCATTATCGTCTGATATTTTGCATTTGAAACCCTTGAGATAGCAGTTTATCCTAATGGCTTGAGTCGGGCTATTGATTTGGGCTGCACACGCAAGGAACAGCAGGTCTGGAGAGGAACTAAATGCGGGCCAACGCTGCAGGTTGTACATCATCAATAGATATATCTAGACTACATGGACAGTGCCCAATCGTGTTGCTTGTGCTTAAGTATACAAACAAAGAATAAACAATAATTTTGGTATAAACTTAAATGTACTATAAACATTCATTGGTTCAATTGCTAACAACGAAATACGTGAAATGCGTTATTTTCCTTTCAATGATTTGTACAAAATGCAATTTTCGCTTATCTGTTTTTTTTTTCCTAGCCTCAACTACTCGAGGAAGAAGCAACATGTTATTTTTCGTTTCGTTTCGGGTGATAGATAATAGATCATCTAGGTTTCTGACTTGGAAGTAGAGACGAGGGGTGGGCGCCACCTTATAAGTAAATGCCATCATTGGAGTTTCTCATTAGCAACAATTTGAAATACGTAAATGTTCGATTTCTTGATACGGATTGATTGAGTCAAATAATACTTGGCTTAGTCGATAGTCGTGTTTGTGTGGAAAGTATCAGAAGAAACTATTCAGCAGAGGGAGGTTAAGATCAAAAAGTTCTAGTTGTAGATTGGATTGGATTGGATTGTTTATACATAAAACCTAAGCACCGATTAAAGTAGCGTTAAATTGTAGCTGTATATTCGATTTGAAATTCAATAGAGTTGCCATCAATTTCTTTCGTGTTCTGTTCGTTCTTGATTTCTTGGTATCATTTTTCTGCCCCTTTCTGTTTCTGGGTAAGCTTACAAAACTAGTTAAATACTTTCTATTTCCATAGTACATACAATTAGGTATATAAATTATAAAATAGTTTTGCGTGTAAAATATAAAATTTTGTTTTTCCGATTTTAGTTTTTTTTTTTTTTTGTTGGTTTTGTTGATTTTTTTTGTTTGTTGTGGTTTGTAGTTGGTTTCTGAATTGTTTGGATACGCTTAAACACATACATATACCGACATATAGAGTTCATGTGTGTTGGTTGGTATGCAACTATGCCATTAAAAAGTCTTAAGAATTATAGTAAATATGCATATAAATGTATAATATATGTATAACTTTATATACTATATATATATATCGTACGTGTGTGTATGCGTGTGAGAGAGTGTGTGGGTGATGTGTAGGTGTGTGATTAGGCTGGACTCTGTTTAGTCTTGCACCTCTCGATACGGCACCTCGGACGTGACCGAGAAGGACTCGAAGTAGTGGTTCAAGAACTCGAACGTCGGCCGCTTCTCGGGCACGGCATCCCAGCACTGGAGCAGCAGTTGATAGATGTTGTCCGGGAAATAGTGGTTCGTCGGCTTCGGCATGCGGAAGCCGCGCTCGATGTTCTCGATCACCTCGCGACTGTGCATGCCCGGATAGGGCACTTGTCCGTACGTGAAGAGCTCCATCAGCAGAATGCCGTACGACCACACGTCCGACTTGATCGAGAACTTGCCGTAGATGATCGCCTCGGGCGCCGTCCACTTGACCGGAAACCGGGATCCCTGCTTGGGGCAGTACTCGTCATCGGCGATCACACGCGCCAATCCAAAATCACAAATCTTCGCCACATTGTTCTCTCCAATCAGCACGTTGCGGGCCGCCAGATCGCGATGGATGAGCTGCTTGGACTCCAGATACTCCATGCCGCTGGCCACCTGGGTGGCTATGTAGATGAGATCCTCGAAGTGCAAGTAGCGGCCATCGCCCTCGCGCAAGAAGTCCAGCAGACTGCCCTTGGACATGTACTCCTGCACAATGTAGATGGGCTCCTCCTGCAAACAGTAGATATAAGTAAAACATTTAATTTTGTATTTAATTAATCGAACTTACCTGCGAGCAAACCGCATAGAGGGCCACCAGGCGGTTGTGGCGGAACTTCTTCATGATGGCCGCCTCCTGGAGGAAAGCGGCCGTGGACATGGTTCCTTCACGCAATGTCTTGACCGCCACATCGATGCTGTTGCGCCACTTGCCGTAGAAGACCTCGCCGAAGTTGCCGCGTCCCAGTTTGCGCAGCAGCTGAATCTCCGAGCGCGGAATCTCGTACTTATCGCGCAGCTCCGGTCCCAAGTCCCACATCTGGGGCTGCGGTTTGGGGCAGGGACGCGACAGTATGTGACAGAGGCCAAGAGCGTTTTCTTCAGAGATAAGAAATCGGAAAAATAGGCTTTACGGTCTCACGCTGTTTGACATCGGTATACTCACTGCTGTATGCCATGACCAAGGCCTGAAGCGAGGGGAACGTCTGGTTGGTGGCGATGTAGTAGCCGCCGTTGTCCAGCGGCTTGATGCGGTAGTGCTTCACGTGGTAGCCGCGTCCATCCTCCCAGTCCTTTACCGACAGCGAGTAGCCGTTGGGATTGTGCTCCGAGGGACGCACGAGGAAGGTGCCGCGCGGATTCTCCTCGGCCAGCAGCAGCTTGTCCGCCTCCTTTCGAAGCACGTTCTCAAAGAACCAGCTGTTCCAAAAAGGAGATGTTGTTTTAATATTTAATGTTAACAAATGATGCTTCAGCTATCCTACACTACATTTTTATAAGAGATAACAGAAAATTGTTCAGTGTAGCGTGATATATAATCGAACCCATGACAGTTTTAAATCTCCTCAAAAAGAAAGAACCTTTTGCACAATTCCATCCATTTTCGCGTGTACTGAAAACCCAGATACATTCGAAAATCCCTGCCAAGCCCTTGCAAAAAAACACCTTAAATCATTTAAATGTGTGGAGAAAAAAAAAGCACTTACTCTTCGCTGTTGACGCTGCGCTCCTCGGCCACAAAGTTAAGCGGGATGAGGCCCTCCTGGCGAGTAGTCAGATTCACGACGCGCCACCAATCGGACTCGGTGTCGTCGATGACCTCCATGCGGTCGCCCTTCATGAAGCTCAGATCGGATTCATCGCGGGATTTATAGTCGTACAGGGCCACGACCACGCGCTTGAGCACGACACCAGGAACGCCGGCTGTAAAAATATTGGAGTGGAATGGTGGAAAAGAGGTCGTCGAGTTAGTGGCAATTTTCGTCTGGCTGGGCAAATTTGATTTGCGTCCTTAAATTGCAATTTATGGCGACAAATTGGGAAATAATATTTTTTATATTTTCCTTTGGCTATTTGACTAACCAATTTGCCATCGCCGAAACTTAATTGGAATTTAATGAGTTAAAGTACGGGAGAGACGAGGGTGCCAAAATGCAAATTGCAAATTGGATAGCATACTTTTTCGGGGGGCCCATAGCCCATAGCCCATAAACAACAAAACAATTTCATTTGGAGCCTCGCGAATCGCTTGCCAAGCCACAATTTTTGGCACTGACTTGCATTTGGCTAATTGATTTAGACCACAGCGAGGCAACGCATAAATAAACTGCTGCTCTCGCCGCTTGTGCCAGTTGCCTTGGCCGCTCGCTGCCCTCCATTGGCCATCCGCCGCCCCCCCTCGCTGACCCCTCACCCCTTGATCACAAACCCCTTCACTGCGCCCATGCCAATGCAAAGTTCGTGCTGACAAAGGCGGCACAAATCACTGGCCAAGCACTCAACCTCTTGATGGGTTTACACGACTAAGCGGCTTTACCGCCAAATAGGCGAATATATACTATACTAAGCATAAAGCAGTGCAGTGCCGTCATGTCACGGATAGAAATGCCAGCAGTTAATCGGCTGCCAGCGAGGTCTTCGTTCCCAGCCGCTGACAGGTCAGATCAAAATAATTCTGTCATTCAATGGTACGCAAATGCGACAGTTATATGAAGGGAATTGCAAAGAGGGGGTTTAGGTTAAAACTTAACTTTGCTGAAAATATGTTTATCTGTAATTGGTGCCTTTATAATAAAAGTTTCTCCAAAATAAACCCTATTTGCAATAAAAATATCTAACCATTTTAGTAATGTTCATGAATATTTAATTGCTTCATTCCCTACACATTTTTCATTTCGATTCTGTTATTGATTTAAGTTTATAATATCTTTTTTTAGAAAAACCCACCCTTTACTTTAAAAACCCCATTAGCTAAAATAAAACTGTGTTCCACTCCCAGAGCTTTTCAGCATGACCCCCTTCATTTGCATTACTAATTTCCTTCCTACTAGAACCAAACTAACCCTTCCGAGCATTGCATTTCGCCCGGGGCGAATATAGCAACAACCCGACAACTTAAAATGTGTTTTTCCTAAGCTGCAACGCAACTCATTGGCCAACTCTCTGGGGTCTCGTAGAGAAACGCAATGTCGTGTCATATGGTATGCAATATCGCCGTCAAGGTGGCATTAAACCAACACGGAGAGCAGCCCCCTCCATCCTTTTCTGGGCCACGCAGCCGAGAAGTGGTCAAGGTTAACGACTGTCGTCGTATTACCACTGCAAATATGAGAATTGCGTTGCCACCTGGCAGATGACTTGACTCCACCACCTCTGAACCTCCTGGGAGGCGAACTCTAATTATGGCAGTGCGGCGGTTCAGGCGGAGGTGACTTGGATGAACGTTGATTATGTGGCAGGTCGGGTCGGTTAGTTGGCTGACTGCCGTGCTGCCGGGTTGCCTGCTTGCCATATTATGCAAACACAAGGCCAACCAGCGAGTAAAAGCCAATCTCTGTGTGGCAGGCAAAAAGTCAAATTGCTAATTAAAAGCTGAAATTATCGCTCCACCCACGGCCCAGGAGATTACCAGGAAAAGATAATTACTAATGCATGGCAATATACAAACAGACAGTGAAACTTCAGCGGCTTTACTTCATTAAATCGTTAAAGTACTCGGATTTTATAGCTTCCAATATAAACATTTTAAAAGGTATTTTGCAATTGAGCTTTTAAAACTACCATTTTCAAGATGGATAAATATTAAAATGTTATTGTAAACGTATTAAAAACTGTATTTGTAAGCAAACGTAATCGTATAAAATTGTGTTTGTAAGAAGAATTGAGTAAAAGCACTCTTCTCTAATGGCAGTTGTTATAATTTAATCATACAGAAGTGGCACTGTAATTACTAATGGATGATAATACCCATATCAGATAGGGTTATTTGCAAAAGTACTCACTTGGTGTGGTGCGGGGCCTGATGATGTCAACGCCTCCTTTTCCGCCGATTTTCAGCGGACCCCGATGGTTCGGATCGGGTGTATAGCGCGAGTCCAGCGAACCGCCGTTGTTGTGCTTCTGGCCAAGTACGCCGCCCATGTTGCCACCGCCGCTGTTGTTGATGTGCGTCTGGCCGAAGGTGTAGTCGGATTTTTTGTAGCCGCCCGTGGGATAGGCCAATGCCAATTCCTGATCCTGTCGCTTGCTGCAGCATTTGTTGCCCATGGCTTATGCAAGTCTCTCCAGCTGTGAACTCTCGATCTTGAGCTTTTCTTGGCGATTTCTTTATTTCTTAGATGATTTCCTAATTTATATTCCTAATATATTTGTTAAGCTTCAGTTGCAGCAACACATATTTTTGGCAATTAACGAGTTGTTCTTAGCAATATTGTAATAAAGTTGTTGCAGCCGTGTGTTGTTGTGTTTGTTACTTTAGAGTAAGTAGTTTAAACTATCAGTCAAGTTGGGTTCTTTTTGGGCCCCTGCCTTAAGATTGCATCAAAAGCTGCAATTGGAGGGCATTTGCTTTAGTTCATCTATCAACTGCTATCTGTGTCTTCTTATTGGCCGAGTTGCAAAAACGCATTTCGTTTTGGGTATATAAAAAGGAGCCAATATTGTTGGTTGCTGGTTGCCAGTTGCCGGTTGCCAGTTGCTGGTTGCCAGTTGCCAGTTGCTGTTGCATTCACAGCTGCAACTGCTGCACGTTGATTGCGTTGATCCTTGCGGTCTGTGTCCTGCCAGCAATTTCAGCCAGCGACCGTCTGCACATTGCTGGCCGTCGGTCGTCAGTCACCTGTGAGCCGAATAAAAGTAAACAAAAGCGGAGGAACCGAAATTAGTTAGTGTGTTAATAAATATTCATTAAATAAGCATTGCGCCCAGACAAAGGACCCACGGCCGTCGTCAGTCCACTGACCCGTGTCCACTCAGCTGGACAGTTGCCTTTGGCCAATTGTCCGGCGTCCTGTGGCTTCCTAAACGTTTTTGGCACATTATTACACTTGACTTGGCCGGCAGGCGAATCCAGTTTATACAGTGAAACCCCCCTTGCACATCTATTACCCCTTTGAGCAGCATTGAGTTCATCAGCCCTATACTAGAGATGCCCAGAGATTTGAATATCAAATTAAATATGACATGTCAGTTTTAAATTGGCTTAATAAATAATAAACGGATTCACCTATTTATTTGCCTGCATACCGTTTTTTTCCCCTTAATTAGTTCACTCATATTACTACAATTTGCAGAGCCAAAAAATAAATGCGACTGTCATGTAATAGCTGCTTTAATTAGCATTCTTTTCCTTGCGGTAATAAAATTTATTTATTGCAATAAAACAAAGCAATTAAGTCGGTCACAGTACAGCCATTAAGCTTAAGTTACCTTTTGGCCTAATAAAATTGTTATACAAGAACGAAGATGTTGGGGGAAATGTTTTCACTTTAAATTTAAGCAAATATACATTCAAATGGAATTGTCTAGTAGATATATAAATATTTATTTTATCAATTTTCGAGACAAGATTTTAAGAGCAGACTACAGAATGAAATAATCAGAGTTTGTGGAGCACGATTGCAAACACACTTTTATCTAAATTGAGATTCCCAAGGCTCTAATACGATATCACTATTTCTGGCTTGGAAAACTCATCACTTTCGTCTGCTGGAAGCCGACAGTTGCACACAACCTTTCGACATTGCCACAATAACCACAGTACAGCAAATGCAGTGGCGAAGGCAGCAACATCAACCGCTGCAATTGCTGCAACAACTGCAGCAGCAGCAGCAGCAGCAACAGCAGCAGAAGCGGCAACCAAAACAACAAGGCCCAGGACAACGACAAGCGGCCATTTGAAAGGCTGCCAGCTGGGCAGGATCAACTTCTCTGCGCCGGAGCCATTGTCTATTGACTCAGGCCTGCCAGGCATCTGTTTATTGTTCAATTGGATAATTATGGTCTCCAGTGCGGAGTTGAGAATGCAAGAGCACGGGAACGAGAACGGGAACGGGCGTGTTGTGAGGCCAAGGTTGAACATCTCGATTGCCCCGCCTCTCCACCTCCACCACCACCTCCCTCCTCTTGCACCCTCCCCTGGCAATCCGAGTAGATAGCTGCTGCAGCTTCAAATTTTAATTGTTATTGTTGCGCATTTGTTGTGTGTGCGCAGCTGGCATGAAATTGTCGCTCTGCCTGCAGTTGCCAGTTGCCAGGATGCATTTGCGGCATTAGCTAATATCCTGTCATTGTTCCGGTTCGCCTGGCATGGCATGCCGTCAATTATTAAAGCCATGTTCAACTCGAGACTCGAGTGAGCTCTTCAATCTCTTAGCAAACCAAAAGGAATGCACTCAGAAAATGTCTTTCTTTATATATAAGAGAAACATTTTCCTTAATAATGGACATTGTCACATAGTCGTATTTTTGTTCAGTGCATCTAGCCGGAGCACTAAAATGTCATTCTGCAAGTGGTGGAAAGTGTTGCTGACTTGACAGCGGAGAACGGCAGGACATAAAGTGTGGAAATTGTGCCAGGACATTTAAACTGTCTGAGTTTCGTCGGCGCGACGTCTGCATTTATTGTCGCCTCAACTTGATAAACACACAACGTGTGGCGCTTTAAAATCCGCCAACAACAACCATAAAAGTTTGAATGGATTTTCGTTCGTTTGCCCATAAAAAGTCAAAGTTTGTTTTTCGGCGAGTTCATGAACCCATCCGCCCAGCAACAAATGCGAAAAGTTCCACGGGGGTCAAGCAACCTTTATTTTTGGGGTCGACGTCAACGGAACACAGTAGCCAGCATTGAAGCTGCAGTAATGTTGGGAAATTGTATACAATTATGTTCGCAGCTTTACGAGATGTACTTTAAAAGTCAGTGACTGGATTATTTTTTTTTTTACTGCTTGTCGAACAAAGGAGGAGCAACAGTTGAAGGGCTTACGATAGGATGAAGTGATAGGATAATATGCTAATAATGTAATCAAGAACTTGTAAAGAGATGAGTCAGTGTTTTTGTTTTAAAAGGAATCAACTGACACCAATGCTGTTTACAGAAAGTTGAAAGTTCACAACGACTAAATTACAAATTCCTAAGCTTTTTGAGACACACTCTCCAAGGGAATTCCATGAGATTTGGTTATATTCTGCTCTTTTATTATTTTTGTTCAGGGCATTAACATGTCCCTCCAATGAAAATGCCATAAAATCCAACTTTATTACAATATTCCCACTTTGATACTTTTCCTACCCAGACCGACAGGTGGCGGAAAGTATCTGTAGAGACCTTGCCGCAGACACGAGCGATTTATAGCCCCAACGCACTGTCATATCAAAAGCCCAATGCAAATGGGCGATTGGGGATTGCCGGCAAAGAGTTGGAATCGAAAAAGTATACGAATATATCATAGCTGATGGGCTGTGATGGCCAGCAAATGAAAAGCGGAGCCATCAGCTACCCATTCTCGGGTTTTCCATCGCTGACAAGCGATACGGTTTCATTTGTATTTGGGTCTACCATGTGTGTGTGTGTGTGTGACATGAAAATGTAATTTTCTAGTTTACTTTTTGGGGGTGAACGGGTCATGTGTTGTGGGTTGGTTGTTGATGGTTGTGTTGCTGCACACGAGCACTGAATTTCCATTGTTGAAGTTGACAAAACTAAATGAATACTTAATTGGATATTGCGGCTTTGAATGCGCCCGAAAGTCGGCAACACGAATATGAAAACTTGACAGTTATGATGCGTGTGGTTGTGTCGAAATGGAAATAGAAAGTATGCATTCAATAAATCCAAGTCCTGTGTTTATTATTATTAATTTAAGAACGTGTGGGGTAGCAAGTTTAAATTATATGTCCTATTAATATTTATAGCCATTGTTATAATGAAATATTTATACTAACTCAACCAATTAACTATCCTTCCAAACTGTTGTTTTGTTTTAAGAATAAAGAAGTAAACAAAATTTAATCAAAATCCTAATAAGGAACAATATATTCAAGCTCGTTTGCGTGCTTTTTTTCCGGCTGATCCCCAAGCGTTTTAAACAGAGCATTTGAACTACATTTTCGGCAAATGAACAATCTGCCCCCAAAATAGTTGCGACAATGGTCTCACCACAGTCTAATAAAATCAAATATTATGCAAAAAAGAATGTGATTCCCCTGGGGGGCCAAAGGCAACCGCATGTCAGGCCAAATCCTCGAGGACATAAAGGCATTAACTGTAAATGCCGTAATGCCGTCATTTCCCGATGACAGCCCCACAAGCACACACATACACACACACTCGCACACTGCGAAATGTAGAGCGTCTTTGATAAGGGGGTTTCCGGGGTTGGTTGTTGGGGAAATGGAAATGGTTCTGTTTCGCCCACATTTTTTTATTGCGATCCATTATTATTATACTGGGTTTGCCGCAGCCCCACTGCCATCGTCCTTCTTCCTTCGTCCTTCGTCAGCTGTAGCCACATTGTTGCCTACTTAAAAAGTCAATTTGTGTGACGTCCTCGTTGTCATCCTGTTGCCGTGTGGATGCCGGTCTTGCCGCCCTCATATACCCCCCGGATCACCCGATTTAACCCCCCATCTTTTGTCTTATCTGTGCGTTCAACCCAGAGTGACACAGTCGTTCACCTTTAAGCGTCACGTGCTATCGATTAGTCCTCTAAAAGAATTACACAAATGAAATACACACGGACATCTGTTGGTGCGGAAATGTATGCCAGTGGAATTTCCTTCGTCTAAGTAATGAAGAACACAATAAATTCTCGATTTATGTATCCCCAAAGTGAACAGGATGAGCTGTAGATTAAATAAAACATTCCCCATCTGACGTTGACGTGACACCGAAATTGAATTTGTTGCATTAAACATTGCATTTAACCCATTTGACTGGCCTCCATCCACGTCGCTTTAATATTAAATGGCACTTTACTTTAGAGCTCCATAAATAAATTCAAACATAAATATATCACAGTGTTTATTGGCACGTACTGTGAACTTTTCCTCGCCAGCAAATAAATATCAATTTTTATACATTTATCCTTATATCAATAAAGTCATAAATAATGCACCAAGGAAAAAGTTCACAACACAAAAAAACAGGAAATGTATATTGGCGTTAAAACAAAAATGTAGATGAAATTATGACATCTCGGCGGTACCGTAAAATACATCCAACGCTAATTAAATTGTTCATCAGACAAGTGGAATATTTTGTTTCCAATTATGAATTGAATGGCATTTATTTAAAGTTTTTTTATTGAGAGAAAATTCCAGACGAAATTCATTGAAAAATAAAAATGTAACCGAGATGATCAACTTTCAGGAAATTACTTCTTGGAAGTTGAAAATAATTAAACTTTGTCTGGGGATGCCCGAAATGAAACGGAATTTAATGAATGAGTACATAAATTAAGCTAATTTATGCCATAAGCAAAACGGGAGGAGGCAGTCAGATATAAGGGACCAATCAATTTATTACGCAAGTATCTAATACCAACTCCCTAAAACGGAACGGATCTGTACAACAGATTCTATTTAAGAGGGTCTGGACTTGGCAGTCTAATGATTTCCGTTCCCTGCCTCCGAGACCATTAAACAAATTAACTTGAAGCAATAATCATAATAAGCCAGAGTAGTGCAAGCCTCCCCTAAATCTAAGGCACTGAGAGAAAATGGGAAATAATTTGATAACGTAACAAAAATGCTTTCAAAACCTTTTGGAAATGGTTCTGGAAACCCTTAATGGTGGAACTTAAAGAACCGAAGCTCAAGGTTTTGTGTTATGATTTCCTTATTAGGTTCTTTTGTTCAAGTGTAGTTATATTAATACGGCTTTGTATGTATTGACCGACTTCAGGGCCAGAGTGACAAGTTCATGTGACAAAAATCAATCAGATGGCGTGAGCAGCCGCAACCATATGGAGATTAAAGTTATATATAGACTCGGCGAGAATGAACCGATGGGCGGAAGATGGAGAAGGCTGAAAGGGAGTAGCTTTATAGTTTGTATGCACAATTAAAAAAAGTCACGTACTTGGATAAAAAATACACAACAACTAAACACAGTGGGAAAGATAAAATCAAAAGCAAACGCAAAAAACTGCATGGAAAACAACCTTTATTGTTCTGTGCACCCTGTAAACAAGGGTTATTAGTTCTGTGTGAAACCTGCATAAAACCTCATTTTCAGCCGCCCCAAAAATTCCATTAAATCCCATTTAATCTAGGCTACGGTCGCCATGAATTCCATAAGGCAAAGCTCTGTGTGGGGAAACCCCAGGGGTTTTATGGAACCAAAGCTTTCAGTAGCGTATACCCACTGGGTTTTCGGTCGGAGCAGATTTGCAGATTTATTTGTTGGCGCCACTACAACTGCTGATTCCCAACTGGTCGACCAAGGGTTAAGGATTGTCGGGGTTTTCGAACAAGAGCAAAAAAAAAACTACAGGAACGTGTTTTGTCTAGAGGCGGGTTGGGGGCGTGACCCGCTTGTAACGCACAATTTCACGCAGTTCTTTCGTTGTTGCCTGAAAACGTGAGGGTTATGAAAGTAAAATCAAACAAGAAAAGAAGCTAGTCTCGGCCATCCGAAGCTTACCTACATATATACCCTCTTGCAGTCATCAAATATGCCGAACAAACTACAAAGGCTAAACAACATCGAATCTATGAGCAAAGGGTATTATAATTTCAGCCATAAAGTGTATATATTCTTGATCAGCATCACGATCTGAATCGAAATAAGTTTGCACGTCTGTCCTCTGGTTGGTTTCTATATAAACCCTTTTATCGCATTCATAGCACCCTAGAGGTAATATGTATAATTTGAACATATATTGATGTCAAAATGTCAGAGACTGTTTGCAGTTTAATATATTTTTATTACGGATAAATATAGCACCCAGAGGAAAAGAAATTTGTACATGGACGGAAATTTGATTCTCGTAGTAAGAATATAGCAACAAGTTTAGAAATATTGTAATTCCGTAACCTCATATTCATCAGGACATCGAAGGTGCCCTTGCACTCGCCCGTCTTCTGCTGCTGAATTCTCGTTTTGGCCATACCGAGGGACGTTGAGGCCATGGTGATCAACACGCTGGTCAACATCGCGGCCGAAATTTGGAGCGACTGACCAGAAAAGTATTCGGAGCTTAAGCCCTTTAACAGGGATTAGGAACCGAATTCCAACATGTAGACCACCATGGAACGCCCCACGGTGGGCATGCAACCTCGCCAGAGGGCGAGCACTCCTTCATCCTTATTTGTTAGTCGTCACCGAGCACATTACGTTCGTAGATACGTTTGAGGCGATAGTAAATTAATATTAAGAGCACGTTGTGTGGACCTTTACGAGCAAGGTAGGGTGTGAAGCCCCTCCACAGAGCAAAAACACCCTCGTTCTTGGACATCTTCATCAGGACATCGAAGGTGCCCTTGTACTCGGCCGTTTTCTGCTGCTGGATTAGCGTTTTGGCCATATCGAGGGGCATTACAACCATGGAGAACATCAGGGCGATTATCAGCTTGACCGAAAGGTAGGCCGGCAGACCAAAACAGTGGTAATTGCTGCAAAAGTCTGTTAGCGGGTAGTAGGAAGCGTAATGCACCACACCGAACAGCATGGCACGACCCATGGTGGGGATGCATCCTCGCCAGAGGGCGAGCACTCCCTCTTCCTTTGCGATCCTAGCAAAAGCATCAACTAAATTTTTGTAGTTGCGCCTCTCCTCCGGCGGCAACCGATTATCGGACATCATTCGGATCATGGCCACCTCCGTCGGGGTTGCAATCAAGGCTCCAATACCTGCCCCTAAAATGCAAATTCCCATCCTTAAATAAAAAGGCGCACGACGGTTGTACAGCTTGCGGTGATAGAGGCACCCCCAATCGAAAAATCCTTCTCGAATCGTCGTGTACGTCATCTGTCGTATCAATCCGGCACTCAGTCCTTTGTACAAGGCCCGGATGCCTTCGTTTTTGACCACCTTCACCAGTAAATCCAGGGAGCTCTTGAACTCGCCCTTGGTGGTCTGCTGCATTCGGACCTTGACCAAGTCCACCGGATGCAAAACGAAGGCTGCCATCGTTGCGGACACGCCAAAGTTGATGGAATGCACATAGCGCGGCATGTGCTTCTTATTAACATTGAAAGGCATAGCGGAAATACGCACCAAAACAATAAGCCAAAAAAAAAGAATAATTTTTGAAACAGATAAACAGCCAAAACGAATTTTTTGATAGGTTTTAGGTTTTAATAGGTTAACACTGACGCTATGACAAAAAAGATCTGGGTGGTAAGCCTGCTTTCATTGGTAATTCCTTTGTGTAATAATTGCAATTCCCTAACCCCATATTGCCAACTTTAAAAGCACTCCTCCCCAGAGTGCGAGAACTCCCTCATCCTTTACGATCCTAGCAAAAGCATCTGATCAAAAACTACGGCGTGAGAATTTTTTATTTCATTCTCTTGTATTGGAGCTATCCGATATAGTCAGCCGTTCCGGACCTTTCCGACTTATATACATACTTGGGAAAGTTTTATCAAGATAGCTTTAAAACTGAGAAACTAGTTTATATAGAAACAGAGAGACGGACAGTCGTACAGACGTATTTCGATTCATATCGTGATGCTGATTCAGAATGCTCCTTTCCTGCGTTGCAAACTTCGGACTGAAAGTAGAATACCCTTTGCTTTGCAAGGGTATAACAAGTAGAGCTAGAAAAGGAGCAAACCGAAGCAGAAATGTTCGACAACCAACAATAACACTCACGTTATCACTAATGTTCAACACATAGTTACATTATTATTTTAAAATGTCATGTTTAAATTTAAAAATAGAAAGCAAGCCATATTACGAATGTGACAAAACCAGAGCTACTCACTTTATTAGGAACCAAATAAAATCTCCCAATGACATTCGTCACCTCCTGATGACAATACCATATGTCAGGGCATAAAAAAGAGGCTGTCTGATAGGAGGATACTGTAGGGGAACCGGAAGCGCTGCGTGATCAGAACGCATAACAGTTGGTGTTGCCTCCAATGATGTGCGAGTGTGTTCTGCGGTTTGGGTTTGTCAACCTCCGCGAGGCGGTGGATCCCAAACGGAAAGCAAACAGCAAAAAGGCTGGGTTCACAAGGGGGAGGAGAGGGAAATGGGGCGTATTACAACATCACGAGATGAGCTCATTACTTTAATGGGTTCCCACCTCCTCAGACGCCTGCGGTCGCGGGATGCCATGCAAACCGACAGACATCCTGTGGCTTATTCGCGTTTATTTTAATGAAATATTTGTATGTGGCTAGAAGTTAAAAGTTATGATTTTTATTATCAACAAGACGGAGAGCAAAGGGATTGTGTGGATTTAACGGGCGGCAATCCAAGGACACGTAATTAGTTCGCTAAATAAACAAGCGCTGTCAAAGGGCCGGGATGAATTCGCAAACAACAAGAAATAACCCAGAAATCTAATTACCGTGTGAGAAACAACAGCGGGAATGGCAACAAAAAATAAGGAAGCAAGGATTAAGGCGGGGAAAGTTCAGAGACGGAGTTCATTGCGTGCCAGGACACCAAAAACGGGCAAGAGAATCCAGAAAAAAAGTGAAGAAAAAGCGGAAAACAAGTTAGCAAAAAGGAGGCGTGGAATGTGCCGAACGATGACGGTATCGAGCTGGAGAAGAAAAATGTGGATTTGACACGCCGAGAGCGCCAGGAATAAAATTCGTGACGGTCAAACATGCCATAGATGACGTTTTAAGGCTATCCCTGCGGAATTAAATTGGTTGAAAAATACTAAAGTATTTTATGCACTAAAAAATTTAAATTCTATAATAATCAGGGCAGCAAAAAGCTTTGAGACTTTAATTATATACGTTTTTTCAATGTTTTTGCCAGCTGTCATACAGAGTCAATAAAAATAAAATTGCTACTGCTATTTTTTCAAAAATTCCCTATTAAAAGCACACACATCCCAGTTCAGTGAAAAAATGTAGTAACGTTTTTATCAACATCGACTAAATGGTGCCAGTAACAGAACCCACAATTGTTATCGTCCTCTCAACCTTTCTTCCTTTTAAGTCAACGGAACATGTTATAGTTACAATTGTTGGTAGTACAAACAAGCGTAATTTTCGTCAACAATAACACGAGTTGCCTTTTCATAGCCACCAAGAAACTTAATTGCAGGTTAAGCTGACGGCAGCGGAATGGGAAGTGGGAGTGACTAGTTGAAGAAAGCTTCAATGTGGCGCTCGCTGCAATATTAAAACAATATTTGTTCGCGATTAGATGGCAGCAAACAACACCCACAAGGACCAAGAGCGAAGGACGTGGCAAATTACAGCGCTACGGTATACGGGAAATGGCGATGCGGCGCCAGGACGACGCGGCGAGGTGGCAATATTTACACGCTTTTGTTGGCCCGCCGTCCGCGACGTCAGCAGTTGGCTAAAAAGGCTAAAAAGCCGCCAGTGACCAGTTAAGTGGAGGCAAAGCCCAGTCAAGTCGCTGTTACCAACGCCGTCGTCGGTCGCCGACTGTCGATGGCCATGACGACAGCAACAGCCAGTTGCCCCACACAATGGGGCATTAGCGTCCGTATCCTGAATCCTGACGCTTCGTTTCGAACTCAATGCCACACGCAACTGCCATAGAGAGAGTTTAATTCAATGTGGGGCAAGGCAAAGTAGATGAACAAATTAAATACATAATCCAGAAATTAGCAGAGCCATGCTTGTGGAAATAATCCATAATCGGCCGGAATATCCGGTTCCGGTTTAACCTGCTAATTGTTGTAACCTTTCGTTTTATTATGTTAAGAAGTTTGGGTTGAATGGCATTTTGATGAAATTTGACTAAATATACATAAGTTATTCGGTCGGTTAATATACTGTTTTCTAGCTGATTACTAATCTTTTTAGCTAAGATTAGATTGGAAATCGGTGGTAAAAATTGTTTACTAACACAGTCTTTATAAAAAGAACTAATTTAAATAATAACATTGTTTGTTTTATATACTTTATAAGAAACTATAGTTTTAGTATTTAGACTCCAAGGTGGCATTGGAAGTTGTTAAATGGAAACTATATTTGGATCTACCTCGAAAGTCTCTACAATGAGAGGTGGAGTTACGAGTTGAATGCAGCAATTACTCAAAGTTTTTCCCCAACTCGGAATCTTGTAGCCTTTGGCAGCTCATTTCTCATGTGTGGGTCCCTCGTCGCACTTCCAATTGGGTCAAGCGCGGGATTTCGACACTAAAAGTTATGTGATGGAATCGAAAGGCGGCAGGAGGGTGAAGCGAAGCGGTATTTCAACCCACCGGCTGATAAGCCATTAAGCCCCAACGCAGCCGTTGTAACAGAAGCGGCACCAGATGCGGTCTCTTATCGGACAACACAAAATTTAAACGCCCGAGAGTCGTTAGCTGACCCCAAAACCCAAAAAGTGAAATGTACAAACGAATATCGATAGAGTGCAGTTAATGGTCTGTGGAGGAGGAGTGTCCGTTTATCGCACACGTTGTTCCAGGTCTTTAGTGTTCGTTCCCTATCGCTTTCGTTTTTAGATTGACACACAGTGTCTTGGATTGTTTGAAAAGGAAACGTGATGTTTGCTACCTCGTTTTTCCTATTTAGAACTTAGTTTTTGAAAAAGGGATGTACTTAAAAATATCTACTAAATTCAAAGCAATAATAAAAGTAGCAATAATAAAAATTACACGGTATATGTTTTCTTATTTGTTACTACAAATTCTCTGCTGAGTAGATTTAAAAAATGTGCTAGTTTAACAACAATCTTTCTTTAAACATTTTTCATTTTTCACGTTGGCCTAAAACATGAAAAAATATGTTTTCTCTCGCTAGTCGGGAACTTATCAGACATTGAAATCAACAAGACAAATTATCGAAAATGTAATGTCGCACTCCCTCTACACCAAAATTTCTTATACAACTCGGCATGTGGGCACAATCGCGATCGAGAATCGGAGAAAAAACATTCTTCTCTTTCACTCTGAACGTGTTGGCTGCATTTGCATGCATAAACACATGACGTGCTCCACATTCGTGTGACATTTGTTGCGAGGAGGGGGCGGCGATGGGGAGCTGCAAAAGTGTTACACGCAACAACAACTGAACAGCCAACAAAGGGGTGTCCAAAAAAACAAGAAAAACCCTATACAGTTTACGTGCTTAGGCTACGATATACCTGTTATTAGAATACATTAATTTCCATTTTTATAATAAAATCAATTATAAATAAATCAATAATTCTTCCCAGCAAACTTAATACATTTCAAATTCTTTATCTTTATCAGTCCAGGAATATATTACTCTTTCCAATCTAAAACACATCATACCCTGGTTTCCGAGTACCGTGTAAAAACTGAGTGGCAAAAAAAAAATCGAAATGAGGCTGCAAAGCCTTGTTGCCTTTTATATCGTTCCATTGCATTTTTGGCGCAGTGCAACGCAGATGTGGAAAAACAGGGGAGGGTTAACGAAGGAAATTGGGGCAAAAGTGCAGCAACTGAAACAGAAGCTGACCATGGGGGATTATCATGGGAGCCGGGCTAAATGTCATTAGAGCCAGACTAATTGAATGGGCGATAATAAAAATGGGGGGGTTGAGAAACAGAGAAATGCATGGCAGATAGTGCACCCGTTGGTGAAAGTCTCTGGTGGGTCATGAATTTATAGGAATTTAGCCAAATATGCAATTTAAATAACTATACAAATTGCTGTGCGATTTTCATCGAATATTCCCCGGCTTAAGGAAGCGAAGGTAAATTTTAACAGACTTTCGGTTGGAAACGAGGCAAAAACGGAAATTTCCTCGAACTTCCGACTGAAGTATTTAATTTCCTACTCAACGATGCAGTCTGAGCTTCGGGCTGCCACTGATGTCATTTCTGTGTACGTGTGCAGACATTCTAGGTGGTGGCAACGTGCGGAAGAAGTGGGTGGGCCCAAGTGGGTGGTATACAGACCCGGCCAGACATCAGACATGGTGGGAAAAGTCAGGGAGTCCCAGTCAGGTAGCAGTAACATAACATAACATAAATAGAAAACAGCCACAAAGGCTTGACAACGCGACAAAGTTCCCTCCCCATCGCCTCCCCAAAACAGCCACCCACCCACCGCCTTGCAACACCCACCTCCACGTTACACCCCCAAGGGACACATCAGGTACATCCTGCAACACTCGGAGCAACCCCCACGGTTACATATGCGGCAGAAATTATGAATGAAACGAAAGATAAGCAGAAGAGCAAGCAAAACAAGAGGGAAGCAAAAAAGAAAACAAAACAAATTCTTCAACTAACTAAGAATGCCATTAAACGAACTTGAAATGCGCTCAAAAAATTTAATTTGGAAATCATAATACATACTTGCTTTCGTATTCCTCAAAATATTATTATTATTGTTTGCTTGGGAATTTTATAAAATATTTTGTTTGCTATAGATATTAGACAACATAAATCCGTTTCAAGGCAGCACAACATTTTTTTAGTGTCCTGTGTTGCCTGTTGGAGAGAATTTAAGCTGTACATCATATTTAATGAATACAATTTGTGATAAAAAAAACCCCTTTCCTCATTAGCATCAGTGGCAGCTACTATTTTTTTGTACTTTAGCCCGCTCTTGCAACTTCGGAGCCTCGGCAAAGTTTGTCACAAAGTTATAATGCTCTCATTAGGCTTGAGAATTATGCAAGGACACAACCGGGGACTGGGATTCAGCCGGTTCTTAGGGATGGACTGCGCCATTCTCTCCGGCATTCTTCCGCTCCTTTCCTCAACTTCAAATGCAGCACACAACAGCCAGCGCAGAACAACAATGCAGCTCAGTTTTAAAAGATTAAAAAATGTTCTGTGGGCACCAGGAACTTAAACATCAGCGGCAGCGGCAGCAGCAACGGCAGGACTTTGGCACAGGATGCAGTCTGGGGGCATGAAACTTTTTAGCACTTTTATTGCTGCCTGCCACTACAGCAAACTGTCTGAAACAGACAACAACGGCCACACTTTGCCATCAGACGACGACGGGAGACGTGAACAAATTGTCAGGTTGTTGACGAGTCGCTGTGCTGATGTTGCTGCTGCTGCTGCTACTGCCTCTGCTGCTAATGTTGCAGCTGCAGCTGCAGTTGCAGTTGCTGTCAGAATGCAGACATAAACAACAATTTAGAGGAATACAATAAACAGCAATTCTAGCGGGGAACGCAACTTGCCACTCGGCCAGGTCATAAAGCAGGTCTCTGACTCCATATCTTCGTTGAAAAGAATGGGGAAAAACATCAAAGATTCTTCTACCTTTGCCAAGCACTGAGGAAAATTTCTTTAAAGAGTGTTTCCTCTAAACTTTATATAATAAATATCAAGAATATTTATAGGGAATTTATTTATTCATCCTTAGATAAATCTGAATTTATTGCAGAGAATGGATGATATCCCAATCGAACTATCAAGATTTAATATGAAACTGTCTAGACTCTAGACCAATTTTATGATTGTTTTGGCTTTGGGAGCCAACGACTACCACTGTTTATGTTTTCGTTCAGACGCACGAGATGAATCTTGATGCACTTGAACAAAATTAAACTACTCATTTAAGTTGTGATTACCCGTTGCGCTGCCTCAAGTGGCCGGCGGGCAAAGTGTGCTTATCAACACCAGAAAATGCAGAAAATGTGGGCGTTGCTGGCTGCCGGGGGGAGTGCGATGGCAAGTTTAAACAAATATTTTATAGAGCACACACGATGATGGCACCCGGCTGGGCTGGCAGCATCCAAAGCCCCCTCTTCAGGTGCAGCAGCTGTGGGTTAATGCCGGCATTAGTGCTGCTGTGCTGTGCTGTGCGGTGGTTTGTGTGTGTGTGTGTGTGTGTCTGGGAGGGCTTGACATAGTTTCGAGCGGGCGCTTAACGCTGAGTTATCTAAAATACAAACACACGCACCCGTTGCACCCGGGAAAACAAACACTCGTGCTCACAGGTGAAGTTGATTTATGCAACAGCTTGCCAAGGCAACTGATTTTGCACTGCAAAAAGCTGGAACGCCAGTCTAATGCAATAAATACTGTTTGGAAATTACCAAATAAATTCCCTGATTGCACGTTAGATTGGAAATTAGGGAACATAAAATAAACAATTGTTTCCCCGTAAATCAAAGTTTTGGAAGCACTTTCGTTGATAACCTCACTAGATATTCTCGCAGTGCCCAAGACACACTTGCTGAGTATCATAATTTTATAAACTTAAGGCCTTTACACCTATTAAAACGGAAAAGTGTTGGTATGCTGCCGCTGCAGCACATGTGTTCGTTTGTTTGTGGCACTCAAAAAACTAGCAGCGCAAAATTGCATTTCATCCCACAACTGGGCCAAAAGGGATGAGGATACGCCGCCACACCGCTCCTTTGGTCCGTTGCAAATTCATGAAATTTTCATCATCATTTCATGCTGCAGTTGCAGCCTGCACTTATGTGCAGCTATTTTATGCATGAAACCAAATAACGAACTCCCTTGATTTCCACAGTCTGCGGAGGGAGACTTCCATTACTTCATTAATGGTCAAAAGGCCGAAAAGCCAACGAAAAGGCAGCACAGAAATTGGCCTCAGAGAACATTGCGAACATACAGAAGAATTGCAAGTAAAATACAGTGAAGAACATAAATATAATCCGCATAACTTTGTGAAGGAAACGGGCGGGCAGAGGGCATGGGCGCTTAACCTTCTCGCCTTACCCGTTGGCACATGCGTTCCCGTATAATTAGTCATGAAATCGGAGACCCGAGACGTGCCGAGGGTTTGTCTAGGCGGCATTGAAGGGTTGCCCCAGTCCCAGTCCCCTTGGCCCCCAGAAATCGTATACCCAACTGCCCGCCAGATGCGCTTGGCTACTTGTCGCGTGTGTCATTCATCCATCCACCTTCGCACAGCGGGGGTCACAATAATAGCATTAAAAGGTTAATACCAACATGAATATTACGAATATCTGTTAGTATTCAGAAAATTTAATTTTCTTTTTATTAGTTAGTTGAACAAATTAAGAGCAATTTTTATCCATTTAATAATTTGAAAAGTTTACAAGCTCAAGGTGCTACAATATTGACTTGAACTGTTCATGCCGCGTCTTACTTCGCCCAGCATGTGGCCCAGGTGATTCGAACACGTTTTCACGTTGCACAACAAAAGATCCAAGGAATGCATCGCTGGAAAACCAAAAGGTAATGACGAGGAGGGTATTCTGGTAGTACTGGCAATGCATCGATGACTTTCCCCCTAGCGGTGCTATATCACAAAAAGCTAAAGCCGGACCTGCCAGCTGCATTGCGTGTGGCGCAGGCAACATGGTAATTCAATTTATCCGTCGAAATCCGTCAGCGGGAATAGAAAACAGGGAAAACAAACACTGTGCAAGCCATCTCTTTAAGATTGGAAATGCTTAGGAAAAGACCTGATGAAAAACAGACTCATTCAATTTAAAACCAAAAAAGTTTCTAAAAAACTTTTTTTATTAGAAGATGCAAAATCATTATGATGTTGAACTTAATTGAACTAAAGTTCCTGCGTTTCCAAATGTAATTTCTAAAGCTATAAACATTCAAGATATAGCCAGCCAAAGTGATTTATTTTTACGATTCTTTTTCAGCCTCCAACGAAATCGTTGTTTAAGATTGGTCAATTAGCTGTAGATGTGGGGATATGCACGGAAATTTATTACCAGTTAGGAACATGTCAAAGATATAATAACGGATTTTATGCGGTCATAAAGAATATACTCGCTGGAAAACCTTGGTATTAGGCCTATGGATCGTGTTTATTTTTCGTTAAACAACTATCTGAAAACCAGGCCTAACTCAACCCAAATGATTTACGTATGCGAAGCGGGGATTAGCGGTGGCAGGCGGCTGGGCAAGTGCCGAAAAACTCGTTTTGGAGTCCACTTCAAGAACTGGAGCAAGCTGCTCGAGTAACCACTGTTATTCCAGCATCTCTAGCTCCATCAGGTTTTTTTATTCTCTTTTTTTTTTTTTTTTGAATTGAGCACACAGCTGGCAAGCCAAAAGGAAAACACTGTGGGCCAAAAAAAGAATATTTCGCGTTTTATCTGGGCGTTAGGGGCAGAATAGGAGAAGTTAGGCGAGAGCAAGAGAATAGCGCCGATAGACAGATGAATGCGGAGATAAAGCTGCCCCCACAAATTCCCGCTGCCAAAGTGGAACAAGTTCAAAATCGCCCGCGGCCATGTGACAAAAACTTGGCAGTCTCAAAAAGGAAACCCCAAAACCCACAAAAAGGAAACATATTTCCATTAGTTTTTCGTGTTCTGCTCACCTTTGATTCGGTCAAAGTTGGTTATCGCAACCTGAAATGAAAGAGAGATAGTGGTTCGTCAATTATAATCAGAAGTACTCCTTTATGAATAAAACAAATTTGTACAGATATAGGTGTACTAATAAATATATACATCGGTGGAAGTAAATAGATTTATTGCCAGGTCCCTTCCGATGCACATTTTCACATCCGCATGGCGGCTTATCAGCTGCTCTTGCCTGACTCTGTTTTTTAGTCTGACTGACTGCTTTCGTCGCAAACAAAAAAAGTAAATAAAGGAGGAGTAAATGTAATAATAAATCATGTTCCTCTATTGTATCAACTTGGGGATACCTGGTAAAAAAATAAATTAAAATAAATTTGCTTGATGCAGAGCTCACATATTAATTAATCTTCACCTGATTCAGGCAGCCTTCATTTGACTCCCTTCCTTTCATATATTTTTCTCTAAAATGGCTTACTATATATGAAAATAGGACTAAGCCTAGTATACCCTAAAAGTTTGGTGATATGGGAACCCAAAGAGCGGCGCTGATGACGACGCCGCGTAAATATTGATTTTATGTTTGTATGTATAAGAGAATTTTTCGTATTTATAACCCCGCCGAAACTTCATTTTTATATGCATCAGCCGAATATGCGTAAACACAAAAGACCCAAAGCGAATCAAAACAAAGGAGGCCCAGACCCTGAGCTTTATGGCCGGGCCGCGCTTAAAATATTTCAAACACGTTGAAACAATTGCCAAGAGAAGGCGCTAAAATAGAGCGAAAACAGAATCAAGCAAATTTGTTCTGTATTTTATGATATGAGAGGGAAGTCAGTCGAACGAACGGCAGAAGACGAGGTTGGTAGGTTGGTAGGAGGTTCACCCGTCTACGCCCCCTTTTTCAAGCAATCACATTTTCAGAACGACCACCCCTACGAACTGCTAGGATTTCCCTTTGTCAGCTCCCCTCTTTGTTTTTATCCTTTTCGTTGCTGGAAATGCTCACGTGACCTGCTTGCCAAAGTCAACGCAAAAACGTCTCAGGATGTGCGGATTGTGCCTCGAGGCATTTGCTAAGGTTATTCCAAGCAAGAGGGGCTTCTGACCCTATGAGGCAACTCGACTCGACTCGGGTCGTTAGAGAAGCAGCAGATGTATCACTTTCAGTTTCCGTCAGTCAGCTGAGTTTCTCTCCTCAACTCGGTCCGCGCCAGCTGTCCCTCGTTTTCCGTTTTCTCTATATCTCTTTCTCCGATTCGAAGAGTGTACGCCCCAAATAAAAGTGTTGAAGCGGCGAGGGTCATGCATGCTTCTCTTGTTTATTTTAGATCGGGCACTTGAAGATAGCGAGAAAGAAAATTTGAGCAAACAGCAGGGGAGCCGAAAAGAACAAACGATGAACACCACTTTTATTGCCTTTTTTCTGGACCAATGCCTTTTTACCATATCAAGAAATATTAAAAAAATACAAAGTACTCTACATAAAACGCTCCAACATAAATAAAACTGTATCAACGGATTTTATTGTTCAATAACGAGATTTTCAAACCGGATAAGGATGAGTTCAGGAAACTGAAATGAAAACTTATGTAAAGACAATATTTAACTCCTGTTTTACAGAATTCAGCTATCTTTAATAGATGGACATCGTCAACGAGATTTATCAGTTACAAACTAAACATTTTTGTTTGCATCGTTCAAAGCGAAACCGCAAATGAAATCAAAGCAAAACTGAAGTGGTGAACAGATAAGAGAGTCTCAAGAGAGTTGTTATATGGCGGCAAAAAAATAAGTTACACTAAAAGCGTAGTTTTTGCACTGCAAAAATAATTCTAAGGCCCCCATGAACTAAAGTTCTAAAAGTAATAATCGGAATTCAAGGGAAATAACTTTCTACTTAGTCATTTGTATAAAAGTAAATACTTAACGTTTGGGTAATCGAAAAAAAAATATTTCTCAGAACTTTAGGCGATTCGTCACGGAATTGTCGTCAAATAAAAAACGTGACGTTAAACATGACGAAGAGGAAACACATAATTATTTCACATTGCTTATAAATTTTGGTTCATTGATAAATAGGGTATAAATTTTGCTTTTCTGAGTTCCCAATTCCATTTTGTTACCAAACCCAAACTTCCAACCAAAAGTTCAAAATCGAAACCCATAAACAACCAAAGCAACATGTTTTAGCCTGGCCAAAAATGCAATTTATGTGGCACAGTGGCAAAAAAAACGGCAGTAGCAGTTCTCGAACATGCAATATGGACATGTGAACAATTTTCCGTCAGCACAGCTGCCTTGTACAATCGATGCAAATGTGGGAAAATATTTTTTGATAGACCACACGAAAGAATAAGGAATTTGAAAATTATCCTCGCAGCGAAAATAAATTTCAATTTACGATCAACATTGGCGGAATGCAAGAAATTCGAATTTAAATTGAACATAAAACTTTTTAAAAAGAGAAAACTATGCTTTGAAAAAGAAATGTTTGTTTGTTCGAGTTGTTTGTTTTATAAGCAAACATAGCAAATATGAGCTTTTATTGCATCCCCAGTGTGTTAATTGGGGAGGAAATTGAGAAGCCCTTCAGCCCTGGTCAAATAGCACTTTAGCTTGGCTCGTGACGAACCCATCTATTGATTTAAAAAATCTATGTCAAATTGATTACAGCTGCGTCACGTAGCCCAGTAAAAAATCGAGAGAAAAAACTGCAATAATAATCAGCAAAGTGCATTGCATTGGAGAAGCGTTTGGGGAGCGTTCTGGGCTGCCATTCATTTAATTCCAGTTCACTTGAGTTCAGTTTCAGTTTTGGCTTCTGCTTTAGCTTCTGTTGGTGATTTTCCAGCTTTTTTGCGACAAGTGCAGCCCACTCTAGACACAATCCCAACTGCAATGCACTTGAGACAAAAGCTCCGGCGCAATGCAGCAGGAAAATGGGGGAAAAATCCACGAGAAGAGGGGCAGTGAAAATTCTGCCCACCCAATTGAAAATGAGTACGAGATTTCGCTATCGGCACAATCGCAGCGTGACATTTTGTCAGTCGTTTGGACAGTCATTCAATTGAGGCAGTTGCAAAGAAATAACTCGAGTCAAGCTAAAAAGTGGAGACAAATTACTACTTCATCAGAGGAAGTACTGCACAAAAAGTCTGTTCTAGATTCCAGTAGTTGTAATTACAATAAAAAAATGTCTCTTGATTAAGTATCTCAGCATTGAACCTTCTCTAGAGACAGATATAAAAAAGACAAATTTTTTGCGTCATCGAAGATTGAGTTTAATGCCTGTACTGCACAAAAACTTGTCTTAGTTTTATATACTTCGAATCTGAGACCGAGAAATATTGATCTGCTTTATTTGAAAATTGGAACTATGTAGAATATGTTAAGTTCCGTGTACTGCACTAAATAAAAATAAATCTTCCCACAATAAACAATCAGAGTTTTAACATTGATAAAGATATGTTATTTGCAGCAGCGCAAATTCTGTCAAACTATTTTACTTGATCAAAACTACCATAGAAACTATCAAAGCACAACAAATCCCTTTTGTTTGGCGTTTTCTATTTTTTTCCTACCACCAGAGTTTGTGTGGCGCCTTCATGCCAAGTAAGCTCAGCATGAAATATGCTATGAAAATTTGTAGCTGTCTCCAAAAGCAACACTCACTCCTTCACAATTTTCCCGCCCTGCATTTCCTCCCTCGCAAAGCGCATTTGCGGAGCTCAAGACTCCTCAGACCTAAACTACGTTCATGTCGCGCGTGTTTGCCTGATGAGGCTACAACGAATTTATCACGTATTTGTCACAAGAAATTCACGTGTTGGAACAAATAGTCGGTAAATGGAAAAGTGCTCAAATAAGCAGAAAACTTTATGAATGGTTGAGCAAGAATAGAGGTGCAAAAATAAAGCGCACAACTTTTATATAAGAGAAAGTCGTTATTTTATAATAAGGAAGCATTTGCTTAGCATGAGTTGGAGAACCAAATTCTAACTTAACTAACTTAATGTTAGTCTGATAAATACAATTTATTTAATGATTGCCATTTTTATAAATGCCGATTTTTTAAAGCGTCCTGTGAAACTGCTTTCATGAGCCTGTTAAGCTCACTTGTCCCTCTAAAGTTTCCCAGCATTTGCGACTAATTACAAACATTATTTCATCCAACGGGCATCTCCAACTACTCCAAACACACACAAAATTGCAGGACTCAAAGAAACTTCCTGCCCTAAAAGTAGCTGGCTAATGTCATATAAGTGCTGGGGTGAAAAATATCTAGAGCTTGATGAGGAAAATGAAGAGTTAGAAAGCACAAATTCAGATGTGAGTAAGGGGTTGTCTCTTCCACCAAGTTTGCAGTTTAACTTTTTAATTTCATTCGAGGGTTTTGAGTGAGGAATCTCTGTGTGGGAGCGTGTGCGAGTTTGTCTAAGACCTCCCAGAAATGTGAAGTTGTCAAGTTTTCCGTGCGTTTGGGGAATTGCTAGGGGAGTGGGAAATGGCGTAGAATGAAGGGTTGGTTGCAGGCATCTCGAGCATTTGCTTTATTCGCTGTCATTCTGGAAATGCCTTTGCATCGAATTTACTTTGCTTCCACACTTCTCTTTAGGGGCTACACTGGGAAAAATTGTATAAACACAGTATTATCTCCATCAAAAGATTATTATTTCATATTATCGTGTGTAATATACACTACAATTTATAATTAACGTTACATTTGGGAACTGTGAAATTTCTTAAAACGAGGTGACTTTTTTAAATAATGAATGGTTATTATCAGTGCATTTGGGGAGCTTCGGGGGGAATTGTATCTCCCAAGACAGTTATTGCGGCAACAGCTTTGCCTGTGATCCAGTTTCGTGTTTATATTTATCTGGCTGGTGGCCCGAAGCTGCTTCCTGCCGCCGACCAATTCACATCCTGTCAGGAATGCTGCTCCTTGCATGGCTGGCAAATTCACACCTTGTACTGCTGATTCGGGTTCAATGCTCGGAAATTTCATTTGAATATTAGCCCCAGCAGAGAGACAGAGATTGCATTCGAAAATCGATTTGCCATTTCGTTGGCCTGTCACAGGCAATAACCAAAGTTCCCAGGACCTTTGGCCCGTCCGAAAAAAATATTTACAAAACTTTGTGCCAAAAAATCCAATATTAGCGCAACAGTCTAATTTTTCGCTATTTATTGACTATCTCTACTTTTTCGCTTTGAAGGGATTAGCCAAGTTTTTGCCACACACATCAAGCGCTCAACTTCAACTCGATTTTCTAGTTTTTTTTTTTTTTTTCTACTATGACGGTTGGAAGCCGAGAGTTAAGTTCAGTTTTATTAGTTTTTGCCACGCTTTTCGTATTTATTTGCCAGAAATTACAGTGCGAGACCGCAGGGAGGCAGGGATTTTCGCCTCATAAACTTTTATTGTCCTGATCCTTGTAATTAAAAAGTTTTACTAAGTCGCAAAGCAGAGCTCTCATTTTAGTGTCATCCTATAAGTTTGGATGAGTGTCTTAAGCCTTCGAATTGGGTCGAATTTAAGTTGCAGCTGCAGTTTCTTGTACGTGACTGGCATTCATTAAAAGTGTTCTAATAACCGAGTAAATAAATTAAGCATTTTTTACTCTTATTTACTAAATTATTTACACTTGGTGTCCGATTTTTATGCAAAGTTAAATAAAAAAAAATATATATAACCTTATTTAAGCTTGGATATAATGCTCAATATAATAGTATACATTTTTGTCAATGCATTGAACCTTTGACCTCCTATTCTAAGAGTTTAATAAAATAATCCGGTCAGTTTCGCTCCAGAATCCAACTTCAGTTAGTTTGTTTATGGCCTCAGAACACCATAATAAAGGAATAAATACAGAAAGAAATTTATTTTTCGGTCGGATGCGTCCACAAAGGAAAATTCGGTCGGAGTAAAAACTCAATTTATGAAGCGAATACCAAAGTCTCCCCTCAGCCGACGGTGAAGCGGAGTCAATGAAAAATGCGAATGGAATGCCAGAAATGTTTGGCTTCACCTGGTCAGCAGCCAAATTGTTCATCTCCGACAGCGTGTGCTTGTGCGCTTTTGCGTTTTTGCATCGATGTGTTTCTGTGCTCTAATTGGAGTAACAGAGGCGCAAACTTTCTGCCACTGAATGCCGCCCATAAAAGCAGCTTTATGAAAATCGATAAAATCGAAAACTAGCCAACACAACAGGGCAACAGAAGCAGAAATAGGAAAAGCAACAACCACCGCAGCTCACACAATCGACACACGCGAAAAAGAAGTAACGAAGGTTAAGTTTGGGCATCGAAGTTTCAAATACCCTTTTTTTTTAAGCTATAACAATATTTGATTCATAAAACCGATTCTCCTAAAAAAAGATTAAAAAAAAAGTAACAGAAAATTTAAAGAAAAAATAGAAAAATAGTTTTAGTCAGCATTCTGGCTCAATATATCGAATAAAAAACATTAAATGCCTGTTTTTTATAGCAGTAGTAAATACATGTTTCACCAATAAATAGTCATACCCTTTCAAAGGATAGAAAAACAGTCCAACTGAGTCCGGAAATGTGTGCGGCGGAACGTGGTTTTGGGAATGGGCCAGGAGCACGCGTCATCGTCGCGGCCTCTCAATGGCAAGGCAAACAGGACGTGGAGTGGTGGTGTTGGGGGGCAGGACGACTGGCGGATGGCGGGTAAGGGCGACAGGAAGAGCCAGGGAAAAGCCGGAACAAAGCTCGCCGAGTGTGAGAGCGAAACAACCACCGACGAGGAACGATGCAAAAGTTGCCGGCGGTTTATGGTATGAAACAATGTTTTGTTGCCCAACGGATGTGCGCTGAAGGTAAGCGGTGAAGTAGGGAGTGGTAAGTGGTGAACGGGCAGATTCAGGAGCTGCGTGCAGCAAGATAGGGGGAGATATATGGGAAGAAAGAGATAGTAGAGCTCAACAGGACAAACAATGCAAATGTTTGCAGCGAACACAGAACAAAATAATACAAAAAAAACCATGTTTAATTTGTAATAATTAAATTCATTGTTTACAATTCTATTTCGTGGAACTCTTGAAAAATTGCAAAACCCTCACTATTAGAAAGCAGTTTAGTGCAAACATTAAATTGAAATTAAAATTTAAATAATTTTAAATTTGGATGTACTGTTCCAGTTTTTACTAATAAAAATAATTATTTAATCATTCACCCTGTTTTTCTCAGTGATCACACTCATCCGACCGTTTCAGGTTCCATTTGCCAATGGGTATGTGTTTTGGAGGGGATCCTCATCCCCATGGTCTCGATTTTCACGTTGATTTTGCCCCGCTGCAAGCATGCGAGTGTTTTATAGCCAACGACCTGTGCTAATCCCATAAATCTAATTGGCCCCTGGCCTCGCTCCACTCCCGGCCAGCTTTTGGGTTAGGCGGTCACACACAGGCCGAAGTGGAAAAAAAATAAAGTTGGGAACAAAGCAACATCCTCCACTACGTCCACGTCCATGTCCATGTCCATTTCCCTGTCTATGTCCAGTTCCCGTTTGAATTACACTCTTCCCCGGTGAAAATTGCGCCTGCAGCTTGACCATTAAATGTGACTGCAAACTTTTCGTTCGCAGGCAAAAACTTAACGACATAAATTAGAACTTTACCTGGGAACATCTACTCTCTCTACCAGCTCCACCTCAATTTATCCCCCCTCAGGTGGCTGAGCTCCAATAAAATGTCTCTCGCCGACTAAAAACAATTGCGAAATGCAATGTTGCGCCTGCAGCAGCAACAACTTTATTTTTAGCTGCACTTAGTCCTGGATGACTTGTCATTGTGCAGCCAAAAAAAAGCAACAGAAACGTGACAAATTTTTCTTAGGAGAATAAAAACTATAATATATATCCAACATTATAATTTTTTTCCATTATTTATATATTTATTTTGGGAAAGTTTTAGCCAGATAGCTTTAAAACTGAGAGACTAGTTTACATAGAAACCGACAGGAGGACAGACAGACAGACAGACGGACAGACGTATTTCGATTCAGATCGTGATGCTGATCAAGAATATATATACTTTATAGGGACTTAGGTGTCTCCTTCACTGCGTTGCAAACTTCTGACTGAAATTATAATACCCTTTGCTGTGCAAGGGTATAAAAATGAACTAATGATGCAGTTTGTTAGGGAATAAAATAAGAAAAGTTATGGTCTAAGAATTAGTGTATTTTGCTCAATTTTCAGCAACCACTTACAACCCCTTGTAAGAGTAACGGAAAGAAAAACTTTAAATTGGCATAAAAACTTTGAACTTTTGCAAAAAGGGCGAGGGGTTCAATGAGGGAGTTAGTTGGGTCAACGGCAGCCCATTAAATAGATTGATGACCAGGCCAACCAACTTGGGAACTATGTCAATTGCGACAGTAAACTGACAGAAAGAAGGTTACAAGTTGCACCCAAGCAAGCGGGGTAAATAAAATCAGAATTGCCAAGTAAAATCTTTTACTTTCATACAAAAATGGTCGAGGAGGTGGAGACGATCACTGGCTTTGCGCCCCGATATTTTGTGTCGCTGCCCCGGAAGATCAAGAAGCTTTTGGTATATCGCTTCCTATTTGCCACTTTACTGTGCTCGTGGTTGGATTATCAGCTGCTGGCGATTTTTTTGTGCATAAATCTATTTGAGGTGAGGCGACCGCTGGATTCCCTTAATGATATCTTGAACTGGACTCTGTTTTCGGTTTACACCGCTACAGTTATGTTGCTCATACGATTGAGCATAGTTCTTTATGGATTGATATTGTGCCACGTCCATTATGCCATTCCCCAATGCTATCCCAACAGAATGGCCAGGATAGTGTCCGAGTTTCCTCAACATTTTTGCCTACTTTCATCGATACTCTCAATAACTACCGCCAGCAGCTGGCTGTATGCATCCTTTGTGGAGTTTATTGATAAAAATTACTTGTTAGGAGGGTCTTGGTATTATCTTATGACCTTCGGTTGCTTCATTGGGATTTCCTACTTCCATAAGCATCACGGAAGGTGCCTGACAAGATTTTCATTGCCCATAGTTTATCTGGATATGAAAGAATGTCTCCTGCGAATGTGGCTATGTCAATTGAAAAGTTCTGGAAAACAAGCTATCGTACCAACATTATTATTTGCCCTGATTTACTGGCCATCAATGGGCTACTGGGAATCTACAGTATTCGATGGACTCGCTACTGGAGTTCAAGTGATTATAACTCAACCAACGCGACTTTTTCAAGGTTGGTTGCTATCCACCTTGACCCTTGCCAAATTATGCCTAGTTCGGGAGGTCTATGGCCTAATAATGCAACGAAAATTATCTTTAGTTAATGATTCAAGACGCCTGCACGAGTTTTTAAATCCTAACCTATTTACGCTTATTTTGGAGCGATGGAAAAACTTCACATGCATAATGCGAATGAAACCGATGGCAAGCAATAAACCGGGCAATAACTTCTGCCTCCCGGTTTCCATGGCTCTGGATACTCCTGAAATATATGGCTTTCAATTACTGGCAGCCCGCGATTTTTATGTCGCAATGTCGGGAAGTTTATGCAGCGAGTTATACAAAATCAAATGCTCAACTATAAATCGCAAATGGACTGAGCTACGCGACGTTATACTGGGTTCGGCAAATGAATTTCTGGCCGGTATGGATTCATGTTTGGAGTCGACTCCTCGCATTAAGATTTCCCATTTACTAAAGACTAAAGCGCCGCAAAAGCCTGGACTTCGTTTCTTGGTAAAGCCGCCCACACGCCAATTACCACTTCGATGTCGAGGTCATCCAAACTGTCAGGTACTAGAGCAAACTTGGTGTTTTTGTAATCTTCAACAATATTTTCTCAAGAGAGTGTTTTACTATTGGAATCGTATTTGGTCTCGAATGCCAGTAGTTCTTCAGTGGTATTGTTTTCTCCACGATCCAGTTCCTTTGGCCAAACTTAACCATGTGTTGAAATGTGCAGAGCCTCTAGTTTGGTCCCTTCAAGGACTTGTTTGCATTTGCGTAAGATCCGCTAAAGAAGACACATTTGGCTACATCCAGAGCGATTTAGAGAGCATTTTGAAATGTTTATTAAATGTGCAAGAGAAGTTGATCAGTGCCGAGGAGATGCAGATGAGGGAGCTGGGAAAGCTTTGCTCCAGTCATGATCTTTTATTGAAGGCCATAAACCGTTGTTTATACAAAATGCTGTTTGTTTTTGGTCCATATGTCGATTTTCTTCTGTACGACAAGCATTTGAATGAAAAAGTCAAAAGCAGAATGGACTTGCTGCCCTAAGTTTGTTATGTTTCTTTTACGAAAACCGATTTCAACAATTAAAATTAATAACGTTTAAAAGTTTTCCGCAAAAAAAACTACTTTTTACTTCAAAACAAAACCTTTAAAACTTCTTTAGCTCCAGCAATCATCTCCACATTAATTCTTTTTTTTTTTGTCGCACTTGCCACGCACTTTTCACTTTTCCACGCCTTTTCTGCTCTCCAATCTTCTCTTTTCTCCTTTTCTTTCCTTATCAATAAAACGCTGCTGCATTGTTTGCTGGCTAAGTGGACAAAACACACACACGCACAAATGGCAGGGAAAGGAACAAAGGAAGAGCTCAAAGAGAGTGGCGAACAATTGAATTTTCTACTTGTGCTTCTTCTTACTCCTCCACTTTTGCTTTGACTATTTTTTTTATTCGTTCGGATTCTCCTTATTGCACCTCCCACGCTGTGTTATCCCCTTATCTCTCCCCTCCCTCCTCCTTCTCCTTTTGATTGCCATTTGCCTTTGTGGTCGTCCGTATCATGTAAACGCTTTGTGTGCAAAATAGAAAATGCGAAAAACAACAACAGAAAACAAACTGCGAGCAAAATAGAGAAATGAAAAGATCTCAACAAGTTTGCCGTTAGTCGAGCTAAGCAGATTTACTTGTTTGAGAGCGTTTTGCGATTGCCATTTTGCAATGATTTAAGAAGGGGTCGAAAGGAGAGCTGCAAAGGAGGGGTAAAAGGGGTCATGAGCAAGTGCAGAGGCCAAAAAGCATAATTGCCCAGTTGCACTCAAATGAATCTCCATTGAAAACCCCCACTCACCAATCAAGGGTTAAAGTGTGGGCTGCACAAGAAGCGGCATCAAATGTACACAGTGCATAACAAAAATAGTTTTTAACGATTATAACAAAGTAACAATAAAGCTACATAAATTAGGATTGGGATTTTGTCCCTGAAAAAGTTTTTTTCGGTTTTTCTTCTAATTTGGCTAGGTATTAAAATATTTACCTAATTTCTATCCTAATTGGCGTATTAACATAGATGTGCAACTTGTGACCATACAAGTTTTTATTTCATAATTCCTCGACATTTTAAATTTAATTCCTATCATACAATGATAAGAAAAATTCTGTTTTCAATTTGCTTTCGACCACTGTAAATAAAAAATGTGAAGCAACGATAAACTATTTGTGGTCTTTATCAGCGGCTTGTCTTTAATAAAAAACAGAAGAACAAATTGTGGCAAAAGGGGAAGAAGTTGCAGAGACAGAAAACAGACGGCAGCAATGTTAATTGAAGGGTTTTTATTTTTTTGGGAGTAAGAAAACTTCACTGCAACAGATAAGCAACAAATACAAAAAGTAAAAACAAATTTTGTGGCTTGAACTTCAAAGCACACGAAGCGTCGAAAAAAGGAAGGGGTGTGTGGGGGGGATGGTTAATAAACAAGCCACCAAAAGGTAAATAAATAAGCACAAAATGCCGAAAATAGCGCTCAGGGAATAAATACAGTAGGACAGAGCGAGAGGGAGAGAACGAACAGCAGCTGCGCCGACGCCTGCTGCTCTTCAACTTCTTCTTCTTCGTCGTCTACCCCCTCGCTCCAATGCTCTCCTCCTCCTCTTGTTCTCCACAAATTAAAGGCAATTACAATAACAACAACAACAACCAGAAATGCTCTTTGACTTTTTACAGCAGCCGGAGCAATGAATAAATAAATACAGTGCACCCTCTTTGCAGTGAACATAAGTTTTTCGTTTTTATTATTAAGTTATTAGTTTATATTCATAATTACTGCCAATGACATAATTTTTTAAAATGTAATAATTTTTCATTCAAAACTTGTATAGTATTTACTCCATCGAGAATCCACTGTAAAGTTTATCAGCAGCAAATGAATAAATAGAAATGCAGCGGGAGAGCAAATCTGGCTCTCACTCTTCTTTTTTTTAGTTTTCGTGTTTACTTATTTGCGTTCATTGGCTTCTCATCTTAACGGCACTTTGGGCCAAGGAGGTGCGAATGAAAAGGAGCTATAATCCGGTTTTTTTTTATCGCACTTACCTTTTTTAATTAGAATAAATCAAAACTTATGCTGCGGATTTTTTGTTTGCTATCAACGGCAAGCGAAACTTACAGTTACGTCTGCCACTGTAGGTAAAGTTGATGTTGTTTTTAATTCACGGTCTGCGGGCCAAATAAAAAAAACAACAAATATGAGATTTTTTGTATTTTTGCTTTTTTACTTTGCGCTGAAGTTCGGCGCTAATTGGAAAAGAGATGCGAGAAAGGGAGAAAAACTATAATTAAACGCTAGCGAAAAAGGGTCTTAAATATCCTGCGGGCGCAACAAAAAGGAGAAAAACAAGAAAAAAAGAAGGGGAAAAAGTAACAAAAAGTAACAGAAAGTTGCAGGAGAGGCGTTGGTCTGCAAGGGAAGAGGTACGGAAAACGCTCTTCCGGGAAAAAGAGAAAAATTCGAAAATCACAGAGAGAAGTGCTGCGCAGGATATTTTAGCCGTCTATCAAAAACTATTATTTAAATTTAATAGGCACTGCGGGTTCGTCATGTTTTTCTCGTTTCTTTATTATTGGCCACTCCGCTTTGTCACTCTACTTCGATTTTAATTTTTCCACTTCTTCATTCGCCCCATGAAAGTATATGTGCGAGGGAGGGAGATGGAGCGAGAGAGCGTGTTTGTGTTTCCACTGCAACTCCAAATCTTCTTTCTCTTTTTTAACACACACAAGGCACACACGCACACTCCAACAGTGGGAGTTGGAAACTTACGCGTCGCCGTTATTAACTTTTTTGCAAATAGCAATAGTTTTTAATTCAGCTTTCCGCACTGCAAGCCCCGTTTAATGCACTATTGTTTGACGATAAGAAGCCGCCGAAAACGCCGACCGAGAAGAAAAACACCCACGCTGGAAAAACGCGTCCGAATCGCGGTAAATTTTTTTCAGAATGAGAAGTAGAGATGCATGTTTTTGATTAAAAATTGTTTCGATGTTTTTCCTGATGTATCGATGTTTTGAAACATCGATGCACCTCGTAACCGAGCGAGTACAACCTCCTTATCTAGCGAATACACACTCCTAACCTAGCGGATACACCCGGTGCGGGACGCAATCCACAGTGTTGCGTCCCACAGCGCAGACTCGAACCCATATACATTTCTCCTTTATGCTACACAAAATATCGTATGATATTAAAATAGTTTTTAAATTATAAAATCTAAATTAAAGTAATGTCATATGTCATAAATCGACTAAACTTGTAAAATTGCATATTTTCGAGTTTGGTTGGTTTTGGTAACAGAAAACAACAGACTTTCTTTCTTCTCCACAATAACTGTAATTCTTTGCTTAACTTTGGATATATTTTCTATACAAATTTTCTATATTTTCTGCTTTTTATTTTCTGTTTTTTAGAATGTGTTATTTTTTGCATTTATGGAGTATATGTGCGATCTAAAAAAATATGACTATTTTAAGTTTGGATACATGTATTTATAAATTTATATGAACGATGATATTTAATGATCTAAATATCAGAGTACAGAAATATATTCAATTTAACATGTACCTGCAATATGTAGGGTAATTACCTTTACGTACTCACTTTATTTTAAGAGATATGTATGTTTTTAAAGTTTAGAGAGTACCCTTTAACATTATAACAGATCTTTTGGCAAAATATCAATTTATACTGAAAACGGGGTGGTTTTCAATTTTCATCGGCAGCAGAGCTTCAGAAATATAATGCAGCTAATCATAAATAGTAGGGTTGTTGATAATATATCAAAATATCAATATATCGATATTTTCTTTTTAAAATGATATATTTATATCGCAATTTTTTGTTTGCCTAAATATCGGAAAATCGATATATTTTTTTGATATTTTTTGATATTTTTGTCTTGGTTACTTTGTATTCCAAAGCGACTTCAAGTGAACGAATTTAAGCGCAAAATAATATTTTCGCAAAATGCGCGCAAAAGAAGGAATGTACATATGTGATATGTGTGCGTATGGCCAGATTTCGTTGTCTATTTGTGCATATGTAACTTACGCACATACCACCGAAATTTGGCGCCAAACGCGCACACACACGTTGTATATATATTAATTAGCTTTCATTCTTAGCTGTCCACGAACTTTGAAGGTATTATGACAATAACGGAGACTTTCAAGAATGCTGAAGTAAGGATTGTTAATAACAAAAAAACGGTGCAAAATTTTCACTTTCCGCCAACGGATTTCGAAGTCCGGACCGCACTTGTAAACAATTACCGAAACTTATTGTCTTTTTATTGTGGGCAGGAAATTTTTTTATTTAACACAAAAAATATCAAAAATATCAAATATATCGATATTTTTCGGTGATATTTAGAAATATTATTATCATATTATTTGATAAAAAAAATATCATCGATACGATATTTTTAAAATTTTCGACAACCCTAATAAATAGTTCTGATAAATCTTTTTTGACTAATAGATTTTTTGCATAAATTTTAGATTGTAGAGAAATAACAAAATTATATTTTTATCAAATATTAGAAACCAAAACATCGCTTGTTAGATTCTGCATGGATTTTTGTCATCCCTAAAAAGACTACCGGCATTAAGCAAGTTTCTATGAGGGGGAAAGAGATACAACTATAAAACTGGGTGGCAACATCGTGCTAAGGATGGTTCATAAACACAATAGTTTCAAAGACATTTTTGATATTTTATATATTTATTAACTGTAATGAATAGAAGATGTGATTTTTTAACATGAAATAAGCAAATCAAAGTTTTCTGGTTTATTTTCACATTCACCCGATATTCACTGAATCATTCTATCGTAGAGTCGCTCACGAACGAGTGAACTGGTTCGCGGCTTGCTGCCACTCGCTCCCACCGCTAACAGTAGTAACAATTTTGTGCGCGTATTTTCTTGCTGTTGGCTATATTGCCAAAACTCGGAGCGGCGCCAAAGTTAAATATCTCCAACATATTTTGGTTCTCCCCGATCAGCAATCGGAGTTTATAGAACCGGCAAACACCGATTAAAGAGAGATTTAAAACAGCCGACCAAGCCGCAAAATGCAGTCTCACAGCAAAAAACGCGTGTGCTACTACTACGACAGTAAGTTAAAAACAAATACATAATGTTAAAGGCCTACTAAGCAGAGAACTCTTAAATGCAAATAAGCGTTTTTGCTTTCTATGCCGACTTTGTTTTTTTTTTTGCATCCACTCGACATCCGATGATAGCATTTTTGCGAATTTCAAGTTTTACGGCGACTGTACGAGCGCGTTCCGGTCCACAGCGCACTTTTCCGAGACGGCCGCAGTGCGGTTGTATGCGTGTGCGTGTATGTACCTGTAGGTCTCTCCGTCCTCTTTGTGTTTTTGTTGCTGTTCGTTCAGGGCGAAAGTGCGACCGCTGCGGTCGTTCGGGAGAAGTGAAGCTGGGCCACAGACGCCTCGCCGACAGTGCTCATAAAATTTGTATTTTGCATAGCGTGGCAATTAATTGTTTTTTCAACGAGCTAATGTTAATGATTTTTGATCCCCAGGTGACATTGGCAACTACTACTATGGCCAGGGTCATCCCATGAAGCCCCACCGCATACGCATGACCCACAACCTGCTGCTCAACTATGGGCTCTACAGAAAAATGGAGATTTACGTAAGTTACTGGTAAATAGTAAAAACTTAAACGAAAATGATTGGGTTACCGTATTCGGTAACACGTATAAAATATTGCTTATTTAAAAACCAATAATATTTTCAAGTTAAACTAGTTTATCTTATACATGAAGTTGTTAATTAAATTATAATCTCCCCTTGCAGCGTCCCCATAAAGCCACTGCCGATGAGATGACCAAGTTCCACTCGGACGAGTACGTCCGGTTCCTGCGCTCCATCCGGCCGGACAACATGTCGGAGTACAACAAGCAGATGCAGCGATTCAATGTGGGCGAAGATTGCCCCGTCTTTGACGGACTCTACGAGTTCTGCCAACTCTCCGCCGGTGGATCCGTGGCTGCAGCAGTCAAGCTGAACAAACAGGCCTCCGAGATCTGCATCAATTGGGGCGGTGGCCTGCATCATGCCAAGAAATCGGAGGCCTCCGGCTTCTGCTATGTCAACGATATCGTCCTGGGAATTCTGGAGCTGCTGAAGTACCACCAGCGTGTTCTCTACATAGATATAGATGTCCATCATGGCGATGGCGTGGAGGAGGCTTTCTACACCACCGATCGTGTGATGACCGTCAGCTTCCACAAGTACGGAGAGTACTTCCCGGGCACCGGCGACCTGCGAGATATTGGCGCCGGCAAGGGAAAGTACTATGCGGTGAATATACCCCTGCGAGATGGCATGGATGATGATGCGTACGAGAGCATCTTCGTGCCGATAATCAGCAAGGTAATGGAGACATTCCAACCGGCAGCAGTGGTGCTGCAATGTGGCGCCGATTCCCTGACTGGCGATCGCCTAGGCTGCTTCAATCTCACCGTCAAAGGTCATGGAAAGTGCGTGGAGTTCGTGAAGAAGTATAACCTACCTTTCCTCATGGTCGGCGGTGGTGGTTATACCATCCGAAACGTCTCCCGCTGCTGGACTTACGAGACCTCAGTGGCCCTGGCCGTGGATATCGCCAACGAACTGCCGTACAACGACTACTTTGAGTACTTTGGCCCCGATTTCAAGCTGCACATTAGTCCCAGCAATATGACAAATCAGAATACGTCCGAGTACCTGGAAAAGATCAAGAACAGGCTGTTCGAGAACCTGCGCATGCTGCCCCATGCTCCAGGCGTTCAGATCCAGGCGATTCCCGAGGACGCCATCAACGATGAGTCCGACGACGAGGACAAAGTGGACAAGGACGATCGCCTGCCGCAGAGCGACAAAGACAAGCGGATCGTGCCGGAGAACGAGTACTCCGATTCGGAGGATGAGGGCGAGGGCGGTCGCCGGGATAACAGGACGTACAAGGGTCAGCGGAAGCGACCGCGCCTGGACAAGGACACTAACAGCAACAAGGCCTCCTCGGAGACGTCCAGCGAGATCAAGGACGAGAAGGAAAAGGGTGGGTGATTACTCCGATTCATTCGGTAATTGGCAGATCAAAGATGATTTTGTATTTGCTTAGATTGATGTAATGGAAAGAAAAAAGTTATGACCGATAGAAGAAAAACATTAGACTGGATCATTTTAATATGATCACATACAAAGGTCTTTATGTCTTAAGAAAAAGTTCTGGGGAAATCGGCATTCCATTTTAATCGGCCTGAAAATAAGTTTTCTTGATGTTTATGTTAGCTTCCTTCAAGCAAATACAATAATCAACTAGTTTATTAATGTGATTAAACCCCGACTAATTAAATCATTATCCTGTTTTTAGGTGATGGAGCTGATGGCGAGGAATCGACGGCGTCCAACACGAACAGCACCAGCAACAACAACAGTAACAACAAGAGCGAAAACGATGCCGGAGCGACGACCAATGCCGGATCCGGATCGGGTTCAGGTTCCGGTTCCGGAGCGAAGGGCGCTAAGGAGAACAACATATGACGTGGCGGCCGCAATTGGTTATAGAAGCCAATTAAGCGACCGCCGAAGTACAAGCCGCCGGATTTTACCTAGCGTCGTCTCATCGTGTCCTCTCATCCACCACGCCCCCTGCTGAGCCACGCCCACGGCTCCCTCTACACGCCCCTGCATCAGTTCCCCTGCGATCGGCTGCTATATAGTGTGCATGCTAAAATCCATCGCTTTCCGGGGGGACAAATCCGTAATCAGTGGGCGGGACTTAAACTCATCGTAAGATAAAATACGATTTATTTTAAGGCAATCTGTGCAGATCGCAAGTGTATAAGCTAAGCAAAAAGAGTAAATTCATAAATTTAAGCGATCCAATTTGGCGAATCAAGCAGAAAATAATCTAATCCAATAAATATTTATAAATACCAAAAGCCTTTGAATTATATTCTTTGGAGTTTTAGAAAGTATTTGATATTCAAATTGGATATCTTCTACTTAATAGGAGCACAGAATCTTATCTTATTATTTAAAAACATAATACTTACTTTTAAGTTTCTAAATTATTTCGAAATTGGTTTCGGTAAAATAACAAAAAATCAATTTAACAATTTATTTGTATCCGGACTAAGACTAGCTAACAATTTGAAAGTTTCTAACCGACATTGAGTTTCTAAGTTGAGGTTGTGGCATCGGGGAAAAGAATCCACTGGGGGATTTCCCGCCCACCAGTTGACAGTTTGTGACTAGTCTGCGAGGCTTTTCCGGGGGAAGGGAGCGACTGGGCGGCAAACTGGCTGCGGCGCTAATCCAGCGATAATATCGAGTCGATGCTGCACAGTGGTCGGTCTTGTATGGAGAAGGCGGCCAAAAATACTTCCAGTAGGAATATCGAGTTGAAATTTTTTTTGTAGGTATATAATAGCGTATGAATGTTATATTTTAAGTATCAGCACCATTAAAGCCAAATATATCCGCTACCATCGTGTTTACCATAAAATGTTCAAAATTTGACTCCCAAATGCATACTACACTTTTTTTTAAGCGTAACTGACAAAAATTATATTTGTTAAACACTTAATTTTGGTTAAAAAATTAACAAAAGGTAACAAAAAACGATGATTAACATAAATTTATAGTAAAATAAAAGTAATAAAAAATAAATTTTTCAATATATATTAGAAATGGTTACTCTAGAAAATCAAAAACTGATGAAAAAGGAACGAGGTACTCGTCTTCTTTAACAGATTCTGAACGGATTCGCAGCTATTCGCAGATGATTTTCACAGATAATACTAATTAAATATCGATTAACATTTTAAAAAAAATTTCATTATTGAGAAGTTTTGGGAACACAACTTTTACCTTTGCAGAATATTGATGTTTAGTTCTGCAGAACTTGTAAAATTGAGGTGGATAAACAATTATTGTCACAGTCACATATAGCATGTAAAATTAATAAAAATTAGAAAAACACAATCTACAAACCTTCAACTTTAATATTCATTTCACTTTCGGATATTAAACGATTGTTTTATATTTTTTTTAATTATTAACTTAACGCTTTCAAAAGACATGCGCACGCTTTCAGTTGATCGCTGGGTTTGTGCGCTCACTTTGCACCCCAATTTCTCCGCAAATATGTGGAGCAAGACAAAACTAATACTTGCTTTTAAAGCCTTGTTTTATTGATAAACAGATGCGCCAAACTTGAAATTAAAATTCCAAAATTGATTTTTTGATTTTTGGCCTATGGGACCGACCACTGTGTGCTGGTGCGATTACTGCGCGGCTGCAGTCGTGGTCCACCCAAGTAACTAATTGGATTCGCGAACTGGCGCTGTAGTAGTGAGTTTTCCAGGAAAATCGGTGGCGGCGGCATCGGCGGGGACGTCAGTTTCGGGTGATGGCGACGCAACGGCACCGAGGGCGGGAGTTTTCCACCCGGCTCCTCTGGATTTTCCAACCCATTCGCTGGCAGGGTGGACCCTGTTCGCGCATTGGCATTTGCGGCTACATCAAAGGACTCGTCGTTCGGCTTCTGCTGCTTTGGAGCCTCTGTGTCATCGGGCGCTTTGTGGCGGGATTTGTGTCCCTGTGGCTGCTGCTGCGCTTTCTGGGGGAGATTGGGCATGAAAATGGCACCAGGACATCGGGCGGAACGGAAACAGATGCAGGTTTTGCGAGGAGGGATCGGAAAACGGGCGGCGGGGGGGAGGAGAGGTTCAGGAATTTAGATCAAATATTTTTCAGGGTTTAATTCTATTTGGCTTTAGTCAAAGTGACGTTCAATGGACATGGACGGCAGTGAGGGGATCATGTTTGTTTGTGTGTGTGTCCAAAGAAGAGATAAAGTTTTATAATTATTTAAAGGCTTTGAGAGATAGATAGAAGAGGGGGAGGGGGAATGGCGGTTATTCAAGCTGCTTTTTGGGTCCGGGCAAAAGTTTATTTATTTATTTTGTTCACGGGATTTTGGCACCTGTCGTGATTTGGCACTTTATGTTGTTAATACAAATGCACTGAGCTGACATGAAAGTGTACACTCGAAAGTTGTAAATGTTTTGAGTTTTATGGTTTTCGTACTTCTAGTTTAAACACCTTAATAGCTTGAGTTTTAATAAATAATAAAAAACGTATAATTATAATATGCAAATGTTTTTTTACTTCTAGTTTAAACACCTTAATAGCTTGAGTTTTAATAAATAATACAAAACGTATAATTTTAATATGCAAATGTTTTTTTATTACAAAAGTTCCATTTATTTGAAATGAAGATTAAGTTTTTTTAGTTTAATTGTTTAATAAAATCATCAGGATATCAAAATTAAACCTGTTTTATATTATCATAAAAGAGTCTTTATTTTAGTTATTATTATTTTCTAGGTGTATGTTGGCGTGTGTTTTGTGTGTGTGCATCTGCTGCATTGCATTTTGGATTGCAGAGCGTGTCCTGCCTGGACCCCGTCCAAAATCCATTTTGCTGCCCCATAAGCCCGGCCCAAAGGCCCTTGCCAACAAAGGCGCCACGTCAGTCCCCGGATGGTGTCTTGGTTACACGAAACCCGCCAGTCACTTCACAGCATTTTGTATGGCAGTCTCACAATTCATACTCCATGTCCACGACCCCAAGCCCCGCCCTTCCTATTCAGCGCTGGGGGCGTGGCATCGTGGGCATCTGCCCGAAAATCAACTGCAAGGAGAGCGGCTAGAGCGCTTCAGTCAAGTGCAAATGTGTTGGCCAAGCGACAGCGATGCATTTACATACTTTCATAGGAGGAAGTTGCGAAAATCGGGGATTCGCGACCCTAAAAGTATCCTAACCTAAATATTCATAAAATTAATAATACTTTTGCCCATAATATTTAGTATTTCAAAATGGAATAAACTATGAAGAGAAGGGATTACTTTAGGGTAATATCTAAAATTTTGAGAGGCTTTAAAAAATATAATAAAAGCAACTATGTTTTAACCTTTTCAGTTTCATATGTTCTCGGTTAATAGTTTTGAAAGTAGATCGCTGCACTGCCAAAACTCTTTGGCATTGGGCACAAAAAAATGCATTTAAAATGTTATTTTTGGCTGGCATTCGCAACTGCCTGCGCTTTTCATACTTTTCCATTTTCCATTTCGCATTTGCAAGGGACCCATTTCAGTTTCATTTTCGAGGAATTTTATTGTTCCTCGCTGAAGGTTACTGGCACTGGAGCCGTGGAAACAATAAGCAAAACTTGCACTTTCATGCAGCACACTGACACTGACACACTTCCTTTGGCCCTCAACCCGCCACGCCCCCCCCCCCCTTCACCCGCTCCGCCCTTTTAGGATCCTGTGGAAGCCGTATTAACATTGTTTTTCCGACATTTTTCACTGCATATGCCGCGGCATGCATTTCGAATATGTTTACTTTGCCAAGTCATCATCCAAAGGTGGAATATTACAATTTATTACTTGACGCACGGCGAAAAAATGTGAACAAAAATAGGACTTTATAAAAGAAAATATTTACTACAAATACGAAACTAAACATTCCCTATAAAATTTGGGAAAATTGTTGTTAACAAAAGTTTGTATTGCAGCGACAAAATTAATGTTCATAAAATGAAAACTTAAAAACCTTGTAGGTATAGTTTTTTTTTCTTTATGTACCATTTACAACAATTACGCCCTTGAACACACGCACAATCGCCCATACATGCACGCATTTTGTAAGGGTGGTGGTGATGAAAATATATTTATTACACATGTTGAACAATGTACGCACAAGTTTTGCTGCTCATTTGGTCGATGGTCAACAAGCAAATGCCTTGTTAACCATTATGGGCCATGTTTTAATGTGGCAACACACAAACGACACAAACAAGAGCAAAAAACGACAATAACTTTTCGCATTAAATGAATGCCAAGTGGAATTGAGACAGTAAAGCAGAGAGAAAGACAGGAAAAATTCGGGAAAATATAGGGGAAAAGCGAAAGAGCCGAAACAAAGGAAAGAAAAAGTTGGCTCTTTCAACTTTTCAACGCGGAAATTAATAACAAATTGCTTTAAGCCACCATGACGATTACGTTCTGCCACATTCTGCTTTCATTTAACAGTGATGGCATTCCAGTATTTTTGATTACAAGAAATTGATAATATTACAAAAATAATTAGTACTGAAACGTATACACTTAATTTTTGACCCATTTTTAACCAATTTATTTTTTTAAATTTATCTATTTTTAATATCAAATAAATGCCAACACTTGCTCCTCAATTTTGGGCGGAAATCAGTGCGTAAACATAAATACATCCCAACTTATATCCTGATTTTTCCTGGCAACGCCTTAAGTTCAGCATGGCCGTCAGAAAAACTTTTTCCAGCACAATAAACACTTCATTGCGCACTTGAGTTAATTTGTCAAGAAGGCCAAACGCATACATACATATGTTGAAATTATTGAAAAAGTTTCGAGTGGCAAATGGCAGCGAAAGATTTTGTTGGTCCTGATGGTTTTTCATTAAGCACAGGGACTAGAAAGAGCAGTTTTTCTTAACCCCCATAGCTTTTCCTGCTGGACGTTGGCAGTTGTTGTAGAACATGAATAATGCATGCTGTAAAAGTTTAATGAAAATGCAGGAAAAGGAAACGCGGCAGATTCGGCACCAATGGAAAGAAAAAAATAGCTAGACACACAAAAAGTTGCAAAAATGTAATAATTAGAGCAAGCTGCCAAAATCCATGGCAATTGGGTTCCATTTCCTATTTTTTCGTTTTTAAACTCCAATTAGGTTTTTATACATTTTTCGAAGTTATTATTTATAACATTGCAGAAGGTATTAAAATTTCAGTCGAAAGATTGAAAAATTCCTGTAAAATTTATTAAACTAAATTGTACACTGTAAATTTTTTTTTTATCAGAAAATACGATTTTTTAATATAGAGTTTTCTAAACATTGGGCTTTTTCGGATAATTACTTTTTCGGATAGTGGTCGAAAACCAGCACTTGAAAGCCCATAATTTCTTTTAATGTTGTCCGATTTTCGGAAAATGTCCTAATACAAGCACTTGAAAACACATAACTTTTCTTAATGATGTGATGTAATTTTGAAAGCCTAATAGTTGTTCTATAAAAAATTAAGGCATATATGTACGTATAAATTAATAAACACATAAAATATTGTTGGAATATTTAATGATTTAAATAGATCGGTTAAAATATACATGAATATTATAAGAATTAAGATTAGTCAATAGAACCTTTTTTTCAGTAAAATATTAAGGACAGAGAATATGTTTTTTTCGAAAATATCCATAAAATAAATATCTGGTAAAATGAGAAAAATCTGCAGCTGCTAAGCAATGGAGACATTCCAGACTCCTTTTTGTCCTGCTTTGTTTTTACGCTGCGCATTAGATGAGCTCCACTCTCGTCGCCATTGTCCTGGGTCCATTATCCTGGCTCCTGCTGCTGCTGCTGTTCAATAAACTGTAATTCGTGCGCCACTTCCATGTGCATTCATTTGTCGCTTCGCACACACACACACACTAACACCGAGGCACCACTCAGTTGCACACACACACACACACACTCAACTCCGCTTGGTGGTGCACATTGTGCTTGGCGTACATGGCGTATGAGTGACATTTAATTAAAATTTATGTAGTCTAAAAAGGCAAGAATTTTTCTACTCCCCGCCTGTTCAAATTTATGCAACGCCCCATTTTGTTTGAGTTGTATTAAATGTTCGCAGTTTTGCAGACCGGGTTTTTGGTAATCATGTGTAAATTTGTTTTTACACCCATTAAAAGTACAGGTCGACGCCGACACCCTGCTTCCTGACAATTGCGAGTGGGGAATATGTATACGTAATCAAATATTTAAATGGAAAATTGCACTTTTGCCGGGGCAAAGATAAGATGTGAAGGTGAGGGGCATTTTTCTTTTCATCTCTGCCATCAAATGACTGAAGTTTAATTTAAGTTTCAGTTTAAGTTAAAGATCTCAGATATTCTTAATTGAGATGATTGTGCAGGTGTATTTGGAATAGGAGAAAACTTTGGTGTGAATGTTTTTTGCATATTTTATTTATCTTATAATTAATTTATATATTAAAATTTACTATTAAATAATCACTTTTGCTGTTCTTATGATAACAAATTTCGGTTTCTTTCCTTTCACTTTTTCTTCTTGGCTTGCAGTTTTTTCTTGTTCATCAACCATTGATGGATCTGCATGCGCCGATAGTGCAAGTGTCTCTGCAGATTCTTCTTGAAGAGCGTCTCCCTTGCGAGAATCTCCAGATCCTCGTTGCTGCACTGCCTTATATTCAGCTTAGTCCTGGCAATAAGCTCGCTGGTCAGATGAAGTTTGGTGGCAGAAGCCCGCGATGCATGGACTTTTTTGCGTCTCAACTCTTCGCGATGCATAAACATCGCATATGCGGCAGTGGGTGACTTTGGTGATGATCCTACTGAATTCTGGGAAGGATTATGCTTGGAGTTCTCCGCGACTTCCTTTTTCTGCTTGAGGAGACACATCTTAACTGTTTGATTGCTAGACTGCGTTTGCTGGTTGAGTCACTGCTGCTTGAGTATTTTATATGCAATCCTCTTTTTTGACCTGCCCATTCATGAGACCCATTCGCGCAGGTCAATCAGTTTCCCAGGCCAGAAACTGACCTGACTGCAGTTTTTTTCGCCACTAATTTTTTTACAGCACACCGGTGGCAGTGGATTAAAAAAAGTAATCTCATTCATTACCTAAAAAGTGTTGTAAAGTTCTAGAGAATGGCAAAAAAAATAATACTCCTTGGACGCACTCCTTGCCGCTAATCCGGATATATAACCGGATTAAGTCGACCTTAAATGTTTATGGGTCGAAATACCGTCGGGCGAGTTTTCTCATGTTTCTTCACGTCCTGGTTTTGCGGTCTCATCGATGCCATTCCGTACACTTTACATGCGGCTAATCCTTTGGCCAGAGTCCTGGCCATTAGCGTCATAATGAAGCGACAGCTGATAGACGGCATTCCATGCGAGTCCTCTCTCTATTTTGGGAAATTCACAGCGTTATGGGTTGAAATCAGTAGCCGGGGACAGCAAGAACAAGAGCTGTTCAGCCGACGGCCAGGGCAAGTGACCAGCTGACCCAATTTGTAAACATCCAAGCCAAATATTTGACTTTGATCGCCGGCCACAACCGCAACTTCTTTATTATTCGTCAGGCGAACGAACAGTGGATGAAGGTCGATTTAAAAAAAAAAACAATACAAATTTAAACAGCTCAGAGTTACTACAAATTTACTATCATAATAAATTGCCTTTAAGGATTTAAGCACCTAAGAAAAATATAGACCATTAAATTCAATTTAGCCAGAAAATTTGACTTCGGTATTTTTTTAAGCAATTTTCTATCTGATATACATAATCGCTTCGAATTTATTCCACTGTATTTCGGCTGTGTTGTTTTCTCATAAATTTATGCTTCGGGGCAAAAGGGCGATATAAACTCATTACATTGGCTTGACTGCTGTTGATGTTGTTGCCACTTTTGATGGGTCTGCTATTGCTTATTCCAGCGCATTCTCCATCCGAAATATTTGGAGTTCGCTTTCGGGTTTCATTACCAAAAAGGGTTTTCTGGGCGGCCCAGACTTCGTTCCATGTGCAAAAATCACAACATTTTAATCTCATAATCTGAATTTATGTGCAGACTCAATTTCGTTATACTTAACGACATTTTATGCGGTTATTTTATGCAGGCAGGAGGCAAAACTAGAGGAGCTCAAGGGAATCCCTGCTAGCCAGACTAGCTACATAAGCTCCCTTTTTCCACACACACGCCTTTGCGGTTCCGCTGGCACCCTTCAAACTGAGTGGAGCAGGAAAAAGCACCACTCAGAAAAACAGTGCAGGTTTGAAATATTTTCAGGAGTTGAAGTAATATATTATATGTAAAAAATTGAAGGGGTTGTTGAGTATAAAAAACAGTTGCTTTTTAAGCATTATAATTCAATTTTATTAATACAAATTTTATTAATAAAACGAATAACTGTTTCAAAAACCAGATATACATTTAGGAGCCACAATTTTCTCGCAGTGCAAACGTTAAGTACATCAAATATGTGAAAGATCCAGTGCACGTGTGTGTGTGCTTCTATGAGTACTTGAGATTTTCTATGGTCGCACAAAACACATTAGTTAAAAGTACTGACCAACAAAGCCACTAACAAGCTGTTGGTAACCATCTCCCCCCTGAAATCCCCCTCTTCCCCTCATATTACACACAATATCCCCCACTTCTACCCTATTTCCCACCACATATATTGAAGTGCCATTATGTGCGCTTTACTTTTTCCATCTTCTCCGACTTCATCGCTCCTTGTTGTTGTATCAATCTTGATGATGCTGCTCAGTTGTTGTTGTTGTTGTCGTCAGCATTTTGCTGCTCGGAAGTTTTTTAATAAACGCATTTAAATGAATTGATGTATGGACGAGTTGTTCTGTGTAATTTCTCATCATTTTATATAAAACAAGTTAAATTTGTGTTCTCATTTCCCGGCCAAAGAACTTTTATTACCTTCGTATATCACACAGTAAAGAATGAAAATTTACAAAAACAAAAAGGGAAAGTTGCAAAAATGGGAAAGAATGAAAGTTGTGCCATTCTTAAAACTTAATGGAGGCAACTTTTGCGTTTCAGCAAAAGCAATTTTGAACTTAACTTTAAAGATATCAATTTACATGTAAGTTTATGAGTTGGGAAAGGATTACTGCATAATCCAAACTTGCCTTACTTGCAATATGAATTTAGTTCTCTTCGTTTTTTACACAACAATACTTTTCATATAAAAATAAAGCTCTAAGTAAGAATGAAATCATTTAATGCTAACCTAGTTGTCTTTTATACGAGTTTCTAAGCTTTAATAGTTCTTCATTGAATTTCACTTGTTTAAAAAACTCTTTAACGGAATAGTTAAAACTTATTTTTTACTAGTTTAAAAATAGTTGCTGGCTTAGTAAATAATAAAACCAAATGTATTTAAGCCAAAGTCTTCAATTCCATGGCGTATTTAATAATATTCTTGCAACATTTGTGTGCAAGTTTCGTTTGGTTAAATTCGATGCAAAAAGTTTGTTTTTTTCATCTTTTGAGGAATATTCATGTCGATGGGCAGACAGTTTTCTTTATACAAAACAATCCAAGGACTTGCCTCTTTTCAATTTATATTATTTGTTTTGCCTTTGTCTCTGTCGCACTTTGACTTGCTTTTATTTATACAAATTGCTTTTGTTTTTGGCTCTCGTGCCTTTTGTGCTTTGTTTATTTTAGCCCTGTTGTCTTGCCATCAATTTGCCGAAATATTTATGCTTTTATACATCTTTTGCTGGCCCACAATTTTTGCATTCGTCTCGCTGGCCTGGCTTGGCTGGCCGTCAGTTTCTGGTGGTGGTGGCCCTTCTATTGACGCCATGGTATCCGTTTTGTTTGCCGCCCGCCTTGCGACTTCCACTGCCGTTGCTGCCGCCGCTGTTGGCCAGATCCACATCCGTTTCGGCCACGATTGGCGGACCCCAAGAAACTTGTCGCCGCACTGTTGCCGGTCCAGCTCCTCCAACTCCAGTTCCAGTTGCCGCTCCCGCTCCCGCTCCCCCGGAGCCCCCGTTTCCTCCCGATCCGGGTTTCGTCCTCCGCTTGGAACTCTGCGGCTGGAGCGATGCTCCTCTTTGAGGAAGTTGTCGTGGCTGCGGCAGCTGCTTCTGCATTTCATGTTGCTGCTGTCAAAGTGCAGAAATGTTTCGAATTGCTTTTTATTAAAAACTTTCTCCTCTCATATTTTTTCGTGTGGGTGGTGTTCTTTTTTCTTTTTTTTTTTTTGTGTAAATAAATTTCATGCAACTCTTCGCTTGGAAGAGACATTCCGTTTAAAAAAGAGTTTCTTTGATTAGTTTTCCACGTTCCTTTCGTTGACAGACCTTCATGCGGGTTTCGTTGCTTTTTCTTTTTTAATTAACATGCGCGAGGGGAAATTCGTCAAGCTCACTTGTTAGTAATACGATTTGCATACTTGATGTTAGAGCAAGCAATTGGGTTCCATTTTTGGTTTTTGTTTTGGACAAGCTGCAGCTTTGGACCCATTCAAGTGTGCAATCTGAAAACGGAGCACGAAATCCAAGCTCTTTGTATTTTCCCCTATGGTTTTTTTTTTAAGCCATTGTTTTTCCGTACTTGAAAAGCATAATGAAAACATGCAAGGCTAATTAAAAACGTTCCCACAGGGGACGTTATTTATTTAACACAATATTGGACCACCAAAATAATAGAAAGTTGCTTCCTTTCATATTTCCTAAGCTAAATTATTAAACAAATAATTGGAAATTTGTTTCCTTCCTTTACAAACTCCTAATGATTTGGTTAGCCACCGCAAGCCACGTCTAATGATTCCCCCCTCCAATTTATTTATTAAATTGTGGGCAGCGTTTTAATTTACACATCATTAGCTCGCTTCGACTTCTTTGCCTTCATTAAGATTTATATAAAACTTGAGCAAACAACGCAAAATCTGTGTGATGGCCCCTGCATGTGGGTGTGCCTTTGGGTGTATTTTTGGGTGTACTTTTGGGTGTGCTTCTGGGTGTGTGTGTTCACTTGTTGTTGCAGCAACTGTGTGGGCTTTGGGTTTCGTTTTTGCATTCTAAGCTCGTAATGAGTTTCACCGCAGCATTGTGGTAGCTGGCAAAGTTAAGTGCGTGCTGCGTTTGCGGCAAGCCAAAATGAACAGCGGCAGAGGAGGGGGAGGGGCGGTGGAAATGCTGGAAAAGCGGGAAAGCGAGCAAGAAACGGAGCAGAAGCACCAGCACCAGCAGCAGCCACGCAAGATGAAAGAAAGTGCAAAGACGCCCACAAACATTTCGGAATAAAAAGAAACTTGGCATGCATGACAGGAGCAACCACACTAGAACCAACAGAAGCTGCACCACCAACCCACCAACCAACCAACGGCAGCAGCAACAGGAACATGCGGCAGCTGAGGCACTTGCACTTTTTCGTGCTGCTCCAACAAAGGATGCAGCTCCGACCTACGACTTTCACTACAGTAAACTTAGTTTATACTTTACTTTACATGAACTTTAACCCTAATTGGACAGTTACAAAATATACCCAAAACTATGAAACAATAGGTAACCCTTCATTGATCAATGTACATTTTATTTGTAATTTATTTTCAAAAGTTAATTCTGCTTTTTAAATTTTAATAGCCGATAATAAATAATTTTAAAACCTTTTAAATATTTCCAGAAGATAAAATCTACTCCACATTAAAAAGACACCAAGAATCTTTCGCAAGCACAAAAATTAACGAACATAATTAATCAAATTTAATTTTGGAACCCCTCGAAAAGGGATCCAACTACCGACCAACCACTGTACCAGCACCTTCACCCTTTACCACCCACTCTTTGGGAAGCGAAACTTTTTGATTTTGAGGCAGGAAAAAAGTTCTGAGTGCGCTTCAATTTCGGTTGCTTTGCAATCAGGCTCGCGTAGACGCCGCAAGTCAAGTGGAAATGTGAAAAGCGGCGGGGAAATGGGGCCAAATTGTGGGCCAACTTGGGCGGTAGACAATGCCGCACGCACTTTGCGCTTTGCACAACTTTCGCCATTTTTCGGGTGTCGCCAAAGCGCCATGGAAAAAAAGTGGAAAATTCATCGCCAGATTTGAATGTGCAGCGATTGGCCTCGGGAAAACGCCGGGAAAAATTCAATTTGGCTGCAGCTTAAGCTCAGACAAAGTACATGCTAAGTAAGCTCAAAAGTAACATGCGACCCCCTCGATAGACACTTTCCCAGCTAAAACTACATGAAAGCCAATAAGTTCAATATTTTGCTTTTCCAATTTCCCATCGAGATGCCCGCCGAGATGCGAAAATCGGGCGACGGAAAAGGGAGTTCGAACTTCGGTGGAAGTTTGTTTTTGGGCGTGCCGAAAAGTCGATGCAAAAGTTGAAAGTTCTTGCCGCGTTTGTTGCTTAGTTGAAGGTTTTGTCTTAAGTTTTCTGGCCAAAAGAGTTTCTGGTCACCGCCATGCATATACAATCTATATAAATCACGGACAGGCACTTGATAAGCAAGAAGACCGACCTTCCCATCATGCTCCCATAAATTGTGGCCTGCAACAATTGTTATTCTTGGCCCAAAGTTGCTGGCAAAAAGCAGGACTTTTCTGGCAGTCTGGCAGGGACTTACCAGATTTTCTTCGGCGCATATTCATTTGGCAAATGTCCCCCAACAAAGGAGCATGGGCATCCTCACCCCTTCAATGCAGTTCAATTTATTTTTGTGCGGAGGTATTTTAACTTTTGTGCTGCGCAGAGCACTTTTTCTATTAAATAACATTTTAGACAATTGGCTTGTCTGTAAAAACCAAAGGGGGAAGCGAATGCCGCTAGCAAGAAATTGCATTGATGCCGCTTAAGAAATTGTCCTGGCCACAACAGCAAAGCAAAGGTTTGTTTTTGCTGGATTTTTTGCTTTGGCTAACAAAGGGAGCGCAATTGGGCAATATACTAAGAAAACGAGTGTGGAAAGAAGAGAAAACCGCACCCAAAGAAATCGAAAACTTTCAAAATGATGTAAAAACTATCAAGTAGCTAACGTTCAAGGGTTATTTTTACAAACATTAAATGCTCAAAAACAACTATCCTTTAACTTTTAAAGTTTGTAGGAAAAACTTCAAGGAAATAAGAATTAATCAACTGAGGAATGAGTTTTACACAAGTTACATAAGAACTGTAGCATACTTTTTGGGGAACGACTTCGTCAGCCACTTTCGCTGCAATTAATTCATTTAACTTGATAGCGCCGTTAATCGGCTTACACAATAATTGAGAAATAATTGAATTGACTCGATTGGCAAAAGCATTGTGCCAGCCAATGCCTATTGGCCTGGCCAATTTCGTCGCGTTAAGCCAATTGTCAATAGTTCTCCCCCTTTTTCCTTGTCTTGTTTTTGTTCTCGGTTGGTTTGTGTTAAATTTAATTAAACAGTCACACCATAAGCGCATTCAATATCAACAATTAAAACGACACGCACAAAAACACATAGGCATGCGCTCGGGTGTGTGTTTTACCATTATATTGTGATTAAATATTTTTAAAACACATATGAAATTGTGTGTTGCTGTTCAAATATGCACACCGAATGCGGGGGAAATATTTTCACAAGTTTTGTTTATTTAGTTAAATTCAATTAAATGCAATTTAATTAAACGGAACACTTTCGGCCGCCAGGCAGTGTGCAAAAGAGAAGGCCGAACGCTCACATACACATGCACACATGCAGAGTAAATAACTTTACTCGCCGCCAAGGATATGTTTAAAATATTAGGGTCATGCTGTACACTTTACATATAAATTGTTCTCTATAATAATGTGTTTGTGTTTCGGTCAAATCAATTAATTTTTATTGCAAATCCAATTAACTTTCTCTGATCAAAAATTCCAAAGGATCAACTGATATTAGTTTGTTCATTTATTTAAATTTAAATTAAGGTTATTTTTTGTATAAAAATGCATGGGATTTGTGGAATTATATAAAAAATGTTTTTCGTTATTAAAAATTAATTTACTTTTTACAAATTGTTAATTTTTATGACAGGTAATAGCCATGTAATCGATTCAAGTTAAAAAGTTTTAAAAATAATTCAAAGTTGTAAAAGTTATTTAATATAAATATTGAGTTACTGTTTTTTTTAATATTTAAACTATTTAACTTATTTATATAACAACAGGCAGAGGAAAGTATTTATAAAAATAAAAACGAACACTGGATTTATAACAACTCTGAGTTCATAATGTTTTTTTTCAAGTACGAAACCTGGAAATGTTTCATTGTTAGTAATACTAAATCCCCTTGAGTTGCAATTACAGTGGCCTCCCGTTCGTGTGTACCCCTGATTGTACTTGACATTATTACAGTTGTTTATCCAACCTGACTGCTAATGTCCCCTGGGACTGTCCAAATATTAGTGCATGAGTATGTGTGTTTGTCTACGGGGATGTCCTTGCGATTGTGATTGTAAATGATGCACTTTCATGCCTTACAGCTGTGTGTCTATATATTCGCAGGCCATTTACTCAGCTTACATTATGTAATGACAGCTCATCCACTTGACTTATGATGTATGCTTGTGTGTGTACTATATGTGTGTGTGTGTGTAAGTGGTGTGTTTAGGTGGACAGGCGGTTTCGGGTGTTATTTACATGCCAATGCCAAGGCCGCGCCTCTCAGCCCAGAACATGCAAATTGGTCTCGCTGATTGTGGCCATTGGCGCCATTCTGATAAGGTTTTCGGTGGGTTGGGGTCCTCTGCTTACCGGTAGACTGGGCTCCTGCACCTGAACCTGAACCTCATCCCCCGCAGCCACCTGCTCGTTCTGGGGCAACTGTCCGTTTTGTGCGGCGGGCGATTGGGAAGATGGCTCCGAAGGCTCTGCCTTCGCCTCCAAATCCTTGGAAGCTGCACAGAAAAAATTAAAAACAAATATATTATAAATATATAAAATGATGTATGTTTCAGTGACTTATATGGACTCACCATTTGCTGGGGCAGAAGAATCGGTGGCGTCACTTGTTGGAGGCTCAGCCGCCTGATCCTGTGACTCCTTTACTTCTGTGGCAGCTGTGTCCTTTTGGGACTCTTCTTTATCGTTGACTTTTTCTGCTGCTGTCTCCACTGGCGCCTCATCCTCCTCCTCTTCTTCCTCTTCGATGCGGGAGGCAATGTCTCCGTTTTTCGACAGGGCGGTGGGCGTTCCTGGCTGCGAGGGCGTGGCACTGCCGTTCTTCAAGATGCCCACCAAGGGGGCACCATTGCCTGGTTTTTTGTCTTCCTGCGGCAGCTGGAATGTGCACCAGAAAGAAATATTTAAATGTATAATGGTAACATTATTTTTATAATGTGCTAAACTTACAAGAGCTAGTAAAGATAGTATGCAAAAATCAAAAATTAATTAATTACTTAAAAGCAATTTATATTTAGTTATAAGTGTAATTTAAAGTATTATTAATTCTGTACTCATTTCTTCTATTCCAGTGCAATAAGCATAAGTTAAGCAATATTAAGTTGCCAAGCCATTACTTACCGCCTTGTAGGTATATGGCGGCAGGCCATTCCCCGATCCCGCCGTCACTCCGCCCAGAAGGCCAGCCTTCACACCTGGCGACTCGTGCATCTTGGTGGCCTGCTCCTTGGACCAGATGATGTCCTCGTCCGTCTCGCGCTCAATACGCTTCTTGTAGGCCAAGTGGCTGCGATACACCTCCAGCAGGCAGCAGATCACGATGACCACGAAGACGGTGGTCAGTGTGAGGAAGACGACCTGCGTCGAGTCCTCCTGTTTGTTCTCGTCGTAAATGAATCTCGAAACGTAGGGCACCCTCGCCGGTGGCTCCTCGACCCACGGTTCCGGAATCTGCGGTGCACAGGTAATGGTAAAGGGCATTCATTAGCACAATTTGTCGCCTGGTTGCCTCGGATAATCCGATTTCTGAACCCCCTAGCAGGCATCCTCTGTTTGCACTGACAGAAAAGTTATTTCTCATAGTTGAGTTTATGTCAAAGAATTTGGTTTTTTAATGAAATTAATATTTGTTTGAGTATTCTCTTCTAAAATATATTTATATTAGACGTTGTGGTAAAATGTTTGTGTATTGAAATTATTTTAAAGTTCTCTTAAATTATGTGTCCCATAATGTACTTTTAAATATTTTTTTTTTTTAAATACTCTGTTATTATTTCACAATTTTTTTTTAAGTTTTAATTAAAGTTTCACACATTTGTTCACTTAATATGGTTTCAAAGGCTTTTCTTTTTTGTTATGGTTTTTTTGAAAAAGGGAATATGAGCTTTATCCGTAATTTTAGATGACTTCCCCACATTTTTTCGAAATGTGTTTTACCCACCATGCTGACGTTGACCATGGGCTCCTGGGTGGGCTGCTCGCTCACGTCGAATTTGGCGTTGCACTGGGCGCTCCGCACGCCCTGCGGATTGATGACCGTTATGTTGTCGGCGCCGGACTTTGTGAATAGCATGTACTCCTCGAGTGGCTTCATAACATGCCCGTTCACCTGTATATAGATGTCTGCCGGTGGGCGTGGAGTCGGTTTACCCAATTTGCGGTGGTTGGGCGGTCGCAGGGGATTCCGAAATTTTCATTAGTATTGGTCATTAATTCAAATTGAAATGCAAATGTGTGTGGATGGCGAGTGGAAATTGGAATTGCGTTTGCCTTCTTGGCTCGGTGGGTTTGGCTCGACTGACTTTGCTTCCGTTCCGTTCGAGGACCCGTGGCAAGTCGCTCGTGCGTGTTTTATGCCCCTTCCGAAATTAGCAATAACATTTTTAATGCCTATTGGTAAACTCCCACAACGCTAACACAATTTGATTGTGTGATCCGGGGGAGTGACACTCTTAATTGGCAAATTAATGGAGTTTTTAGTGGGTTTGGATGATCTTTAACATGCTGATGTGGTTTTTGATTGAGTGTATTGGGGGGCGGATTTCAAAGATTAACTACTATCTCATAAACTCTTTTGTTAACCAAAAAAACAAACATTTTATACCATTGTGAAAAAGGCTTAACCAAAATGTTGTTCTTCGATGTATCTTAAAGATAATTCAAAATAGAAATGATATACATCCCATATGTGTTGTGGGCGTGGCTGACTGTACAGATGTTTTACGAACGGATAAGGATCGTAAATCGGAGAGCTCGAGTGAATTTTTAATCAAAGTGTTGGACATTGTGCTGCGGTTTGGAGCGGCAGCAAAGCAGCAATTTAAATATAAGCCACTGTAAATCTTGAGAGCAAAAACTGACAGAATTTATGGCAACGACGCCACGGCCACGGAAATGACTTTTTATGGCAGCGAATAAATTTAATTTTTTGGTCAACAATGTGAAGCAGTTTGCCTCCAGCTCCCCCTGCGAGCACTATCCCCCCGCTGCCCGAGAATTTTGAGCGCTCAGCTCAGTGAGTTCATAAAGTTGCAGCAGTTAAGCAGAGGACACAGTGAGAGAAAATCTGAGTACTTTATGGCATTTATATTCAAAGATAAGGAACACTCTTAAAACCATCACCAATTAGTTCTCTTAAAAAAAAAAAATATGTTCTTCTTTGTTTACAAAATAAATAGAGATTTATAAATATGTTTCAGCTATTATTCATTTTCAAAAAGGATGTTTATATTTCCTTTTTATATAAAATCCTTTTGATTTATTAAAAATTCTCTAACCATTTGTTATTATAACATATTAAAATTTTCCCTGTGTACTTTATTTTGGATATTATCCTGCCTTTTCTACGCTTTTTTTCCTGCTAAAGGAGTGCAGGGGGATGTCACTTGATGAGACCGAAAAGAAATTAATGGCGGACGGGGATGAAATTTACGACACTCACTCGACAGACAGCCGCTGTAGCTTTTGAAGACGGCGAACCGCGGGTCCGTGCTGTTGATGCCGCCGATTTGGACGCGATTTGATCCCGCCTCATCGCCGTTGGTCAGGACACGTGCAGCAAACTCGGTGAGGGGCACCTGCTCTCTATCGATGAAAAGTTGCGATTGGGTGCCATTGCGCACATAGTACACCGAGTGCCTGGCGCTGTTCAGGAAATTCCTGTCGATCCGGGCACCCACGGTCCGTCCGTTATCGCGATCCTCCTCCAGCTGCAGGTAGCCATCGGAGGTGATGGCCAGCAGGAGGTAGTAGCTCCGCTCCGCCTCCGTTTGCATCAGCAGCATAATGCGATTGGCCCGTCGCAGGTCGAACGAGGAGAAGGCCAGCTGCAGGCGCACATAGTCAACGCGACCTGTACCGGGCAGCTCGAATTTGCGCTGCAGCGCGGACTCGCCGCTGAAGTCCGCTCCCTTTTCCTCAGAGCAGAACTCGCCCAGGAAACTGGTGTGCTCACAGTCGCAGGTCGAAAGTTGCTCTGCGAAGTGCTCCTGGCAGGTGCCTCCATTCTTGCACGGCTCCGCATCGCACTTTATCTGGCAGTTGGGCAGGACCCCATCCTGAGCTGGAAATATATTATAAAATTTTAACTACCACAGAAAAAAGATTTTATTTTCTAAAAATTATTATCTTAAGGGGAAATAAGTCATTAAAGTATACAAAGTAAAAGTCAAAGGAAATAGAATATTTTATAATAGGATATTTTATAAAATTTGAACTATCACAGAAAAATGATTTTATATTCTAAAAATTAGTATCCCACAGGGAAATAAGTCATTAAAGTAGCCAAAGTAGAAGTCAAAGGGAATAGATTTATATAAAATATTTTTGTTGAATTTTTTGGAATTGAATTAGAATTTAATTTTAACAATCTAAGGGCCTTTCCCTTCTTCCATTCCCATTAACCTTAGAATTCTTCCGAATTCATGGTATAAAGGATTTCCTATGTATGCACACACACCCACGAATATTTACCCACTAACCTCTAACCTCATTGCCTTTCAAGACACAACCATTCGATTGCCAATAGCGAGTGCATATTGAAAGGAATGGCTTTCTAACCCGAAGTGTTTACATTGACTGCGGTTGCGTTTAATCGCATCAAAGTCAGGTTGCAATTTCCGCGATACGTGGCCGCATAAATCATACGCCATGTGGGCCTGTAGCTTATCGCATTGGCATTAATCTTGGCGCGGCCCCAAAGTGGCCTGTTGGCCATCTCTCCGCTTTCGCAGTCGCAGTCCCCAGCACTTAACGGAAATTGCATGCATATTAAGTTAGCCAGACGGCAACCACAGATGCAACCACAACCGCAGACGCAAAGTCGACTCGATTCAGTGGCCTATGAATTAGAATCCTTGCGAGTAGAGGAGTAGGAGTATCGGAATCCGGCGGAGCAGCCATATCAAACGGCATTAGGGCCAACCGAAAATTGCACTCACTGAAAATTGATTTATACTGCCTACTTACTGGGCGCTATATTCCTTTCATTGATTTCCGCCAAGTCGATCAACTGCGCTCCGATTTTCAGCCCCCTCACACAGCCGATGTAGCCTTCGAGTGCCGGTGCATCCACGTTGGGCCGCAGCAAATTCGCCGGATCGTAGCCGCCCACGTGGAACTGGAAGTACTCGGTGGGCGGGGCAGGGGGGCGGTGCGGCGACAGGACCTCTGCAAATAAACAAAATCAAATGAGATTGGGTAGTTGGGGCAGGGTATGGTTGGGTTTTGGGGTCAACCATACACTAGAAAACAAAATTTGTTGCTTACAAATTTGAAAAAATATTTATTAAACATAAATAGAGAAACTATTTTGTATAATTTATAATTATGTCTAATTTGTACAGAACTTAAAGTATTCCCACTCGAACTAAACTCTTATGAATCATTTGTTTAAACAAATTCCAGTTGTAAACCAAATGTTTGTAGAGCTTCCAGGTCAAAGATTAAAAAATATGTGTTTAAAAAATATAATAAACTACATATTTAATTAAAAAACAAAATCAGGCAAAGTTTTGCCAAGAAAAAAATTGAAAAAATGCTTAAATAAACTCTTATGAATCATTTGTTTAAACAAATTCCAGTTGTAAACCAAATGTTTGTAGAGCTCCCATTTCAAAGATTGAAAAATATGTGTTTATAAATATAATAAGCTAGTTAGCTAAAAACTAAATCAAGACAAGTTTTGCCAAGAAAAAAATTGGAAAAATGCTTGAAAGGTGTTACATAAGTATCTATTCTTTTCTTCCTTTGTGAAAGTTCTTGGATAACACCTTAAATGTTTCAAAGTGTAGATTCCGGTACGGCTTGCTTTATATAAGCAGCCATATCTGTGTGCTCGTGGGCGGAAATGAGCCTTCATTGCCGTGGCATTTCGGGTTTTAGCCGGTCTGCCGGACATGGGCCCAGACCCAGACCCGGATCGAGCCTGCCAGAGCCGGGCCGTTTGAGGTTTAGGCCCATCAATTTCGAGTTTAAGTTTGTCTAATTGAAATGTTTGCCGGCCAGCAGAACGCACCAAACTCAACTGAATGGAGCGATACGAGGGCTGGATGCCACAATCTAGGGTTCAGTGCAGTCCATATGGTTAACGCATTTAATTACAAAAGTGCTTATGTGTTATTCTGTGGAAAGTATAGACGAAATCACATTTGCAATCGCCCGAAAATAGATTTTCAAGCGCAATGCTTCAACCATATTTCGGGGCAGCGTGGAGTAATTATGATTGATTTTACTGGCAAATCGCCGGCATTGAGTTACGGGCAATTTGATTGATTTTACCCTTTTGCCAATTGCCAAGTTGAGCTCCATGTGCAGAACTTTTCCATTAGGCTTTGAAGTGCAGTTTGGGGGAAATATTGTTGCCAAAATGCATACATCTGGTGTAATTAAAGAGCGGTTGAGTGGAAAATTGTCTGGTTATGATTATGAGGGTTTTCCAATTCAAAGAGGACATTTCATCACACGAGATTTGGAGGAAATATAATTTAAAGCTCAAAACTCATTAAAAACTATAGATTCTGTGATAAAAACAGGAACTAACTATAAAAAGCCTACGCTTTTTAATTCGTGATAAATCAAGATGATTCCTTTAAATTTGTACAAATGTTTTCCATACACTGACAGCTTTTAAAAAATCCGTTTAGATTATAATCAACTCTGTATGCATTTCCCTCGTTTAACAACAATTTCCGCATGCTATCTGCCATTGAAATGCCGTTCAATTTACATATTGAGTGAGCGGAGCGAAAAAAAAACTTTGAACGTTTTCAAATATCAACCAACTACAAAGCAACTCGTTGTTTTTACGCCATAGAGCCAAACTTTATCCATTCGCATGGCGTTTATTTTCCAACAGTTTTCTACCGAGTTTAACGGCCACTCTCAAACACACACACTGTTCGCCAGAAAAAGAAGTGAAGAGAAAAAAATTCAAGTGCACATAATTTGGCCATCACACAGTGCACAGATTTTGTGAGGGGAATTTTTCGGCATTTTTGCAGCTTAACTTGCTAAACTATTTGAAAATTTTGGTGCAACGCTTTCGACTACCTCCCCCCAAAAAAAAAAAAGCTTATGAGAAAAAAACAAAAGGAAGCGCCGCCTGGCAACCATTCCCCCATACAACGCCAACGAAAAAATAAAGGGTTGTGAATAAATTTCGGCTTTGTTGGTTCAATAAGTTGGGAGGAGGTTGGCAACATGGCCGTTGTCTGGGACATGAGCCAATGGACGCAGGCGTGGCGGATTGCCAGTCTGCTGCCGACGGTCCGCTCGAGCGGTCCGAACATCCCGAGCGGTACAACCATGTACGGACGCCAAGCGGGCGGTGCCAGTCAGTCGGTGGCCAATGGCGCCTCAAATGGTGGGGCAAACAGCGGCGGTGGCGGCGCCCAGGGACATGATAAGCTGAAAATTGGCTTTTGCACGGACCTGGATAAATCGGTTTTGGTCAACAACTTCGAGAAGCGCGGCTGGCATCAGGTGAACGGCGACGATGACTGGCACTTCTATTGGGCAGGTGTGCAGACCTGTCGCAACATCTTCAGCGTGGACAGTGGCTACCGGATGCATGACAACCAGATGATCAATCACTTTCCCAATCACTACGAACTGTCGCGCAAGGATTTGCTGGTGAAGAACATCAAACGCTATCGCAAGGACCTCGAAAGGGATGGCAATCCTCTGGCGGAGAAAACAGAATCCAACAACTCCAGTGGCACTAGATATTTGTATCTGGACTTTGTGCCCACCACTTTTGTTTTGCCCGCGGACTACAACATGTTCGTGGAGGAGTATCGCAAGTTTCCGTTGAGCACTTGGATCATGAAGCCCTGCGGAAAGTCGCAAGGAGCTGGAATATTTCTAATCAACAAGCTGTCAAAACTCAAGAAGTGGTCGAGGGAGGCAAAGGGTCCCTTTCACCCCCAAATTGCCAAGGAGTCGTACGTGATTTCCAGATACATTGACAATCCCCTGCTGATTGGTGGCAAAAAATTCGATCTGCGACTGTATGTTTTAGTGGCTTCATTTAGGCCCTTGAAAGCTTACTTATTTAAGCAGGGCTTCTGCCGCTTTTGCACCGTAAAATACGATACTAGTGTTACGGAACTGGACAATATGTACGTACATCTGACCAACGTGAGTGTGCAGAAGCATGGCGGTGAATATAATACCCTGCATGGTGGCAAGTGGTCTGTGCAAAATCTGGCTTTATATCTGGAAGGAACCCGAGGAAAGGAGGTTACGGATCGCTTATTTGGAGCCATATCCTGGCTTATTGTGCACTCCCTAAGAGCTGTGGCTCCTGTGATGGCCAGCGATAGACATTGCTTCGAGTGCTATGGCTACGATATCATAATAGATAATGCCCTGAAACCTTGGCTCGTGGAGGTCAATGCCTCGCCTTCGCTGACTTCCACCACTGTGAACGATAGGATACTGAAGTACAAGCTGATTGACAACATTTTGTCGGTGGTCCTGCCCCCTGATGGAGTTCCCGATGTCCGTTGGAATAAGGTGCCCAGTGCGGATGCCTTGGGCAACTTTGAACTACTCATCGATGAGGAGTTGGCCGCTCAGGATGAGCAGCAAAACAGCAGCAGTAATGCCCACAGTAAAACCTCTAAGATGGGCAGTCGCTGGAAGTGACGAAAGTAGATCAGGGGTTGGGATTCGCTGGTTCTTCAAAAATAATACTTTGTTTTAAAAAGTACTTAAAATATCTGTGTGAATTTATGAGTACACACGAACCAAAAATTAACATAACCCAAATAACAGTGTAAATATAGAACACTAAATGAAACTTGAATATTATTAAATTGTTTCTTATAGAAATAAATAAAAACAAATGGTTTGTGTTATGTGAAAATATTGATTTCCTTTATAATGAGTGGTAAGTATTAGTTTGATTTACCTTTATCTGGATTACTCCATGGCTTGTTGGCATATTCATCCAGAAGCAAAGTTCCTCTATCGATGCTCACACTTCGCTGATTCACATGCATCCTAGTTTCCTGTTCCCCTCGAACAATAGCCACTTGAATGCTTTTCAAAGAGGCCATCAACGTATCATCCAGCAGAGTGAGATTCACGATTTCATCACCATAGTTGTAAAGGAAAACTATCTCGCGATTCAGACTTATGTACAGGTGCACAAAGTTATTGTAGTGATCGTTGGCATAAAGCACCAGAGCATTCGTGTCGTAGGTTCGTAGATTGATCAGTAGATCCTGGTTGAGTATGCCCTTCAGGATATCACGCTCACCGTCCATTCCATGCATAAGGATAACAGGTGTGGCACCCACACTCAAATAATTTCGCATTAGGAAGGACTCTCGGTTTATGAAGGTCAGTGCTTTCTCGTTAATATCTGAAATAAAAAATAATTGGTTGATATAGTTTAAATACAACTAATGGCTTTTGTTATATCAAATGATTCAAAATATTATTAATATTTTTTGAATGTTAATTTATCCCATTGAAAAGGCACTATTGAAGTAAATAATTCTTGAATTGCTTTTTGGAAGAGCATAAGGATTTTTTTCTGAGCGAATTAAGCCATATATTTTGTGAAAGGGGAACATAAATTCAAGATTTCGCCCTCTTCAACTCACTTGTCTCGCAGAACTCGCCGATGTGTGCCCAGGGATTGTTGCAGACGCACTTGAAGCTGCTCCAGAGCTCCTTGCACTGGGCTCCGTTGCGACAGGGCGATGGCACGCAGGACGGCTTGCAGTCCTTGATAATCTCCGACAGATGCACCGACATGTAGCTGTAGATGTCGAGAATCTCGCCGTTGACCACCAGGCCACGGAAGCAGCCAATAAGACCGGCCTTAACTGACAGCTTCTTCAGCAGGTCGCTGTGGAGGCGGAAAAAGATGGAAAATATAAATCGCTAAAGTCAGCTGGGGATTACTTTTTATTATGACTTGTCGTAACTATTCAATAACTTGGCCACTTTGGCGCTTTGGCCGCACCAGCTGCAGTTCTCTCCCTCTTCGATTTTCCCCTTCGATATCTCCCTGTTAGACAAACATAAAACATCATTGGGGATCACGTCCTGCGTCCTGGATTCTTCGTATTTGCCCAGTCCGTCACAAAGTTTATGCAAATAAATTGCGGCCGCTCAATCGTACGCTACGCGTTTGAGTTTTAAACTTGCCGAGTTTAAATCGAAGCGACGCTTTTTATAAAAAGTAAATGGCGAATCGAATGAACAGCTGTGGCAAAAGTTTTTCTAGTTAGCCTTTTTATCCCCTTTTAGGGTATACAAAAATATAAGTTAAAAATTGACTGGTCAGCAAATAAAATTTCAAACAGACAGGCCAAGCAAAAAAGTTCAAAATTTATTAATAACAGGTTCAATTAAACTATTAAACGGTTTGGTTTTAAAACAATTAACATCCAAACCACTCACACTTTAAATATTCAAACCGCCTTTTCTAAAGTTTCAAGTTACAAAAGAGCATCTCAACTTCTTAGCAGCTTACTTTAACCTCTTCCTTTTTTTTTTTTTTTGCAATTCCTTCTCAGCGATTCTCATTTTATTTTCGCATTTTGCAAGTTTTTCCCCTGCACTTTTGGCTTCTGTTTCGCTCGCTTTCCCTTACTCGCCACTGCCGGCAATGAATTGGCCAATAAAATCTCAAGTGTAAGCTTTTGAAAATTAAAGTGGCGGAAATGTCTTGTTTATACGCGTACAGCAGCAAAAGAAAGTTGCTCAAATGTCTTTCTAAATTATGTAAATTTCATTACGAGCATTCCACCCACCCACGCCCCCTGATCCACTTTGGCACCACAAGTCGGCGAAGGATCCCAAGTCCCCAAGTGTTGTCATGAAGTGAAATTAAAATTCTTGTTCCCCAAAAAAATAAGTAAAAGAAAAGTCTTTCAACTCGGTTTTTGGGGTTTGCTTTGCGCCTTCGCTGAATTTATAACAATTTCTTTTCGCTTTCTTTTCGCTTTTCCGTGTAATTGTTTGCGGAGCGTTGCGTAATCGTTATTTAAGCGCCGAACTTATCGACGGCCGTCAACCGAATTGGCTATAATCGGCCAGTAAGCAAATTCTCGATTTGCATTTACCGAGTGCACTTCACCCACATTTGGCTTTAGTGCCTCTGCTGGGCGATGGGTGTCCTTGCCGCAGGCGAGCGAGCTATTAAGTCATTAGTTTTTGCAACGTGTGCTGCGTTTCTTTTTGCTAGCATGTCACAAATGCATTTTTAATTTTTTTTTGTCAACAGTTACATACAAGGTGGGTGGGTGCATACAAGTGCACTGGAAAAACAGGGATATTTTATCTAACCAATACAAAATTAGATATAAAGCTGTCCACAAAAAGTATCTGTTGGTAGTTCGAAAATTTTGTGTATTAAAAAATTTTATGTGTCCTGTATTTTAAACTGATTGCTGAATTAAAATGAAATTTTATTCTTAATAATTAAATATTTTCTCTGCGTGTTTAAACGTTGTAACCAGGACGCGTGGGAGGACACGCGTGCCACACGCGTATGCAAAATGAAATTTAGCGCTTTGCCTTGCAAATGATGTGCCGCCGGCTGCTCTGGCCTGGATGACACTTGGCTAAAAGGATTTGCACGGCGGCTGGCCAAAACGCGAGTACGCAAGGGCTGCAGAGGCAAACGAGCAAAGAGGCAAAAAAAAAGGAACCGAAATTCCGCGGAAATTAACGGCAATAAAACGCAAAGGAAAGGAGTTTTTCGGCCAGGAGGAGGAGCAGAAGGAGGAGCAGGAGCAGGAGCTGGAGAGCCGTAGCCGGCGATGTGCATATCCTGGCGACATGCAGGCGACGGAAATCCTATTAACGTTGCAAACGCGCAAAGTGCGAAGCAATTAAGAATTTATTTAACGCCGTCACAAGCAATTAAGCACTTTTCATTCATTCATGGCCGCCGCGACACACAGCAACACATTCTACCGCCCGGCCACTATATGTATGCGTATATACTATATATATCCACTATCTGGGCGATCCCGGGATCCGCCATCGCGGCCATTGGAGCCATCGTCCGGCTTCCTGCAGCGCTGAAAATAATTCGCATATTTGGCACGCCACTCGCCCGTGTTTTTCCCATCGGCATGTGGTGCCCCCTGTGCGGTGCGGTGGTAATCGATGGCCATGCAAATGATGAGACGGACATCCGAGCAGCGGCAGCAGGACAAGCGGCTGCAGGACGAGCGGCAGGACGATTGGCAGCTGCTGTCGCTTCCTAAACAACATGACATCGAATGGTGGAACGCGGTCGGACCACATGCAAAAACCGATTACAACAATCATTAGCAGCATCGGCCATTGTAATTTCTGCCCTCCCCGCGCCTTTGCATAAATTTCCATGCATCCTTGGCGGAATTTAAGCTGTGTGAAAAGCACTGCTTAACCCATTAACTGAATGGCGTTGAAGTTTTCAAACTGTTTGCAGCATATTTCGGAAAGTTTTCCCATTGATTAGGGGCGAAAAACTTCGAAAAAAGGGACACATTTGCCTTTGAATAAGCTTAGGTCGCCAAAAAGTGACTTTAGACTCGGCTTGGGTCAGCAAAAAAGTGCCGATTAACTTTATCCTCATAAATTTAGAGTCGTTTGAAACTCTATTATAACCATATTTATGGGCATAGAATGAGAATAAAGATGGGAAACATAAGTTGCCATATGTCGGAAATAAACTTTCCATAAGATGAAGCAAACAAAGTATTAGTACAAAATTAATTTGATTAATATAATACTTTTTCCTTCCAAATTACATTCTATCTCAATTTTAGAAGATAAGTTTACGTTATATTTTTCTAATAAATTTATTTAAACGCCAACGATGCTCATTTTGCTATTTTAGCCACAAAAAACCATTTCCAGTTCACCCCCTTCCACGATCGAACGTCTCAATGAAAGTAATTTTATTTCCAAAGTAAACTTTGTGCGCTTTTTGTTTGTTAACCCAATTGAACAGCTATTGAACAATGCGCGCAGTGGCGCGGAATGAATGTTAAGCTCCCCACAAGTTCTTAATGGGTTAACACGCCACGCCCTCGATTCTCGGGCTCGTCTCGCCCAAGTCTCGCCGTGTCTCTATCAATATGTTGATTAACTCTTTTATTTATGAGCCGCAGCCACAGCCGCTGATGCCGCTTATTGGCTTACGTGCAACCTTATACTCCACTTCGCCTCGACTCGCCTGAATTTCCCTTCGCTGCCGAGGGTAAAGTGCATCAATATTGCATTTTCCATATTACATGTATGTTTTTACGGAGCTTTCTTTTCCGTGATAAATAAATTGAATAAATTGGCTCGGTGAAAGCGGATCGAAACCGGGGGATGCACTTTACCGTTAATTACTCTGCGTGTTTACCGCTCATCGAAATTTCACGAGTGGTCCTGGCAGTTCAGAACATTTCGGGGTTAAGTGCCAATGAGCACACATCCCCCTTACCGTACAAATATGTATGCATATATGAATATATTCCAATTTGATTTTTATACATTTTCAATAATTAAGAATAAAAAAAATAGCGCTGCACATGTGAGCACACTTAAGGAACCCTCGAAAGCTTTTTTCCATCGCTCCATCTATCTCATGAGCACGAGCATCCGGTCGCTGCTCCATGGAAACTGCGAAAAAAAAACTTTATAAATTATGCCAATCAAGAATAAGCGCGTTTTAAGTGCGCTAAATTCCGAGGGGGATGAACTGGAAAAGGTCGCTGCAGAAAAATTCTGCAGAAAAAGCCACAAGCAGCTCTCGCCCCTTTTGACGCCGTGGCTTGATTATTGATAATGACTTTAGAATGAATTTCCAGCGAAAAGTTAATTTAATTATGGCAATTCTTTTCAGACCCCCGAAGGATTGGGTTTCCAGTAACACTGAAGCAATTCAAAAGTGAACGCGGAAAGCAGTTTGTGCATACAAATTACACGTTTGACTAAGGCGTTGAATTCAAAAGAAATTCTAGTGAAAGGAGTCTTTTATTTAAGGGGTGCATATTAAGCCCTGTGCTTATAGAAATTCGATTTTTAAATCACACCTAATGAACTTAGTTTCCTTTAAAAGTACAGGATAAATTTGCAACTAAAACTGAAGCATAAAACAATTGACGAAAACAATCGATTTTAACGCCCCAAGCTATCGGTCGTTCCATTAAGCGTTGCAAAAGACTTTCATCAATCCGTAATTAACTCATAAGGGGCGTCCCAATTATCAATCGAACTGTGTCGGTCAGCGGGCCGTGGCATGCACCACCCGCGGGGCAGAAATCGACGGATTCCTTTGGCTGCACTCCGACGGACGCGATTGTCATTGTTAGTGCTGCTTGGTAGTTAGTCGCGCGTTTATAATTAAAACGTAATTGCCGCAATAAATTGCACAAACCGCAACTGCCAGCGGACTCGCCGGCAGGAGGGAGCAGAATCGGTGGCAGAAATAGAGCTTTTTCCCCGTCGATTGCCATTGCAGCTGCCACCAATGCAGGCAGCCATAAAAAGAAATGTCTGATTACACTGGAAAGCAGCTAAAAGGATGCTTCAATGCTATCTAGTTTTTGTTTTTAAAACCTAAAACCATTCGTTATCTAAAACCATTAAATTGTCTTTAAGGTACATATACGTATTGCGTATACGTAATTTGTAAATTCTGAAATACAATTTTTTTTAAGACTGAAGAAATCGATTAAACTTAAAAACAAAAATTTCCTTAAAAATTTTTAGCTTGTTTTTCACAGCTATGTCGACATAACTTGCTTTTAGATGCATATTTTGTACCAATCAGCCATTGCTGATCCAAGCTTAAATATATGAAAAAACGAACCATTTTCTTTCCCTTTTTGATAAAATTAAAAATATTTTGGTAGCCCAGTGTTAATCGCAACCCGAAGCCCGCAAAATACTCACAACGTGGCGCCACCGATGTACATGCTGCCCTCGAACGGACCGAACTCCTCCTCGGGCAGCAAATCGAGCATCTGGTAATCGGTGTTTATCATGAAGCGCACATGATACTGGTTGTAGTCGATCCATATTTTATGCCACTCGCCGCCGTTCAGCCGGCGGTGCGAGTTAATGACCAGTTCGCGGGTGGTGCCCGTGCTCAGGGTGAAGGTGAACGTGAGCTGGTCGTCGCCGGTCAGGGCCACCATGAAGGATGGGTAGTGCGGCCGGATGGGCGGCTGGAACAGCAGGATGGCCTTCTCGCCGGTGGTCCTAAACGAGAAGGCGATGTCGCCCTTGCGCCACCCGGGCACCTCGATGTACGACTGCGATGTGGTGAAGGTGACCACGTACTTCTGCGTGTCTGCGGGCGAAACGAGAGCAGAGTCATTAACTAGCTAATGGGTGATGCAGTAAATAGTTATAGAGTGACATAAAATTAAGAGTTTCTAAACAAAAATAACAAGCAAGAGGTAAATTAATACCCAAACAGGTATCTAAAGGTTGTAAAGGTTGTAACTATTAGTGCGAAAACTCGAAAAGGTTTTTTACACATACTTATTTTAAAAATTGTGGTTATTTGTCCAATAATCTACTCACTTGTTTCAACGCATTCCAGAGGACCCAGAGTTATGCGGCCCTGGGCCTCGTCGTCCATATCCTTCTGCTGCAGGAAGTACATATTGGTAATGCCCAAGCTCTGCGGATCCTGGTAGTATCCCTCATCCGAATTCCATTTGTTCTCCTTCACATCGCAGTTGCATGATTGATTCGGGTCCACGCACGTCTTGTTAACGGAGCACGGACAGGCGCCTCTGCAGAAGAGTTGGTTTCGGTTTTCCGTTTTCGGGTTCCGGGTTTTCGGTCGGGGTTTTTCGGGGTGGGGTCCAGAAAAAAAGGTGAAAGGTATTAGAAAAAGTTCGCATACATTTGCATACATTTGAGACGCAGAGCCGGCATTTTGACGAGCCCGTTGAGTGACCGACTGAGCCACATCCGCCGCCCACTTTTTTCGCTTTTCGCTGCGCCATTTATGCAGAAATATTCGTTGGGTATCAACCAATTTGAGGTTGTATCAGTGACAGGGCAATTAAGGGACAATCAACTTCAATTACTAAGGGCAGGGATTTTATTTTATGGGTTGTAAATATTGGACAAAGTCTCATTTAACGAGGCTCCTAAAGAAAACTTTATGAATTATATTATAAAACAAATACACAATTATAGAATTAATGGTATCTGTTACTAATGAGTTTTACATAAGATTAAGGAATATAAGATCTGATGGATCTAAAGAACTATGTTTTAGAAACCCCATAGAGTATCCTATGATCCAAAATTTCTTCTCTATGAATGCCTCTCTTTTTCCGGCTTATGTTTGTGTTTTCTGCGGTTTGGGACTGCATGTGCTGCTTCCGTTTCCGTCTCCGTGTTGCAAGATCCGCAGCGAAGCCGCCGCAGCAGCAGGAAAACATTCGCACACAAACAAAAACAAACGAGGCTGTCAAATTTTGAATGAGTAAAGACCGAACTACGAGCCAATGATGGATGGCCAAATGGTCTGGGCCAACACATGCACACGCCCGGAACCGAGCTAGAAGTTAACCCATTTTTTTTTGTCTTGACCCAGTCTGTGTGTTTCGCTTTCTGCATTTTTCGGGCCGTGGCCAACCAGAACGCCATTCATTCATGGAGGCAAACAAACAAGTGGCAAAAAAATGAAAACGAAACCAAAGTCGGAGCTGTTAAGGCTTTCGAATTGATTTACTGAAAGCGGAAATTAGTGACGCAGTCCGAACAAAACAAAACAAAACAAAGAGCGAGCGGCAGCAACAAGCGACTGGAAATTGCTGCCGCCAGATGTTGCCTACTTTGCTGCGCATGATGTATTGTCAAAAGGGTTTCCATACAGCCATACAGCCATACAACCAACCATACAGGCCCAACCTATGGCGAACTTGAGTCACGAGGATGAGGTTTGGCAAAGAAATTAGGCGTAAAGACTAAATTTGTGTGCGCAAAGCCATTCATTTTAAAAAGGTCTGCCATAGCAAGAAAAATTACCCGGACAAACTTGTAACGAACAAAAAATGAAGAAGCTTATGAATAAGAAATCTGATAAATCGAATGTTGAATACCCGCTATAAAAATGTATTAACTTTTTAGGAACCAAAAAAAAAATAGCAAGCATTAAAGGGAATGACAGTTCAAAGAACTTTACTTGAGATCTTTAAAAAATTATACAACAATACAAATTCAACTCTGAACTCTTAATAATATTAATTAAAAAGTTCAGAGTATTATTTTTAACTTGTTTAATCTGCATACACTTTTTCATGGTTACATTAAGTATATTCCTGAATATACCCTTGGAAAAAATATAAAAAATCTGGAGTAACGAAAGAGTTGTTCGACAATATGGTGGCTGGGCACATAAATTTGTATGGGCCGGGGAAAAAACGAGAAGAGATATGCTGGGACTCACTCATAAACCTTATTAGCGCTGAGGCGGAAACATATTTGCCTGACATAAATACCAAACTCAGGCCTTTTGTTTTGCACTTTTGCAATTTTGCCGTATTCTGGTCGACATGCCGTTTTGTCATTCGGTTCGTTTGGCTTTTTTAAGGGTTTCGCCATTAGTTTACCTCGGATGAAAGGCATTTGGCAGCCGGTTATGCTGCTCGAGCTTTCGGCACCATAAAATTTTATGCTCCAATGCATGGCAACAAATGCGGCAAATATAACTTTGGCTTAAGGGACGAGCATTGGGTTAGGTCTAAAAAAAGGAAGGAAAATTTCAAGAGCTAAGCAAACACTAGATCTTGGTCAGTTCAGTGGTCCGATGTCCATGACAAATTAAACAGGACAGATGGCTCCAAAGTACAACCACACACAACTGACAATTGTAGACGTGGTCTGAGCCTCTGGAGCATCTATCGATGCTTTATGAAAGTGAAGTTGCAGTCAGTTTTCCCTGGAAAATAGAACACAGCATCAGCATCTGTGTGTGATGGGTAAATATGTCAGTTTGCATTAGGCGAAGTTTCCAGCACGGCATTTATAGTATGCATGTGCGAGCAATTAATTTAAGTTTCGTTTACAATGGAAGCGCCAGCGTGAGGAATTTCTCTCCCTTCGAAATTCGGGATTTATATTGTTGGATTACCACGTACTGTATAGTCCACTGGAGCAGAACGCACATACAATTTCAGGGGGCGGATGGGTGGGGCACGGTGATAATCCAGGGTGCAACAACAAGTTGGGCAAATAGACTGCAACATTAATTGTGTGGCCAGCGGTGGACCAAATTATCCACCAGCATGTCTAGAGTCTAAGCTACGAATTGTGGGTTGGAATTAGGAAAATGGATTTACAGAATATAAACAGGATTTTAGGATAAGAGTTTTGAATATTTTAAAAATTGTTTCTTTTCCTAAAATAAGTATTTTGTATATTAATGATCTTTTAGCAATATATTTTTAACGAAACTTGCTAGCTTAATAAGTTTTCTAGTTTTCCTCAATTTTGTCCACTGTACCTAAAACCCTGCTTCTGTCCAATTGTGTGCTGTTTGCGGTGACGTGGCTCAGCACGTAAATCACAGACACCCCAAGAGCACCCCCAGCACCTGGTGTGATTCCATCGCTTACCTCTTGACATTGCCCAGGAAGTCGACGGTGAGATTCTTGGCCGAGGACGTGAACCAGGTGGCCGAGTGCAGTTCCAACTGGGCCCGAAAGCAGTCGTACTTGATGTACTGAGTGCAGTACAGCGAGTGCGAGATGAGTTCCTGCAGCATGTGAGGCGAAAATTCCCGATATCTGATGTTGAAGCTGAAGTCGCTTTCCCTGGCAGATCTCACATCCACTTGACTGGGCAGATTGTGTTCCACAATTGTTTTTGTGGCGTTCTCGAGACTCTGGAAATCGCACTTAACATGGGCAGGCGGAAAGACCCCATTGCCATCGATGTCGATGAGGTAAACGTCGGACTTTGTGAAGCCCAATAAGGCCAACTCCTCACAGGTCTTTCGGTACTTGGTAAAGTGGCAATTTTTGCCAATGTAACCAGTGTGTTTGCAGTCACAGGTGACACGATCGTCCTTCACAAAGCACTTGCCACCATGCTCGCAGGTGTTGGGTCTTTTGCAGGGATCTATGTAGTTGCAATTGTCTAGGGCAACCTGAAAAATACAAAAAGTATAGTTTGAAAGGGTTATTAAAAGAAATATTAAGTTTGAGGTGCCGTGATGGTGATTATGCTGAATAAAAATGTGTTATTCAGTCTTACCTCTCCCACAACTCGTTCCGTTTTGACCACATGGCGGGGCTCAATCAGATGATTGTTGATCTCTATATCCCGGATACAGCCCACTAAGCCCATGGCCGCCGACTTCAGGCTGCTGCCGATGATCAGCTTATCGCCGATGTTAAAGGTCAATCCGTACATTTGGCTGAGAGTGTGTCGATAATCCACCGTGAACCGAATCTCGCCCAGCTTGTAATCCAACTCCACGCTGTGCCACGAGGTGGCCCTATTGATTTTAATGGTGGTCGAGTGCGTTACATTGTTGTTGACATCGGGGACCAGATCGAAACTTAGTTTGTCCGACGTCAGACGTATCTAATGGATGGGCGGCCATTTTGCAATTTCCGTTAGGCGCGCGTTTCCGGTGGAGTTGCATGGTGGGGTTATTTTTTTTTTTATCGCAGTGGAGCCATTGTTGCCGCCGACGGATGTTGCACGTAGCGCCGAACAAAACCCGAAGCCGCGCATTAGCGTGTTGCCAAATATTAGTTTTTGTCATCGACATCGCATATGTAAAAGCCGATGGCGAGTGGAGAGAGAAAAATAGAAAACTCTGTTAGCATTAGAAGATTCGACTGCGTCAGTGTGTTTGTAAGTGGAAATAAATCAAAATTGTGAAAATGCCCGAAATGCAGAACTGCACAACCACATTCAAATACCCCCATCGCTCCATTCCCCGCGCCCACGCACACATTTCAATTTAAATGCCTTTGTGCATTAGCTTCGCTTAAATCATATTACGCATACGCCACGTGGCCACGTTCAGTTTGGCAATTGCCGAATCAATCGGCCAGTTTCGATGGGGTCCGGAGGGAACTGTTGTTGAAATTGCTGCCCATTAATGTGCAGAAAGCGTGGGGATTTTGAAGGGGGATCGAGTGGTATTTATCCACGACTCTTTATCATCCATTTGAACCTCTGTAACCAAATTGCTATATTCTTGGTGTCATATGCATCTGAAATTGTCATTTCCAGCTATGATGCTGATTTAAGGAACTAGTTCCATATGGTATAACCCTTTTTAAGATTATTTTTCTACTCATCAGTTATTTTATTGCTAATAAATGAAAAAACAATCCAGACAATTACAGACAAACAAATCTGATGTATAGCCTTGCCATCAACTATTTATTTATCTGCAAACTTTTATACCATAATCCTACTAATTTGATAGCTATACATATTTTTTGCCCATTCGCTCTCGGCAGTACATTATTCTAGGGAATCAAAAACAAAATATTTATTGAAATTTCATGAACTTGCTGGTGCTGCAACACACAGCTCAGCACAGTTGCAATTTGTACACGTCCGTATAAATAAATGTACCAACAAGCTGGCGAGTGTGTGTGTGTTTATGTGTGTGTTCCATATTTATCTATGCTCATTGTGAATTGCGCTTTTGCGTCGCTTATGCGAAATGGCAAACACTCAGATTTTATTGCATATTTCATTAGATTTTTGTCAGAGCGTTATGTTTAAAGGCAAACACTTTTCCACCCACCCGGACATTCGTCGCCAACTGTGACAATATTTCAAATGATTTTTATTCCTGCGCTGCCACCGCGAGTTTTGTTGTGTTGTTTGCCTATTTCGCCCATTTGCGCGCTGTCAATAAATTCGATTTTCGATTTGTGATTTGCGATTTATGCGGGCGCATAGTTTTTATGTCACACCCCGAATCCAAACCCTCTGTGCAGCATCTGACATGACATTCCGTGTTGCATACACATGTTTGTGCTCTTCTATGGAGGCTTTCCTTTTTTTTTTGGGTTTTTGGGGGGTCCTATTGAGTGACGGGGGGCGAAAATTCTGTTGGCAATTTATTAGTTTGTTGAGCTCCATACGCAACACGCAGGTGGCAATTTTGTGGCCTACGCCGGGTAAATAGTAAATAAATAAAAGCTCGTAACTGATGCCTTTTTGAAGCTGCGCAAATGCAGATAGGATATCGCGTGAAATTAAAGCGGCGGTCAATGTAATAGCTCTACTTATGGCTTTGTTCTCAAAATTAAACACAAAATTGAATATAAATACTGCAACTAAATGCTGATATTTGCTCGAATATTATTATAATTTAATACAAGTCAAAGATTGCCATTAACATTTATATAATGGACGCGTAGAGCTCCTAAAGCTATTATTTCAACCTCAACTGTCTGCATTTGAATTATTTCCCAAATAAAAAACACAAACAGAGTCATATTATAAAACCTGACACAATCAATTTAGTATTAATTTGGGTGCGCATAAATCGTCAAGCGGCAAATGGCAAATAAGCCGTAGAGTCGTAGAGTCGATGCAAAATTGAATGGCTTGCGGCATAAATATTCATTGGCATTACAACGGCAATTTTATTGCAATGCCAATAAGTCAGAGTCTCTGCAGTGACATTTCGGGCTTGTTTTTGGGGTGAGTGCGACTTGCAATCAAAAGGAACAAAATCAACAATAAAATGCAAATAAATACGGCCGGCACACATGAATATTCCTTTTAGTACGTCCTACGTACATTGCCCAAATGTCAAGTAACCAAATAAACGTTCTTGGACAGGCCAAGACAAGGTTTGTTTGTTTAAATACAGATAAATGCTACTGACAACCATATAAACATCAAATCACTGGAGGTTTTACGTGTGGGTGGGGTTGAAAATAGGTCTGGTTTTTGGGAAACATTGTCACCCGACTGGCATTAAACTGTGGAATTGTTTTTGTGATCGATTACAACGCACTTTTATGCCGAGCCTCAATCTGTTGTGCCCAGTATCTCTCTGTTTGTCCGGTTATAAATTGGTTTTTCATGGAAACATTTAACTTGCCTTCAATTGTTTTGCAGCAGCCATGACATAAATCTATAAAAATGGTTATATGAAATAAATGGCAGGCCACCGAATGGAACAAAGAAAAGAAAACATTTTTGGGCAATTTCGGTTAATATTATTAGTATTTTCTTGTACGATTTATTAGCATTTTTTGGCAAAGATGTCGTTTTCGGAAATAATAGAGAAGATAGTCTGTGAGTCTTTTTGGTAATTGTATTACTACTTTTCGTTATACCACAAAATACGAATCATTTTTTTCACAAAAGCCAGGCTCTATCCTTTAGAATAGGCTAATATAAGTTATTTCCTCTACGAAAGCTTTCGGAAAGAATACAAAAATAAATATTTTAGGAAAATAAAGTCCTTGCAAGAGCACACAATCGCTTTGAGCTACCGACGAGATGAATAATGCCAAACAATTACAAAACACTAAGCTCATTTGACTTTTCATTGCATTAGCCGGAGTCGAGTTTCACTCAGCAGCGCTTAAATTTAATTGCATTTTCCGCATTCCCAATGGCAGCCAGTATTTTTGGGTACACTTTCGTTTGCCCCCCAATGTGTGCTGCACACTACATATATGCGAACGGATGGAGCATGCCTTCGAGTCCTGTGTATGAATGCGAATGGCTGTGTGTGCGTTTTCGGGGGAATTTTGTGCTGGTATGCAAGTATCATACACAAGCCTGCACAGTAACACACACACCCACACGCACACCCGCACAACCACGTGCACATTTGATTTGCATTTCATTTTCTCAGCCGAAGTCTCTGCTGCTGCTAAGTCGTCTTAAGCAGCACGTCGTGTGTGTGTGTGTGCGTGTTTGTGGCTGTGTGTAATGCGTGTGTGCAGCTCAGAAGCTCAAACAATGAGCAGGAGTGAGTGTGTGAGTTCCAAAAGCACGGTAAAAAATAGGACATTTGTAATGATGTTAGAGGAATTGTAGGAAAATTCTTGGGTGAAAATAAATATTGTTATTATTATTCAAAAAACTTAATAAGTTTTGAGATTTGAAAAATGATTGTTACTTCTTGGACTGAAAAAATACTTTATCGAGTATATAGCGTAAATATAAGCAGGACATTCTCTTGATATCCTGAAGAGTTCCAAGGCTTAGCCTATTTAGTATTTACTTAAGATCACTAACCCTCCTTAAGACACCCCCTTCTTTCAGTGCACATTTGACTGAATGCTTGGATGGCCGCACTTACCTCCCAGAAACCATTTCCGGCACTGGTCGTTACGTCACTGTAGGCCAGCACGGCACCCGGCCGACTGCTGCGGAAATCGAATTTAATATTAAATTCTTCGGCGTGATTTATGGGCCACCAAATGTGTGATGTCGCAAAGGGATAGGTGATAGGTATCACATTCACTTCGTTCTCGACGAACTCCGCCTCCAGTACGCCTGACCCAGAAACGGAAGACACAGAGAGAGAGAGAGAGTCAGAGGCTCGTTAGGGTATGCCAAACATGTCGCCAGCAAATCGCTGCACTCGATATTAAATTGCACTCCACTCACCGTGATAGTGCACCTTGGGATTCCCCCGCTGCAGTTCGTACAGGATGGATATGTCGTTGTAGAAGACGTACTTCAGGCTGCCCACGAAATTGTTGTGGGAGGCCAGGCCCTTCTTCTTGTGCAGCTCCGGACCGCCTCCGAAGTAGATCTCCGGATCGAAGAGCAGATTCCCACTGGCCGTGGCCGGCAGCTCCAGCACCTTCTGCTGCTGATCCAGGATAATGCTAACCGTTCGCTGTTCGTGCAGTATCGTCAAATTGTGCCAATATCCTCGGGTCAGGTCGTCGGTGAGCACGGTACTCATTACGTTATCCCCAAAGTCCATTTCCACATGAATCGATTGGTTTTTAATGGCAGCCGCTATATACTGATGCTTCAGAGACTCTCCGCTGGCGTAGAACAAAGCCGAATCGTCAAAGTTCGTGCGGAACATCAGACTTATCCTTCTGGTGGAGGAATGCACTCGATCCTTCCAGTCGTAAATCCTGTAGGACACATAGCTGGCTCCCCGCAGAGTAATTATAGTGGCCGCTGAAAAAAAAATCATATAGAATACATTAATCGCTGAATGACACTCTTTCTCAAAAAGTATTGGTTTACCACAATTCAACAAGCAAAGAATTTTTTTTCCTTGAATACTTAAATCCAATTATTACGCTTAAAAATGTTACATAAAAAAATATATATATACATATTCAATTCACACTTTTATTGCCAGTAAATTCACTGCTTAAACCGACTAAAAAATACAACTTAATTTGTAAATCAGCAATGAATAAAATCGAAAATTGTAATCCGGATATTTGTAACAATATGCACAAAAAACTTTTGTGTCAAACACCTGTTAACCCAGATGATGTTGAAAAAAATTAGTTCACTTATTTAGCATATTTGTATATTTTAGCATACGTATTATCCGTCAGAGTTCTTGAAACTTCAACCATAGTTTTCCTTTTTTTTAACTCCCTTGCCACTTGTGCATTATCTGCCTCCTGCACAGAACAAAAAAATAAAATTCACTGAAAAAGCTTTGGTGGGCCGCAAAAATAGATTATGTATACTGTTTGCTCTATGGCGGCCTTTAGGCATTCGCCTGATGTTCGTCCTGTCCCATTCTTTTCTGATCCTGATTCTGGCCTCTTGTCCTGTCCGTGAACCAAATGTGCAAATCGTGTAACGCGCTATTTTCATGCTATTTTTTTGTGGCCGCTGGTGGTGCAGTTTTCAGTGGTTCGTACTGATGGGTGGTTTGGGTGGTGGCATGACAGCAACCGCGTTTTGCCCGCTTATCTGACAGTGCACACGTGGTCCCACTCGATAACGCATCGCCACCCACACATACCCCGAGTACTTTACACTGAGCGAATATCTATAAGCAACATACAGTAAATATCTAAAGTTACAGCTTCTTTAACAAGTTTATAAAAAAGGATGCAACAATTTTTATAACTTTTTTCAATGCTCAGACAGTTTATGTTACTGCTTTGAACATACATTTAATTAATTTTAGTTGCCAAGCATAATTTCTCTAGCTTTTTCCCAGTGTCTAGAGCCCCACGCAGATACCCGGCGTACTTCATAATTTTATTTGCATTTTGTTGGAGAAAAAACATTCTGCTGCATTGGACCACAGAGGTGTGCTACAATTTTGTTGCGCTAACCCGAGTTGCGAGTCCTTCGTTGGGTTTATGTTAATGCAGGTGCATAATGAGGCGGGCGATGTATGGGGTCCCATTAGAGCAGGCCGCAGCGTGTGACAATCACGGTCTTCTTGGACTTGCCGTTCTTGGTTCCGAATGCCTGGCAGTTCTGGAGGACCCTGAGGCCACCGCACACCCGTCCAAAGATGACCCGATTCCACGGCGCCACCGAGGGCTTGAAGCTGATGGTGTAGCTCAGGAGACCTTGGGGAAAGTGGCGGCGATAGTCCCATGGATACGAGATCACCCCCGTCAACTTGCTGGGATCCAGAAAGGAGTACTTAACGCTGTGGTGATCCCGCAATGGATCATTGCCACCGGGCACCAGTTCCCCCTCCATCCAAAGATCTGAGAATATTCGCACGAACTGATGGCATTTGATGTCGTTATGAGTGGCCATGCGCACAAATTCCAAAACCACTTCGGGACTCAGTTCCGTGTAAAGTTGAAGGAGTAACCTGCCCAGGAACTGGTTATTTTCCCGCACGGCCAAGTCGAAATATATTGTTGGGCGGAGGAGAACATGTGCACTTCGTTTTCCAAGTCGCGGCGATGGCATATAGGGTATAAACTCAGCCACCGTTTCATCAGAGGCTTTTTGCTCCATGGTCTTGACAGGAACCACCCAAGGATTGTGATTGTCCACCTTTGGGGTAAATGGTTAGCTTAGGGAAATCTCATAGAATTATATCTACTGTCATTTATAAGATGATTATCGTTTGTAAATAACGAAGTACTCAATTTAATGTTAACCAACCCTTAACCTCGCATGAAAAAATTTGTTGTAACAATTGTGTAACCATAGGTATCCATTTTACCCAAAATTAAAACATTAACCCACCTTGGACTTGACCTTCGAGAGGCGACAACCTAGCTGCCTGTTCTCCTGATTCAAACGCTCTGCCAGTTCACGGATCTTTACCCGATTCGGCTGAAGGGAAGGAAAATAGCGATTGAAGCTATTAACGCCGCCCTTCAACCGACAGGTCTGGTTGATCCGTCCCAGGAGCTCGAGGTTTTTGCGAAATATATTCTGCTTCCGGTTGAATTCGGTTGATAGCTGGCTACGATTAAAGATGCGCAGCTGATTCCCAATGGAGTCCCCAGACGATTTGATATTCTTGAGGCGCCTACGATCGATTTGTGCCTGTCGGATCTCCATCATGCTCTTATAGGTAACCAGGTTATTATCCGCTTCCCTGCCTGCCGATCGCATTATCCGCCTGAATTCCGCATAGGAGGGAACCCTCTTATTCAGCAACTTGTCGCGCACCTCTCTGTTCTTCGTCATCAGTTCGTTGGCCACCTTTTGTGCCCGCAATTGGGTGAGTCTACTCGTTGGAGCATTTACATAAATCTCTGCGAAGTTAGCTCCACGTTGACTCATTCTACTAAAACTGGATTACTGTACACAGTGCTAATGATTTTCGCTAAAGCCTAACTTCAAAAATTTGTGGAGTTGTGTCTAAGGTAAACAAACTTAATTGCAGATAGTAAAGTTCTTGTATGTAATAAATGTGACTTTAAAACCAAATGCCTCCTTAGTTGGCTCAATTTACTTATAGAATAGTTGACATATTTTTATAAAAAAAAACCCAAGTATTTATTTTTGGATTCATTACCAAACTGATTTGATAAAAAAGTAATTTACCCATCACGTTCCAACCCATCCACGAATTTGTATAAATTCCATTCATAGATATTTTATGGTTAAATTTATAAATACACTTTTTATTAAAGCCATGGCTCTAATTGAAGGTGTGACATTATCATTTCGGCAAAGCAGACCACAATCTGGTGTTTTCTATTTTGTTGTGTTACAGCGTAAATGGAAAACTGGCCACAAAATTAACACATGCAGTTTTAGTAGGTTAAATAAACCAAAGATAACAAATAACAATCAAGTATGTTAAACTACTAAACTGTCATTTATATTAGTGAGCAGTGTGGTAGAGTGTTTAACAAAAATTCACTCAAAAAGTGCAGTCTTTGCTGTTTTCCCTCGAATTGGAATCGGAAAAATGCATTCCTTTCCTGCTGCATTATGAATTCCACTTCGGCTGACAACTGTCGTCCAAAGTGCAGAGATGAACTCTGCCCGAAGTCATCATATCGGACATCACAGGACATTCTCTTTCTGGCCTTCCCCCGATTCGTCCTATTTGCTGGCATTTCAATTCACTCATGCCGGAAGAAGCTGAAAAATCTTGTAGTCTCTTTCAGATATGTTGATGCCCGGCTTTTTGGGGCTAATGATTTCCCCAACTGAACGCATTTCGTTGACACTTTTAGCATGGAAAATTGTGAAATCAGAGCGAGTGTGAAGGGGGCGGTTGTGGAGGGATTTCGGGGTGAACTGCACATGAACAGGCTCGTCCTTGTACTGGCAGTTGTCATTTTAGTTATTGCATTACAAAAGGGTCTGCGTTTGATTATGTCTCGTGTCCCTCGTACCCTGTACGAGCTTTCACCATTTTCATACACTGAGCAAAGAGGTGTTAAAAAAATAGGGTTCATTAAAGAAAGTTACAGATTAAAAATTCTACTGTACTTTAAAAACTTTAACACTAACAAGTCAAATTAAATTCTAGGTTTGTAGGCAATTTCCTGAAAATCCCCACTTGGCCAAACTTTCTAAGATAAATCCCCATAATGATTATTAAATTAAGATCTGTTTGCAACATACTTTTTTTAAGTTTAACGGTGAAGTAAGCCGAAATTTGTCACTCTGTAGTATAGCTTCACCATTTGGAATGTGCGAGGTTTTAATGGCCTGACACTGTTTCCGTTCCAGGAGCAGTTCAACATGCAACCGGCAAACCAGCGGGCGGCGAGCGGTGGGCGGTGGGAGGTGGGCGGTGAGTGGTGGATGAGGTACATCTGTGTAATTTGCTTGCACTTGCCGGCGCTCGTTACGTAATTGTGATCAGTTGCAGCAGCGGCAGCAGCAGGCGCTGTAAATGCTTGACAAACTCGCACGTCACGGCGGTCGCTCGATGTCCTTGACAGACGCCATTTAGACAGATAGAGTGAAGAGGAGGAGGGGAGGGGAGGGGACGGTGGAGATAGAGGACACGCGGCATTTTCCAAAATGGCCAACGCTGTCACGGCTGCTGGCGAACCGTTAGCGTTTTTTTTTTTGTTCATTGTGCAATTTGCAGCTGTCCATTGCATCAATACTCCACCTCACTTTCCCCTTGACTCCACTTAATTCCACTGCCACCCGCGAAGTGTGGATTTTATTTTGGATTTTCCTTTTTCCATGGCTGGCGTGTGTTGGTCATCATTTGCATGCAAATTTTTAGCAAACATTTGAAATTCGAGGGGGCTAACTCAGAAGAATGCATTTTGAGATGCCCTAACTAGAGGTTTGCTTTGTAAGGTAACTTGATTAAATTTCTACGGGATATTTATAAAGTGAAACTAAAGTTATAAGTCCAAATATTGTATTTAAATTATACTAGTATATTTACCCGTTGAATTTTGTATTCATATCGTATTTAAAAAATCTTTAACCATTCCCAGTTAGGGTATCAGAATTCTCTTGGCTGCTCCTAACTAACCATTTACATGCCGTAATGCAAAGTTAGTGCCTCGAAAGACCCCTGAAAATTGTGCAATGTCAAAAAACATAAACGAGCTGCTCAATTTTTAATAGGCTTGCCTACATAATGGCCTCGCGTGACTTAATTGAGATTATGGCGGCCTGGAATTGGCTTTATGTCATTAACTAAATGTCGGATGTTGCTGAAGCGGCGGGGTAAACGGAAGGATCGGAGCGTCGGTCTACGGGGTGTATATATATTGAGCTTAACAAACTAATTTTGCGCACATTCTGCCTGGTGTGGCCCGAGCTGGCCGGCAGTCAAAAAGTCAAACACTATTTTGCATAATTTATGGTCAGGTCATTAGCGTGTTTAAAACTGTAGCGACCGAAGGGGGCGGGCGGTGGCAGTGGCTAACCGCTAGCAAACAAACATAGTTTATAATTAAAACAAAATGGCGCCCCTAGGGCCATGTCCAGATACACAGATATATTGGGATTTAGACCGAGTTAGATGGATGTGAGTGACACTTGGAAAAATTAGGGGGTTAGAATTTGAAATTTTTATAGAAATTAATAATGCTGCTTAAAGCTTATGTGTAAATTGTTGTATTGTATGCGAAGTTCTTTAGACCTTATATATTTCACTTAACAAAAAAAAATACTTTGCTATTGCTTACAACATTAAGTAATTGGAAACATAAAATACGAAATTAAATTTGAGTTTAATTTTAAGAAGAGACAGAGGATCTTAATACATTTTTTGTTATTCTTGTACTCATGACATTTTGTTAGTATTAATTTATTCGCTTGTAATTGGTTGTTATAACTTATCGTTTCAAATGCTAAAATATCTTATTTATTCTTATATTTTTTTTGCGGTTAAGTACTCACTGTATATGTCGCAGTGCTCGCCCTCGTAGTGGGTGCCAAAGCAGTCGCAGGATATGCCGCCGTAGTGGTTGATGCAGCGCGATCCCACGAAGCAGAGGTTGTGCCGGGACTCGCACATGTCGGAGCAGCCTTCGTTGACGTTCTCGTGCTTGGTGGCCACCAGGGGGGCGATGGGCAGGAGGTCGGAGGCGGCCTTGCCGGAGCTGAGCACCACATTGCGGATGCAGCCCACAAAGGACTCCGTAATGTATTTCACGCCGTGCAGCTTCTCCTCGGAGGAAAGGCCTGCGAAATTGCAGAACGGGGGGAGATTGTGGGGATTGGTCAGTTGTTTGGTCTTGGCTGGGAAACCACAGATTAATTAACATGCTGAATATTTGGGAATGGATTTTGGCTATATCTGTGTGGGCTTTGGTGGGCGGAGTGACCATGTCGGACAGCCATAACATAATTTCGTTGTTTACAGTTGAAAGTTTTGATGGGATTTTTGGCTGCTGCTGTTGCTAGAGATTTAAATATTGCTTAATTAAAAAAGTTGTCTCCACTCAGTTTTCGGATCAGCAAAGAGCGGACTAAATAAATACAATCAGAGGAGGCGGTAGATGTTCCGCAATTATTCATTGTCATGAAGGAACTAAAGTTACATATTCAAAACATATTCAAAATTTCGATAGAAGCTACCTTTAAAATAAAATAAATGTTTGCCTTTTATTTGGCCATTTTGCTTAATGGAAACACCATGTGCAAAATGCCATATTTATTTATTGACTTCATCATAACAAATATTTGGTGCAATTGTTCCATAAAATGCTTTTAAAGTTTATTGATTGCATGCTTTCCATTTCATTTTCACGTTTCACTTTCGGCTAGTCTCCTGGGTTTTCTTTGAAACGCAACCACAACAAAATTATTTTTCCACGCTCTAAATTTTCTATAGACCCAGCTCGGCGGGAGCTGGCTCGGAAAAACTAGACCAACATCATCAGAGTGCAATCAATGGCCCATTCTGTCTGCCTACTCACAAAACCCTTTTTTTTTGCCATGGCCTCTGGTGTTCGCAACGTGAAATAATTAAATTTTCAAATAACGCACCAAAGCAGCTTTCAAAGTCATACATACGAACACTTACAATGCTCCGATTCAATGGGAAATGAGCAAGTTCAGTTTTCGGTCGTTCACTCGACTTTTTGAGCTTATGCACCAAAACAAAAAGTTTTTAATCTGTGTTATGTTTGTTTTTGGTCGTATAGTATTGGTAGTATAGTATATATGTTATTCCCAGTTCTGACACATTGGTTGGTTATCTAAGTGAAGCCTGATTTATAAATAAATATATCAAACTTTCCTTTCACCACATGATTTTCCAATGTTTTTGATTACTTTCTGTGTATTGTGTGAGTGTGTGCGTCGCCACCGCGAAACTGCAAATTCGATTTAAAATTTTCAGTTGCACATATTCCGAATTTTCGCCAGTGCTTTTATATGCTATTCTATCCCGTATATATATATGTACATACATATATGCATACTAAACTTTCTATGTTCCACGCTGATGCGCTGGTTTATGTGTGAATTTCGCGTACGAAAATCGTTGCATATATTCTGGCGCTGCCTTTAATATGATTGATTGTGTGGAGCTTGGGCTGGGAGAAGGTGGGAGATGGGAGGTGGGACTTTCGATGGATGGGGAAGGCATACACAATTGATTTGGGCACTCACCTCCGACCAGGACCACCGATGGCAGATTCGTGGAGACGCCGTAGTTGTACTCGTGATTCAGTCCCTTCAGATAGACCTCCTCCTGACTATTGTCGACGCGTGCAATTAATCTTGCGCCATGGACATCGATGCGCACCTGTGCCAAACAGACAGCAAGGGATCGGATCGGTTAGGAGTGCAAAACCAATAAACCAGCTAGCTATTGGGGCGTGGGGATTTCGGATGGGAGATGGGCGATGGAAGATGGGAGATAGAGGGAGGCGTGGCCCTCGCACACAGACAAATGATAAAAATTTATGAATTTATGCGTTTTGGCCCCGAGTTGAAGTTGCTAGTTTTTGCAGGCGGCAAGCGATAAATTGTTGTTGCTACCGCTTGTGTTGCAGTTGCTGCTGCTGCTGCTGCTGCAGCATGGCTAAAAATCTACGAAAATGAATTGCAACTGCTGTGCGCAGAAACTCATTGCTGGGATCAGCTGAAATTCATTAGGAATTTTCGTGTTATTTATGAGTGTCTGCATGTGCCTGCATCTGTGTGTTATAATGCACTGAAGGAAAATGAAAATGATTAAAATAGGGTATCATGACTTATAGTTTGATTCCAATCAGGTTAATAATTACTTCAAAAAACGTTTTTAATAGACAAATCCTTTAGATTGATATGTTTTATTTTAAATCATCAAGGGTTACCAAGAACAGTTAATGAAAAATAATGCAGAATTCACATAAATATATTTTCTCTGCGTGTGCGAAATATAGCAAATATTTCGTATGAAAGTGTGATTAGTGTGCTTGTTTTAAATATGAAAACATGAACTAAACTGGTCTGTTGCTACTGCTTTTTCGGTAGCTCCTGCCACTGTAATTGATGATGATGATGCTGACGATGCTTGAGGGATTGCGGTAAGGTACATGCGTGGAAGCAGCAACAGCAGCGGCAGCGGCAGCAGCAGCAGCAGCAGCAACATCCCAGGAGCAACATGCAACCACCGGACCAAATGTCCGAGGTGAGTTAACAAAGTTGAACGCACATAAATCAACTTGCTCGCTTTGTTATAAAAGTTTGATAAAGCGTTTTGCACACATGCACACACAGGCAGCACACATTCCGCATTGCAATCTTGCTAATTGCTTGCCGAACGCACGGCCATGCTAATGTTGGCCGAAACGCCAGATGTTAACCGACTACCAACTACCCTGGGAGCCCCCCAATGAGTTGAATCCACCGGAAGTCCGATGGACCCGCAGGATTACGCATTACGGCATTCGAGCGGGCTTTTCTTTTGAGGGCTCCGGCCAGACTTGACCCCGTTTTCCGGGGAATCGTCCGCACTCACCATCACACTGTGCCATTCATCTCGATTCAGGCTCTCGCCCACAGTGACACTCGTTGAATGCTTGCCAAAGACGTGGACCACCTTCAGCTGGCCCTTCTCCACAATCACGTAGAGTGCATAGGGGTCCAAAATAATGCGATCCGGATTCTTAACGTTGTGATAGACGAGCAGGCCGTGCGGCAGTCGGGTGCGGAATTGAAACGAAATCTCACGGCAAAGTCTGCAAAGACAGAAGGTCGTAGAGCCGGCAGTGAATTAGCATTAGTGTTGCAAGTGTGGGCTCCCAAAAGTGGCTTAATATGGCATTTAATGTGGCTTAATTCTACGCGTTATATCCCTAATTAGTAAACACCAAAAATAAACAGCTAAAAAAAACATTTATTGACTGCCTAAAATTTAAATTAAAGTAAATATATTTAGTATAATTATTTTGTTAAACTTCTTAAGTACTGAACATCGTTTGCCTTTTTTAATTAAATCATTGGTTTGGCATACATATTTTATTATGACTTATTCAGACTCAACAATTTTTGTTGTCATAATTAAAGATAAATAGTTTTGGCCATAAAATAGCCAAGTTGGCCACACTTGGCACTTGTGTGGGTGCTGGTCTATTTGCTCGACAGAGTTTTAAATTTATTTGTTCTTTGCTCTTGACTGCTGTTGTCGTTGCTGTTGTTTGTGCTGCTCCTGCTGTCGGCAGCCACATGAGTTACAATTAAAACTACAGCACAAATTGCCAACTTGGCCAAGTACGTTGAGGCCACTGACCAGAGGCAACAACGATGGCAAGTAGAAGTTCCATTTGGCAAAGTTATGTTTAATTTTATTTGCCCCACTGTCTACATGTTTGTCCAACATGTGCGCTCTCCTCCGCATTTAAATAATATTTTTTATCTTAATTTAATATGCAAATGTCAAATGTTTCTGGCCAAATTGAATTTTAAATTTGACAACCCCGAAGATCTTGGCCAGAAGTCGTTTTGGACCATTTAGATGTCACAACATGGGCAGAAAGGTTTTGGCAATTGAGCAGAAAATTAACTTTTGACCTGGTTCTTGGTAAGCTTTTTTGCTTCTGCCTTTTATGCTTCTCTTTTGATTGTTTTGTGTAAGCTACCGATAAGATTGCAGTCCTTTTAAAAAACGTGATTGTTGAGAGAAAATCAATTTTGAAACTGGGGAGGCGACGTCAGTTTGGCTAATTGCTCTTGTACATTGCTTTCACTATTAACCCCAGATGTCATGGTGTTTTATAGCATTTTTCATACTTAATTTCTTGGTTGTCAGATTTAATTTTTTGCTTCGGTCAATTTAATGTCAGATTAAATTATTTTACAATTTGTTTTTAAAGCTACAGGAAAATGATTTACGATATTTTCTTGAGCATTGGTAATGGTTTTATTATACTTCGTAATAATTGATCTTTTGAAAGATAATAAAGTTGGAAGTAGGTTTTATATTCTTGCTTATTTTATTATTTCTCAAACTTATCAATGACCTTTATGGGGTTAAGCGAATGAAGCACTTTGAGCCAAAAGGCCAACAATCCGCTAAATGACGCGAGCGTTGCAGCGCGACGAGTTGAAGTGGCAGGAAAAGGACCTGAAGCTGCCACCTGGCAGGTGGTCAGTATTCCCCGCAGCACTCCCGGCCCACTCACCTTAATTGAAATGTCTGTATGATGTCGCCGTCCATTTGGATGAACGTGTTGTTCTTGGCGAAAACGAAAGTTTTGCCTTGGCCCGTCTCCGCGAAAGTCAACTCGGGGCCGCGCTGCTCGATGGGCACGGGCGTGGTTCCGTCCCCGCCCTCCGCCCCGCCCATTCCGTCCGGCGACTGGGCCGGACTCTGGGTGTACGGCAAACCGAGCAGCATGGAGCTTTCCGTGGTGCTCGGCTCACGGGTCGTGGACTGCAGGAAAGGTGGCAGGGTATCTGCAAGAGAATTTACGTTAATTGGTATTATTTTTGGCTCGTCGGAAGTATGCAAATTAATCAATGAAAATAAAACTCCCGAGTTGCTAATGCATTGATTAACATATCAATTTGTATCAATGTTTTCACTAGCTTTTGCGGTTTTCAAAAAGTTTTAATGTTTATTTCGCATATAAATTAATATATTTTATTATACTGCTTCAGTGCCATTAAATAATAAATTGTTTAACGCTTGATATGTGGATTGGTTTGACAACTGGCGGCTACTATTTAAATATGGGTTAACCCAATTATTGTGGCTGGCTTTTTGACAATAAGACTTTTGGCATGCAAATATTGGAACTAAAATGTGTTTACTTTTGAATAAAATATAAATACTTTAACTACTTACGTGGTCCGCCGATGCAGTGGAAAAGGCACTCAGCTTCGGTGCCGAAACGATTAGCGGGATTTCCTTCACAGCCGCCCCAAATGAAGTTGGTGCACTCGTTGGTGGTCGGTTCGTAGCGCCACTTGTAAATGTACTGCTTGCAGGGACCAGGATCACCCGGACCGGCACACTTCTCGTACTGGCTGTTCTTTTGTCCCTGGATCATCGCGGAGTTGTTCCCGCTGCCACTAATGCCGCTGTTGCTGCCACCGCCGCCGGCACCGCTACTCCCGCCCGCTGGCGAACCGCCCGCCGAGCTACCGCCCCCCAAGTCCGGTGCTGATTGTCCGCCGGGATTGCCGCCGGCCAATCCGCCGCCTCCGCTCAGGCTTACGTTGCTGTTCCCTAGACTGCTGGGATTTCCTGCAACAAGGATCGGCGAAATCCCTCCGACGGCAGCCGCCACATCCGTTGCCGTCATGTTGGGCAGGCTGAGAGTGGAAACTGAGCAAATTAGGTGCAGCAGTACCAGGCTGTGGGGCAAGGCCATCTCGAGGATGGAAGGCTGACGTCGCCCCATTTCTCTTCGGAAACTGTAACAAAAGATTTAGTTATTGGGTTAAAAAAATATTATATTATATTTAATTTTTATTTGTATGCAGAGACATTACATTCAAATTCGAATTTTGAATGTAGCTTATTTCGAAATTTAAATACAAGCGTTTTTAAATGTACCACTTCGAGCTCAAGTTGAAATTTGAAAGCTATTAGCTCTGAAGGTGTAAATATATAAATCCAGGCTTTTTATTATATCTCCTTTAAAAAACCTAAAATAATCATACTTTTATATTTGGTCTACAAAGTAAGCTCTTTCTTTTTTTCTGCAGGAACTAAGTGTCTTCATAGTCCTCCGCCACTTTTTGCCGCCTCATCCTTTACTTTGTTCATTAGATCTCGTGGTAATTGCACAATAAATTCAGCAAGGCAATTTACTTGCATGTCACAAGAGCAGAGAACAGATCTGAACAGAGACATTACAGCTTATGATTCCGGCTGCTGAAGAAGTTTACTATTGTCATGTGCGGCACTAAAATCCCATTTACATCATCGTGCTCATCATCATCAGTCAATGTCTCTGTTCCTCTGGGGCGACGATGCTGCATTTCTTGATGCCATTTAGCGGAGAGGAAAACGAAGCAAGTTTTCTGCTTTCACTTCCGCCGGAAATGTGACACACTCGTACACCCGCACAAACACACAAGACACTGGATGGAAGGAAGACGCATGAGCTTGGGTTGATTTACAAGTAGCTTAGCACCATCAAGCGAAAAAAGTGTCAAAAATTTCAAAATAATGATGCTCACAGTTTACACTAAATGGATGGGAGAGGGAGAAAAGTGAGCGGAAACTAGAGGGAAATAGGAAATTAAGTTTTTCGCACACCCTCCGGAAAAGTTTGAGAGCTTTCCATGGCTCAGATTATGGCTTAAACTGAAAGTTGGCTCAGCTCCACTGCGGGAGGCATTTTTTTTGTCTGCCATTTCCGTTCATAAGCAATTTTTAATTGTGGCTTTCGTTGCCCGGGCAGCATGAAAAATGAGCGCAGGGTCGACCAGCCGGGCGGAGTTCATGCGAATTAATAAACCTCAAAGTGTTGGTGCGGCATTAGACACGGGTCCGGCTCGGGTTCCGGGTCTGGGTCTTGAGCCAGGTCAACACAGAAAAAAAAATTGTAAAGCCGAAAGAAGAATCTTCAAAGGAGTAAACTTTAAAAGTAGGTTTTGAAGTTCGCAAAAAGAGCTACGTTTAATACCATTTATTTCAGACCTAAACAAGTGTTATTAACCCAGAAGAATAGGTTGTATATCATTTCAAAAATACTGAAATAAATAATTTAAAACACCACCGCTCTACTCTTAATTTGCACATTGAAATTTATGATTTGCAAAGTTATTCATTGATAATCGTAAATTCCGAATTCCATTCATCATTTCGTATGGGATTTTCCCGCAGTGAAGTCGCATGCTGGCAGAAATTATTGATGCATATGCCGGGTTGTCCAGGACGTGCGTGCCATCCTGTCGTGAGTGGGACCAGAGGATGGTGTCCTTTAGATGGATGGCCCAAAAATTGCATCGGATTTTGCCTGCTGAGCTGCGTGACCAAGAAGTTGGCTGGATGTCCATGTGCCACCCCGCAAATCTCCTCCTACTTTCAGGACCCGTATTCCTTTTATGTGGCCAGACGAGTGCAAAAGTTTACCTAACTTTGCCCAGGGACCCGCAAGGCAAATCCAACGCGATTCGGCCACATGCGAAGGATTTTGGCCTAAAGTGCATTAGGGAGCAGAGAAAACTTGGACCGATAAACCATCTGTTACCTGCGAGGACAGACGAGCAGACAGACCTAAGTCGGGCACTCAGGTAAAACGGCACCCCAAAGGATTGGCCGCGAAAAATGGGAAAACCCGCCGGGCAGGCAAAAACAGATAAACACGACCGGGCCTGCATAACGGGAGGAGGTCCTCGAGGTCGTTTAAAAACCCGCCTAAACGCAAACCTGGCATGCATTTGCCACTTAGCCGCCAGAATGGAAGCATCGGTCGCCTACGCTTTATTTTTGCACCGCCAAGAGCTGCAGCGCCGCAAAATGCAGTACACCCAAGTGTCCAAGACGAAGATTCAGTTGACCAAGGAGCTTATAGCCGAGCAAAAGCAACGGCTGTCCACCAGCTCACCCGAGGACCTGGAGATCCTGAGCAGGGAGACCCAGTTCAAGCGGCAGCTCCAGCAGAAACTCAAGCACCGGAACAAGCAGCTAAAGGCGATTGCCAAGCACCAGGAGCGGCGGGGCTGAGGCAGCAGGATGAGTCTCGACTTCCCTCAGGGTTACCACTTTAATTAGTTTTAGTTGTACGCAAATGATGTGTGCTTTTCCATAGTTTAGTTTAGTCCTAGCTCAAAGAAATACAATTTCCCATTAAAATCAAGTAAATCTTGGAGATACTCTCTTGAAAAATAATAAGATATATAGAACTACCTCTAATGTATAAGTTTTTATATAACGTTTATTAAATAAATTTAAAAATCAACATTAATCTCATAAACTCAGTCTTTTCATTCGAATTTAAGACATTTATCAGCTCACGTTTATCAATAGACCTCCTGGCGAATTGCATTAATTCAATCACTCACTTGCACTTGCGGTCCAATATCCTGCCACGACTATCCCATTTATTTAACACTCGCAATTTTTTACTAACCCCATTAAGGGTATTCATTGATCGATGCATTTTCCGCGAAACTTTTCGCACTTTCCCCGCTCTGTTGCCATTTCCTCCTCACTTTTTACCGGCTCCACAGTAAACGCAAAGCGATTTAAATTGAGCTCGCGTACGTTGCACACCAATAACAACAACAACAACAAGAATAATAATGGCAACAAGAACAACTAGTACAACAACTGGGAAAGAAGCAACAAAACTAAGTAATAACAGCACCCTGAGGGAATCCCCTTCCACCAAACGCCCCCGCTAAATTACACGTTTTGTGTTCAACGTCGACGCCTCCCGCACTATATAGCGCTATATATATATTCAGCTATAGGATGGAAAAAGAAGGAGGCAGTAGAAAAAGAAAGCGCGCAAGGCAGAGTGAGAAAAAAGGAGGAATGGAGGGCGAATGAAAGCAAAGTGAAGTCAAATTAAATTAAATGACAGATGTCTGACATTTTGATAGTCGTGCGTGAGGCTCTATATTTCTTGGTATGTGTGTGTGTGTGCATATAAACACATGCAAATAGTGCACTTTGAAAAACAATAGGATGATTAGAAAAAAATAGTAAATTGTTTTACAACTTGTACAAGCTAAAATAAGTTATTATGTGACTTAAAAATGGAAGGCTTAATTGCTAAATAATTATCAATAAGTAGGTAAAATTTCTATTTTAGGACTTAAGATTTGTGAGAACTTAATATGGGTTTCAACAGATTTTTTAGGAATTACTCATAAAAGCTATTAAAAATGATGTTTTTTTTCCAGTGCCCAAGCACTTGTGTATGTAAATGTCAAGTGTCGCAAGGCAAAATGCACATGCACTTGCAGGGACAATAGTGGGGATCGATGGGCCTCAGGGGGGTCAGGGGTTAACAGGGGGATTGTTGGGGTGTTCCTTAGTGGGACTGACTGGGTGTTTGTCGGCGGTGTGTGCATGTCTCCCAAGTGTTGGTCGCGTAAGGGTAATGAATTAAAATAACTTGATTGCATGAAATTGAACGAATTGTTGCCCAAGGAACTCGGGACAGAAAATGGAAATGGGAAATGGGTTGTCGAAGGGGCTGTTGGGGCAGGAAGGAAAATTGTGTTCGGCGCGAATGCAGCTCGCGGAAATTGCACTCCTTGAGCGACTTTCTGTCTGTCAGTCGGTGTGTGTGAAAAATATTTACTGAAATTTGTATATTAAGTGACGACGACAACGGCAAAGACAACAACAATGGTTATAGTCATTGTTGTTTTAGTCTTTTGATGCTGTTAGCGTCACGGTCGCGTACGCCAAGTGCGAAGTATATATCTTCCATATACACACACATGTGTGCCCTACAATAGAAGTCAGAATGCATGAATGAGTGCTGCTAACTGCGTGGGAGGACTCTGAACATTTTCAGGACCAAGAAAGGAACCGGCAAGACAAAGGATGTGAGAAGGGAGGCGGCAAAGAGGAGCAAGGAAGGTCGAGAAACGAAGCAAGTGCTGCAGGCATTTAGCCGTTGTGTTCTGCTTCACCAGAAGTCCTTATGTGACTGAACCTTACAGTAAAGATTAGCTAGGAAAAATGTACGCATTTACTATATGCATTTCTTTTCATTCCGATTTTCTACAATTACAGAAGATTTAATATAATCAAATGTGACAAACAAACTCAAATTTGAAACCAACACAATATTAACAAAATATTTATCTGAAAATTTGATTTGCTCAATTCGCAAATTAACAAATCTAATTAAGCAGGAAATAATTCAACTTGATACTATTCCATAAATTTGTTATGCAAATTTAAATTGCCCAAGTGTCACATCATAATTAATATTAATAACCAAGAAATAAATTTCCTTAATTAAGAAAATAAAGGGGGTAACATGTATTGGCTTTCTTAGATTTTTTTGTGTTAAACACCAAACTATTTAGCTGGGCTTTGAAACACCATTTTCCCCTATCCTTTGTAGTCACAACTCACTGTGGAGGCAAAGACAAAACAGACAAGATTTGTGCGAGCATTTTCGCACTAACAAATTCAATTATTTGCAAGCACTTTAAAAATGATTTAATGCCTGTCGTCCGTTGTCCGTCGACGAAGCGAAACACTAAGCCATTAAATGAAACTATAAATGTTTGCATTTAGCAATAGTTTATGTCGCACACTCACATTCGCTTAAAGCCCAGTAACATGGCTTAGAATACTAAACGAAATTTACACGCCTAGCTGGGTAGAGTTTAGTTTTCGGATTGTTTGGCTGTCCGTTTGTCCGGGAATTTCCGTCTGGCCTGCTCCATATGCATTATAATTGCCTGTTATTTTGCCATTGTATAAATGATTATTATTTAATTTGCTAGCACTTGCGGGGAAATTGTTTGTTTCTTAGTTTGTCAGCGAGTGCGTCGCCAAAGAGCTATGCCAGTTCTGGATTAATGAGCAATTTTTAAAAGGTCGTTGAGCGTACACTGGATTTTAATTGAGTGGATATCGTGCAATATGATAATCTGCACAATAAGTTAATCCTTACCTCATCACCATGTCATAAATTGCCCATCGCTAATAACCAACTGTGCAGCTTGCTGATGGCCAACTTCAAATTAGTAAGCTTTTTTTGCGGCTGCGTCGTGTGTAAATAAGACTGGCTTAATTTAATATCTCTTTAATATTTATTGATGAATTTAAAATTTGGTGTCTAGTTTTTTTAATCACTGAGCACCTCAGTTACTTTGTGCTTGACTTAATTATTATTCTTACTGGCAGGAACTTTTGTAGTATTAATGTGATTTTGTTTTTGTGCTTCTTGTAAGTCAAACATTTGTGTTTTAAAAACCCTAATCCATTTGGTTTTTCCTTTATATCTTTGGTTGGCTTCTATTTATCACACAAATTACCAAAAAACATTTTAAATTCCGCTCGAGAGATGAACTTTTTGTACTGAATTACCTTGAACTGCAATTAATTTCTTTACAACACGATATTAATTTGATCCTTTAAATACGTTTAAATGCAATTTGTATATAATTGTTGATTTCTTGCGGAGACACACATTAAAGGCTTTAACTTTATTTACTGATTTACAAAACAACAACTTTTATTGCATTCGTGCATAATTGGCATCATTTACATTTAACTTGCACTTATTCCATTACAGGCCATGTTTCACTAGTGAATACAAAAATAATATTTATTTAAATGCACTTCCGCAAACACTATTATAATTTTATTAGCCAAAATGAGCATGTTAAAAGCGTAAGCACGAACACATAAAAATACCTAATTTATGTTTGTTATTTTATTCAAAAACTGGGTACTTTAAAAATTTCCATATCAATTCACATTTGCTGCGGCTCTAGCACTCTTAACACCCGCATTTATTAAATTAAACGCGCTTTCATTTATGCATTTTTATTAACTGGCCAAAAATGGCTTAATTACATGCAATTTATACCAAAGAGCACTCGAAACGATTTTATAGATGGCGAAATAAAAAAACAGCAGTGCGCTAAAATCGCAATCTGCAGTTTATCCTGTTTAAGCGATGATATGCCAACTTATTGATTTAATTTGCTTCCTGTGCGCTGAAATCATTATGGCCGAAAGAGGCGAACTTGCGCAAACACATGTCGATTGGGGGCTTGCAGGGATTGGAGGGGGCGTGGCAGGGTCACACACTCGAGCGTAAAGCGTTGCCCAAAATGAGGTCAAAGTGCGCTGGCGTTTTGCGTGACTGAGCGCTCGTTTCGCTCTTTCTGTATAAACGAGTATGCTTGTATGTATGTACGAGTATGTAAGCGAACTCTTCAAGGATGTGTCGCTGCAGTGGTATTGTGCTTTATATTTTCACTATTTTATTTTCTGCTGACGCACACACAAACTCAAGCTCGTGTGAACTCATCGAGCTCTGTTTGTTTGTTTGTTTGTTTGGTTGCCTGTATCCTGCGGCTGATGAATCAACTTTTGCCTTTACTCAAGTCACGAAACACAAACCGAAAAACGCACCGAAATCAACCGGTCGAGGATTACATTTGCGTGAAAATCAGAGACAATCGAACACAAGCACGGCTCCGACACGCCGGAAAAGCCGAAAACAGGACACAGACACCGAGATCCGGTTGAGGACCCGCATCCCCAGAAGGTCTCTTGATTAAACGAGATTCGAGTGGCCCACGCGTCGTATGAGCAATGCCAGTCCGCATCCTTTGATTCCGAATTGACCCGTTCACTGCCGACGTGCTAATTGCTTGTCCAGGATAATGAATACTCCATTCGGCGGCCAGAGACAGGGGCTCCTTGCTCTATTTCGTCGCCATTTAATCCACTTGCCTCGACCTACGCGGTGCGACTAATTCCAGCGACGAAACGTTAAAGCAACGACGCCGGCAGCGACTACAACTGCTAGTTAGTTAGCGTGCTAAGCAGCAGGAACAACAATAGCACACCCACGCACTTAAAGAAAATTTTACTAATAATGTGCGAATTAAAAAGCTATTTATTTGGCATTTACTGATTCTAACAATGGCATATAAGCAAAATGAAGTTACCCAATAAAATATATTTAATAAATAATATAATATAATATATTAAAAAATGTAAATAAAATATAAGCTATCAACTACGTGATTTAATACTACTGAATTTCGTATTGCTTATCTTTCAGCTTTTATTTAATTTAATTTGTTTTATATCACAACGCAACCCTGACTTTGTTTGGATAAATAGGATCTTAACTAATATAATATATTCTTCGCCCACATATTTTGGATGTGGGAAACTATTTTTTTCCCTGTAGACACACATTGGTGGGGAGTGGTTAGCAGAGTGGGTGGCGACATATAGCATGCGAGACAACGATGTTGTGCGGTCTTGTGGCGGTTTTGTCGAGGGTGCCGACTTAAGAGGGGAACTCGTGGTGCCTTGGATTGACCGGGCGATTTGCTGCGGCTTAGCCATTAAACTGGGCACATTATTAGTTTAAGTTTGGTCCGGACTTGGGTCACTGCTACGATTAACCGTAATAGGCGTCAATTGGAAAATTACCGCCGATCTGCCGCACATCTGAGGCCATGTATCCGTGTCCGTTGGGTGTTTTTGGCTGTGATTGTGTCGAGGTGGAAGACAAAAGGCCAGGGACTAAGATTTCTCGGATTTATTCGGTTACTCTTTACGGTATACTCTACTCTTAGGGGTTTTTAGGGGTTTTTTTTTAAAAATGGTTAATATAAAAATATAATAATTAGGAATCTTTAAAAGTTTGAGCCCTGAATAGTCAGTGGTTCTTTTATGTTACTCAAATAATCATAATTATTTAAAATGTTTGCTTGCATTTGAAATTTATGGCGAAATATAATACTACAACACAAAAAAGTCTGTACACCTAGAAATGCATATTTCTGTTAGTAATTAGATTTGTACCAATATGTACATATGTACATGTTACCATGACAGTGAATTGTACATTTTTGCAAGAGCATTGTGCTGTCCTATGTCCTTCCATATCTGGTGTCTAGCCTTGGGCTCTCAGTCCCCAGTGTTATCTAAATAAATGATGACTTTTTCTGAGGTTTGTGTGGCTCATTTAAAATTCAATTTATTTTTGGCAGCCTCCTGGCAGAGCGACTGGAAAAAAAAAGATTCTGTCACAAAATTTGCATTACTTTTGGCATTGATTTTGTGCACGGAGAAGAGAAACGAGACACCGAGACACCGAGACAGATGTCTTGGGTCGCGAATCTAGCCGGGGCATCTTGGCTCCGTAATTCGTGTGGCAATTGTCTTAATTCGAAAATTGCAACTCTCGCTGCTCGCCGCCGTAGACAAATTGTGGCCATGCACGAGTGTGTACGCATCTGGGCAACCACGATAATGATTGTGTCCCAAGATCCGACCAGATGACAGCCACAATTCTATTTTGTTGCTGCTGCGGCTTATCTTTTGCCCATCAATGGGGGAGAAAATGTATTTGCACACTGGAAAAATAACCGCAAATAATTTGTTGCTCAATATATATTTTAATTTATCGTTGGGCAGTTAATTATGAATTTAAATACCACTCAAATAAATCCGTTTATAATAAATGAATATATTTTAATCTTAATATGTTAATATGTATTTAATATATTAGCGAAATATTTTTCTTACTGCACACTTGGTAAATGTATGTATGTACTATGTCTTGTCTCTTTTGATACAAACGATGACATGTGAGATTTGCGCGGCTCGGTCAAACAAAAAATTGGCGATTGACCTTTGACCCCGAGTTTTGCGCGCATACTTCGAGATGGGCTTTTTATTGTTGTGAATTCATTAGCTCGCTTATTAGTTAATTGCGTTTGATGCTCGAAAACATATAAAAAGCCCCCCGATAACCAACCAACGATCTGTTGTCATGTGATCGAAAAAGCGACGACGAGCGAGCTTATTAAACCAGTTATGGATGCAGTTGTGTGTGCGGGTGTTTTACAACAACAACAATAATAGCAACAACAGTATAAACTGGGGGACTTGGATCACGTGCGGTTTTGTCTGCCCGTTATAGGCTATGCTAATGACTTGACACAGACTCACAGATACACACGAACACCAAGAGAAGTGTGCCCACTGTCTGTCAGAAGCTTTGTCATTTCAATTTGCAAAACACCAAATGAGAAGTGTAAATGTGAGTACAATCACTGTGACAAGATATTCGCAGATACACATTTTAAACACGAATTGGTTCCACGTAATTTACCTTAGAATTCAAGCATTTGTTCTGCTGACGATATTAGTCAGTTATTTGCATTCACTGAAATTCGAAAGGGTTTGTTAGATGATGTGTTATGGGATCAGAAAGTGCCGCATCAGGTACCTTTTTGGCAAAACTTCGAAAATTCTGACATGAACAGAGGATATAATATCGACCATCGGAAAATGAAAATTTCTGAATAAAGTTTTATCGAGGATGCGATTACAAACATTTAAAGGTATGCTACTTTGGAATCGGACTGAAATTGGCAACATTATGGGTTGTGAACCTCGAGAATTAGTCTCCTGTCGGCAAAACACCGGAAAGCTTGGAAAAATTTTAGAGAACAGAAAATCGACTTGAACGAAAATGAAAAATATAAACCCTTTTGGCAAGCCAACTTCCGACTGTAGTCATAATACCCCCTGCAAAGGTGTAAAATTAAGAGTTCCATCATTTAATTTCTGACTCTATTTAAAATACCATAAAAAATCTGGCCACCTCACTTAATTCGATTATTGTGATATTTAATTTGTCACTATATACATTGCTATATTTGTATATTGTCACAACTTCAACCGCATTCAGTTTTTTGTTGACACATTTCGGTTTACCCTACCAATTGTTCGCTCATTAATCGCTCTAACCAAACATTAACTACATTATTGAGTTTTCGAAGGGAGAATTGCATTTTAATTTGATTTCTGCCGCTTGATTTCCAATTAAAATTTCAACAAACAACAAATCGGAAAAAAATTCAAATGCCAAGTGAAGCGTGACTGCTGGAACTCATTGTTTATTTAAACGTATTTGTTGACAAATTAATATGCAGACAACATGAGCTAATTAGAATTTCTAGTTCAAATAACCCGAGCAATCGTTTGGGCGGTCTTGCCGCAAACGATATATGGAAATGGGATAAATATGTATATAGAAAACAAATATACTTCAAACGACAGGGAAGCAATTAGATTGACGGGGTATTTTAATTAAATTTAAATGAAATTATAATGCTCTCCATTTAATGATGAAAATTATTATTTTATGTTGCTACTGGAAAAACCTACTGCAAGTCTTTCTAGTTGAGTTTCCAACAAATATTAAAAAGTGTTTACTATTTGCTTTTCACTATTCTAGTGCTTTAATTCCTTGCTTTTGGTAATTACGATTTCAAGCAAACATGCAAAACTTTTAATTGCCCAAAGAAAAAGTCAACAAGAAGTAATTAAATAGAATTGGAGCAAAACCTTGCGCGTCATTATCTCCATGTTATCTGAGGTAAATAGCTACAGGCACTGTGGGGATTATCAGAGATTCAAATGATAAATGCCAAATGAGTTACATCCCTAACCACTAGACAAATCCCCACCTGACAACCCGGCAATTATCTGGCATTCAGATGTTTTCCCTCAACGGTAATCGAAGTGTCAAATCAGACGATTGGGAAAATTGCACTTTACTGTGAACATCCAACATGCAAGCTGATAAACTGCGAGCTAGTCGATGTTCAAATGCACATAAACCGTTTTATGAGGTCATAATTTCAGTATAGAAATAAGAAATAAACGTATAAATAACTAAGCAACTAAGAGATGCAACAAGTTAAATAATTATTATTCAATTACCAACTTGCTTGGAAAATGAATAGTTTGACAACTGTATTCGATTGGAGATCAATCAATTTGCAACGTTTTTAATGAAGAACTAAGGAATTTATTATAGAAATTTAAAAACTCCGGAGGAGCCCTCTTTCTTTTCATGTTAAAAACATTTCGATAAGTATAATATATAATTGTACTCAACGATTACCGAATATTATTAGGTAAAAGTTGCCAATCTACAAACGTCCCAGACTTTATGACAAATTCGCCCGGCAATCAATGAACCGTTCGTAAATTTCCTCGAGATTCAAGCAATCATTCAATCACACTCAGCTATAGAACTTTCCTATCGCCCCAATCTGAAGGAGCCCACTGTACCGCCATTAAAACCGAGATAGATATAGATATAGATAAAGACACAGATTCTTATCGGGCAGCTCACCTTTGTGTTGAAAGGTTCCGTCGGCTATTCCGGCGACTTACAGCGCCCAAAAGGACTGCAACTGCTGTCCGGCCTAATTCACACCATAAATAATTAACACTTAACTACCGATTTATGTGTCTATCTTGTACACATAATTTCATTGAACACATAATTTCATTCGCATATTTTTATTATTCGGAAAACGGACAAGCCACGATTTCTGGACAGAAAGAGCACTTGGCGATGGCACTTGTTGATTTCTACAAGTCGTATTTGAACGCTAAACTATCATATAAAAAGTTAAAAAATAAAAAATATTACTAATGTCAATGAAATAAAAAGCATTTTAGCGCATTCATTGCACCCTACAAGAAATTTGTATAATTTGAACATAAATTGAAGTCAAATGTCAGAGATTGTTTACAGTTTAATATATTTTTATTACGGATAGATATTGGACCCAGAGGAAAAGAAATTTGACGTAAATTTGATTCTGATTCTGATTTGTAAGAACAAGTTTGAAATTATGGCAATTCCGTTGCCCCATATTGCCAACTCTAAAAGCAGATAAGTTATTTTGTTGGTTGATACCTAAGAGAAGGTAAAACAAATTTAGTCCTCACCGAGCACATAACGCTTGTAGGCTTTAGTGAGCTGTTCGGTAAAGAAGTCTGCAAACACAATGTTCAGACCTCTACGTAACAGGTAGGGTGTGAAGCCCTTCCACAGAGCAAAAATACCCTCGTTCTTGGACACCTTCATCAGGACATCGAAGATGCCCTTGTACTCGCCCGTCTTCTGCTGCTGGATTCTCGTTTTGGCCATATCGAGGAGCATTGAGGCCATGGTGGTCAACACGCTGGTCAACATCGCGGCCGAAATCTGGAGCGACAGACCAGAGAAGTATTCGGGTCTTAATCCCTTTAACTGGGAGTAGGAACCGAATTGCAACATGTTGACCACCATGGAACGCCCCACGGTGGGCATGCAACCTCGCCAGAGGGCGAGCACTCCTTCATCCTTATGTATTAGTTACGTTATTTTGTCGGTTGATACCTATGAGTCGTCACCGAGCACATGACGTTGGTAGATTCGTTTGAGGCGATAGTAAATTAATATTAAGAGCACGTTGTGTGGACCTTTACGAGCAAGGTAGGGTGTGAAGCCCCTCCACAGAGCAAAAACACCCTCGTTCTTGGACATCTTCATCAGGACATCGAAGGTGCCCTTGTACTCGGCCGTTTTCTGCTGCTGGATTAGCGTTTTGGCCATATCGAGGGGCATTACAACCATGGAGAACATCAGGGCGATTATCAGCTTGACCGAAAGGTAGGCCGGCAGACCAAAACAGTGGTAATTGCTGCAAAAGTCTGTTAGCGGGTAGTAGGAAGCGTAATGCACCACACCGAACAGCATGGCACGACCCATAGTGGGGATGCATCCTCGCCAGAGGGCGAGCACTCCCTCTTCCTTTGCGATCCTAGCAAAAGCATCAACTAAATTTTTGTAGTTGCGCCTCTCCTCCGGCGGCAACCGATTATCGGACATCATTCGGATCATGGCCACCTCCGCCGGGGTTGCAATCAAGGCTCCAATACCTGCCCCTAAAATGCAAATTCCCATCCTTAAATAAAAAGGCGCACGACGGTTGTACAGCTTGCGGTGATAGAGGCACCCCCAATCGAAAAATCCTTCTCGAATCGTCGTGTACGTCATCTGTCGTATCAATCCGGCACTCAGTCCTTTGTACAAGGCCCGGATGCCTTCGTTTTTGACCACCTTCACCAGTAAATCCAGGGAGCTCTTGAACTCGCCCTTGGTGGCCTGCTGCATTCGGACCTTGACCAAGTCCACCGGATGCAAAACGAAGGCTGCCATCGTTGCGGACACGCCAAAGTTGATGGAATGCACATAGCGCGGCATGTGCTTCTTATTAACATTGAGAGGCATAGCGGAAATACGCACCAAAAGAAAAGGCCAAAAAAAAGAATAATTTTTGAAACAGATAAACAGCCAAAACGAAATTTTTGATAGATAATGACGCTATGACAAAAAAATCTGGGTGGTGGGGTGTAAGCCTGCTTTCATTGGAAATTCCTTTGCGTAATAATTGCATTCCCTAACCCCATATTGCCAAGTTTAAAAGCACTCCTCGCCAGAGTGCGAGCACTCCCTCATCCTTTACGATCCTAGCAAAAGCATCGTCATAATTTGAGTACAAATGCAACACGTTAGATGTTTATTATTTAGTTACCAACTTGCTTTAAAAATTAATCATTTGATACCTGTATTAGCTAGGAGATCAATCAATTTGCAATGTTTTTAAAGAAGAGCTCAAGAATTTTGCAACTCCGGATGGGCCCCTCTTAAATTTTTTCAATATATCATTGATTACCGAATATTATTAGGTAAAAGTTCCCAATCTATAAACGGCCCAGACTTTATGACAAATTCGCCCGACAATCAATGAACCGTTCGTAAACTTCATCGAGATTCAAGCAATCAATCAATCACACTCAGCGATAGAACTTTCCTATCGCCCCAATCTGGAGGAGTGCCCACTGTGCCGCCATAAAACCGAGATAGATATAGATATAGATACAGATACAGATTCTTATCGGGCAGCTCACCTTTGTGTTGATAGGTTCCGTCGGCTATTCCGGCGATTTACAGCGCCCAAAAGGATTGCAACTGCTGTCCGGCCCAATTCACACCATAAATATAATAATTATCACTTAATTACCGATTTATGTGTCTATCTTGTAAGGTAGCGCACACATAATTTCATTTGCATATTTTTATTATTCGGGCAACGGACAAGCCACGATTTCTGGACACAAAGAGCACTTGGCGATGGCACTTGTACCGAGTTGATCTCTACAAGTCGTATTTGGACGCTAAATTAACACTTCCGCGGCATGAACTCAACGGTTGATTCATCCCAAGTGAGAGATTTCCTCCCCAGATCTCCGGCGGCAAACTTAAGTGGCTTTAATTGAGAGACGCCGCCGGCTTTGCTTTGCTTTGCTTTGCTCAGCTGCCTGCCAGAAGTCGCTGAGGAATCTCGATCCGCACTCCCGATCCGCTGACTATCCAACGACTATCCACCGAAACCGCTCGCGTACCGCTCGATCGCAACGTAGGAACGCAACTGACTGGGGAAGATTACCGAACCGGCTGATCGGGCGACTGATAAGCGCCGCAGAGCCCCACGGAAAACAAAGCCAGCTGATCGTTGGAGCGGGACGGATGGATCCAGTTGCGGATCGCTTATAGCATGCGATAAAAAATATGGATCGTGCAAATTAGGAGCTTCTATACGTACAAAAAAGTTCATTTCAATAGATTAGGTGTTCTATCCAGAAACTAAGCACATGTTTAAAAGTTTTAATATTAATATATAATTTTATTATTATTATTATATTATAAAATATAAAGAGTTAAGAAATAAAACAGATATCTAATGTCCATGAAATAAAAACCCTTTTATCGCATTCATAGCACCCTATAAATAATGTGTATGATTTGAACAAAATTTGAGGTCAAAATGTCAGAGTTTGTTTGCAGTTTAATTTATTTTTTATTACGGATATACATTGAACCCAGAGAAAAAGAAATTTGTACAAAGTCGTAAATTTGATTCTCGTTGTAAGAACAAGTTTGGAATTATTGCAATGTGGAGTCGTCACCGGGCACATAACGCTTGTAGGCTTTAGTGAGCTGTTCGATAAACACAATGTGCAGACTTCTACGACACAGGTCGGGTGTGTAGCCCTTCCACAGAGCAAAAATACTCTCGTTCTTGGACAACTTCATCAGGACATCGAAGATTTGCTGCATTTGGGTCTTGACCAAGTCCAGCGGATGGAAAACGAGGGCTGCCATCGTTGCGGATACGCCCCAGTTGATGGGATGCACATAGCGCGGCACCCCCTTCTTATTAACATTAAAACAGACAAACAGCCAAAACGAATTTTTTGATAGGTTATGGGTTTTAATAGGTTAACAATGACGCTATGACAAAAAAGTTCTGGGTGGTGGGGTGTATGCCTGTTTTAATTGGATATTCCTTTGTGTAAAAATTGCAAATTGCAATTCCCATATTGCCAACTGTAAAAGCAGATAAGTTTTTGTCGGTTGATACTAAGAGAAGTCAAGAGGTGTCTGACAATTTTTATAAAAGATAATGAGTAAAACCAATTTAGATGGTAGACTCGGAGTCGTCACCGAGCACAAAACGCTTGTAGGCTTTGGTGAGCTGTTCGAGAAATATAAACGAAAACACGGTGTGCGGACCTATACGACACAGGTAGGGTGTGAAGCCCTTCCACAGAGCAAAAATACCCTCGCTCTTGGACACCTTCATCAGGACATCGAAGGTGCCCTTGTACTCGCCGGTTTTCTGCTGCTGGATTCGCGTTTTGGCCATATCGAGGGGCATTGAGGCCATGGTGGTCAAGAGGCCGGACAACATGGCGGCCGAAATGTGGAGCGGCAGACCTGAGAAGTACTCGGAGAATAAGGTCTTTAGCTGGGAGTAGGAAGCCAGTTGCACCATGTTGACCACCATAGCACGACCCACGGTGGGCATGCATCCTCGCCAGAGGGCGAGCACTCCCTCATCCTTTACGATCCTCGCAAAAGCATCGCCTACATTTTTGTAGTTGCGCCTCTCCTCCGGCGGCAACCGATTATCGGACATCATTCGGATCAGGGCCACCTCCGCCGGGTTTCCGAACACGGCTCCAAAGGCTCCGGCCAAAATTCCCATTCCCATGCTGGCCAAAACAGTCGGAGGAGCGTTGTACTGCTTGCGGTAATACTGGTTCTCCATCTGGTAGAATCCCATTCGAGCCGTTGTGTACGTCGCCTGTCGCATCAATCCGGCACTCAATCCATTGTACAAGGCCAGGATGCCTTCGTTTTTGAACACCTTCGCCAGACAGTCCAGGGAGCTCTTGTACTCGCCCGTGGTGGCCGAGAGCTGCATTCGGGTCTTGACCAGGTCCAGCGGCTGCACAATGCAGGTGGCCATCATTCCGGCCAACCCGCCATTGACGTACATCATATAGCCCGGAATGGGCTTCTTGTCAACATAGAAAGTCATAGTGGAAATGCGCCCCAAAACGATAAGCCAAAAAAAAAAAGAATAATTTCTGAAACAGACACACAGCCCAAACAAATTTTTTTATAGGTTATAAATTTTTATAGGTTATCACTGACGCTTTGACGAAAAAGGATCTGGGTGGAAAGGTGTAAGCCTACTTTGATTGGATATTTTTATTGTATAATTTCCAGATATTTTCAACCACCGATACATTTAGTTCTGTGTATTATACAATTGTTTATTTAGACTGCCGAAATCAATTTCGTATTCAGTTAAATGGTTTTTTTTTACACAAGATAAGAATAATTGTTTTACAGAACTACAGAACTACTACTTCTGCTTCCCGGACAATTTGAAACTGGCTGCGGTGAAAAACTATGCTAGGATACTAAGAAGTCGTTGAATCCGATGCTGAATCTTCGAGCACGTGCTTCGTGTAGGCCTTGTTCATTTGCTCCAGGAAGACGAATGAGAAGACCGTGTGCGGACCCATTCGAATAAGGTAGGGAGTGAAACCCTTCCACATGGCGAAAGCTCCCTCGTTCTTCAGCACCTTTTTCAGGACATCGATGGTGCCACTGTACTCCGGCTTGCCATCGATCACTCTCATCTGCTGGATGCGCGTCTTGGCCATGTCCAGTGGCATCGAGGCCAGACTGGTCAGCAAACTGGAAATCGTGGCGGCACTTAGGTGGAGCGGTACACCCTCATTGAGGAATTCACGGAACTGGTTCTTTATCATGGAGTAGGAGGATAGTTGAATCATATTAACCACCATTGCTCGACCCACAGTGGGCAGACATCCTCGCCAGAGGGCGAGCACTCCCTCATCCTTCACGATCCTGGCAAAGGCATCGCCCACATTCTTGTAGTTACGCCTGTCCTCCGGCATCAGGCGATTGTCGGCCATCATTCGAACCAAAGCCACCTCCGCCGGATTGCCAAAGAAGGCTCCAAAGGCACCAGCCACAATGCCCATGGTCATGGCGGCCACCAAGGAAGGATCACTCTCGTAGTTCTTGCGATACCAGTCCAATTCCATTTGGAAAACTCCCATTCGGGCAGTCGAGTAGGTGGCTTGCTTCACCAGACCAGCACTCAATCCATTGTAAAGGGACAGCATGCCCTCGTTCTTGAAAATCTTCGAAAGGACTTCATAGGAGCTCTTATACTCGCGAGTGCCCAAAGTCCCAGATATCTGCATTCGGGTTTTGAGGAGATCCAATGGCTGGACGATACAAGTGGCCAGCATTCCGGAAGTTCCGCCCATCACGTATTTCATGTAGGTGGGCACCGTCTTCTTCTCCACTCCAAAAACGAGAGCCATGTTGGAAAGGAAATATATATATTGTTAAAAAGAGTTATTTAAGTATTGGGAGTGTATGGTTTCAAGTGACCCAGTTGTGTATTCTTTATGTCAGTTTGTCTACTCTTCTATCCAAGCCTTCTCTGTTAAAACCATTCATATAATGATAACTCATGTAATGGCACACATATATTTTTTAAATCCTAAATGAAACCCACAAGATTATTGAACAATAAGTATCATTTGGTTGCCTTGTGGATTTGGGTCGCCGTGGCATTGATTTTAATTGTGGCAGTTAACAGGCCAACACCTCCGGCCAATTAACGGACCTCTATAATTTTCCTCACATGCCAGATAATTGTGCCGCTTTTGGGCCACCCACAAATTAACGACAGCCTGGCAAGCGGCTTATTATCTGCACATGTCTCGTTGCCAATCCAACCCTTTGCCTTCTCGAACCGAACACCCTTTTCGCCATTAGATGAGTACACACAAAATCGTTTGGCATCGTTGGAAATGCAATTAGAGAGCGACTCAAACCGAAAGAACACTTTGGATGGAGGCACCGAAGCCCCCAATTAGACAAGCCGAAATTGTTATGTCAGGACAGGGCAAAAACCGAACCGAATTTCATGTACTCGCAAATGGCGTATCGACAACTCATTGCGGGCTAATTAGGAACTCATGCGGTTGTAAAGAACAACAAGTATCGCAAGGGAAAAACGGAAAACGGAAAAGCGATTGGTGGTGATTTCTTTCCCAGCGAGAAAACGAAAAAGTAGCATGCGATATCGCAATTAGCTTGTATTTACCCGCCGAAAAGTATGCAGAAGAATCTTCTATTTGGCAGTTACAAAAAAGTCCGCTAATTGGATGACGGCGCAACTACAGTGATACCTCCAATTAAAGTATTAATTCAAATTTACCGAAATAATATAACAAAGTTAAAAATGTGGTGATTGATATACATGACTGTACACATTATTTTATTTGATGACTACTTATGCTTCTATTTTGTATATCTAATTGGTTTTGCGATAAAAAAAAAAACTTCTGCTCATTGAGTGTTGAGAAAACATATTGAAAAGACATTCGGCAAATTAGGATAAACACACAGAGAACCCCCTAAAACTTAAGACATGCTTGTGTTAACTTGGCTAACGATGCAAATGTTGTTATCAAGCAGTTTACAACATAAATACTCTAATTATTTATGTGCATAAGTAAAAGTGGGGCAACAGTCTGCAGCAAAAGCAACAATAACAATGGCAACAATGCAATCAAACAATCAGAGACAAGCTCGCTGAACTGAAATGCCAATTGTGAAAATTGTAAATAAATATTTTAACAGGCGATGGCAACAACAAGAAGTCGGGAAACTACAATAAATCAGATCATATCGGCGGCCGACTGCTGCGGTTTCAGTTTGTGGCATATACATACATAACCATATAGCTATATGCCAGATCTAGCGGCAGAGCAGCCCTACAAGCGTGGAAGGCATGGCGCAGGGAAAACTGAAAACTGCGAATAGCTAAAGGAAAATCGCAAAAAGCGAAGAGCGAATAGCGAATAGCGCGCAACAATAACAATAAGGGGAACGACTCAACGAACGACAACGATGACAATGCTGATAATAGCAAGGGGAGAAGTGAGGGGAGATGAGGGGGAGAAGGGGGGAGAAGCGGTCTGCTATCCAAAAGAATCGCCTGAAAACCACAGAAATTTACGCTCAAGCGAACCGAGCTGAACCGAACTAAGTTGAGGTGAAGCTGCTGCTAAAAGCAAAATGACAATAACAGCTGCAATTCCAGAGGGCAGCGGGGAGATGGCCCTCTGTGGGACCCGCATCCAATGGCAAAAAACTAACTACGACACGGAAAAAAATTGAAAATTATAATGCCTTCAGCAGGGGTATAAAAAGATTGAGAAAAGTGCTAAAAATAACACATATTGCCTTACAATAAATTATTACATTTTAACACTTATATGCGGTAAACGAAAATCACCTCAAGTTGTTAGCTACTTAAATAAACAACCTTTATTTGTTTGATGAACACAATCAGTCATCGTGTTGTATACTTAATATTTGCTCCGATTTGCTTTCTTTACCATTATAGGTTATATTTATTATTTTTATTAGTTCATGCAGCTCATCCAATAGCTAATAATTCTTAAACAGAACAGAATTTCCTATAATCATTTAATTAAGTGCTTTATTCTTTCCTCAGTGTACGAAAAACAAGGCATTAAGTAGCGAACCGTTAAGAAGTCATTCGAAGTTGGGTAGACCAAAAAACCTGAAGCCGCACTAAACCGCCCTGCGAGTGAGTGAGCCAGCAATAGGCGGTAATTTCTAGAGTAAACAGAGCGAATTCAGAGCTAAGCCCCAAGAAAAAACTTCGAGTGAGAGCAGTGAGAGCTCCGATCGTAATTGCGCTTGGCTAGAGAGTAAAAGTCTTCGCGGAAACGAGAGCGGCGAATAGCGAAAGTTAAAGCCGAGCTGGAGAGCAAAAGATTAACCGATCTAAAAGATCAACAAATAATGCCCGAAAAACTCAATTCTTCCCGGGAAGTGTGTCATCAAAAAATCGATCATTTGGCGTCTCTTTCGCTCCCTCACAAGTTCAACGCACAATGCAAAATACAGTTATTGTTGGACAATAAATCAATGGCAACAGCAAACTACAGATTCTAAGCCAACAAAAAAAAAAAAAACAGAAAAAGTCGAGGAAAAGCAAAAGACTCAGGCAACGAACTTGCGATCTTCGGAGACGAAGATCTTAGGCTCTCTTTTTAGAGACAGAGAGAGAAAAGTCGGCTTGCTCGATTTTCGAACTCAGAGCGGTGGGCTTTTCGAACTTCAAGCTGTCCAGCAGCTGAAACACTCTCTCACTCGCACTTATTGCAGGTATTGTTAACGGACTGTAACAGCCGACGATAATACCCTATAACTTTTCTACCATGATCCAAGCTCCAAACTTTTGGTCATTCGTCAGTGAACCGTCGTGCAGCTCGAAACGCGACGCGATCTTTTGGATAGATTTTCCAAAAAATATATAAACACGATTCTTCTTCGCCGAAGAACGAACGTTTTGTGTGTGTTTTGTGTGAGTGTGTGTGTGCGCGGTGTGCGTGTTACCATTTGCATTTTGGCTTTTTAGCTTTTCAGTCTTAACTCGCTTTTCGTTCCATTTCGCCGCGTTGCATTTGGCCAGCGATTGCATTTCTCGGTTTCGTTTTTGGATCGGCTTTCGTTATTTTTGGTTGGGGGCCTTAAAATAGCCTTTTGCCGTAATTACTGGGCTGGTCGCAAGAAAACGTGTTTGTGTCTAAACTACAGTTACAACCAGAGCAGCAGCTGCAGCTGCATTTCACTCAAAAGTGTTTGCCGAAAAATAAAAGAGAAATAATAAAAGAAAAGTCGAGTGCTCCGTGAGGAGAAAGAAAACGTCACTCGGTGTGTGCGTTCTTCTTCTATTTGTTCGCCAGTTAACATTGTGCTCATAATTTATTGTACCCAGCGATATGCAAATAGAAAGCAACAAATTTGTACAGCAAGTGGAATATTTCAACGTTTAATTTGGGGCCCCAACAAAACCAAAAGGTAAGGCAAATGCATTCTAACAAACGAGAAAGAGAAATAATACATTCGAACTATAGATAATATCGCCGGGGGTATAAAGCTAATGAGGCAAATTGTGAAAACGTCAGAAGAACTGCTCTGAACTTGATTTGGTTAATATATTCATTAGTATACATTTCTCCCGCTGACGATTTGCATATCAGTCGGTGTCACAGGTTCCCAACTTCTGTTTTGGTTGCCGAAGAAAGCTCAGGTTAGATCATCGCAGATCACGTTTCTACCCCCCCATCCTCGGAATAGATCGATGTTCCTTCTTTTGCGAACCCCTAAATAACACTTGCTGCACGATTGAACTTTAAACCGCATTCTTGGCCCGTCGTCTGCCTGGTGGTTTTCTCGGCTCTCCGACTCGGACGCATCTATCACAGATCGGTGAGTGGTGGCCAATTTTCAATGGATCGGATCGGAGCCGCTTCGTGGGAACTCTTGACTCTTGAGCCCGAGTTCGGGCCTGGCATTTCGCGGCACACATTTTAGCCCTGGCTAGCTAGCAAAAACAGAGCCAAAAAACAGGCTTACAGAACAGGAATTTCCACTCCTACAACAAATGCGCCGACAATTGACATTTTTGTGTAATTGCCAGTTTTATTTCAGTGATTTTTGTTTCGACTTTTGTAGGATTATTGGTTTTTAATCACGAATTCCTGGGGCTTAATTTGATTACGATTTAAAACCTACCAACAAAAAGCTGAGAGCTCGAAAAATAAAATGGAGCCTGAAACCGAGTAATTTTTATAATTAATCTTTGAAGATTTTGTAATTTTCCAATAACACAAGAAGGTTTTCATAATTTTCAAAATTTCATTTATTTCTCTAAATATTTTTGTTCTTTTACTTATGTGTATAGTATCATGTTCTATGATTTTTAATCGTCAACAATTAAGGTAAAATGTTGTGCTAAACTAGTGAATTTAAAATTGCAATAGAATAGGCTGGACTCAGACAAAGATCTCTGGCCCGAAGATGTCCATCTTGGAGGGTCCGCCCGTGGAGGATCGCGGTTTGGGGGGAGTGCTCGGCGGCTTCACACTGACAGTGGAGCCAGTGGATGTGGTGTTGGCACTTATCTCGGTGTTGCTGGCGGAGGAGGACCGCTTGCGTCGCATGTTCCTAAGCTGATCGCGCAGCTGCTCCTTGTAGACGAGCTCCCTCTTGCAGGCCTTCAGGTCCTCCATGCTGCAGTGCTTCATGTGGCGGATGGTGCGGTTTACCAGGCCATCGATTATGTGGATCTTGGTGCGGGACAGCCGCGTGGGTTCCGCATGACGGCGGGTCAGCTCGCTCTGGTACTGGAAAAGCAGATAGCCCACGCTCGGACGAGCTCCGCGTCGGTGGTTGACGGTATTACGTTGGCTTTCCATTTCAGATGTATATACTCGCAAAGGTATATCTCTTCTTGGTTAATATTATTATTGTCTGAAATCGGTGACGCAGAGAGCTGTGACTGCTTGGCAGCTTGAGCTGTGAATGATGTCCTGTTGTGCTTTACCAGGATTATTTATATCTAGGGCGCTTAGCTACCTGTTGACCCACCGACTGAATCCGCTGACCTGCTGACTTGTGCACGCCGCGTAATTACCTGAAGTGCCTCGGTAAAACCAGATCCGTTTCTCCGTTTCCTTTATATTTTTTTTGACCCCTTGTAAATGTTTGACATCTCAGGCCAAAGTAACTAAACCTCCCACACACGTGTGGGTGGCACTCGGCTTTGGGTCGTGAGTTCGTTACGCGGCATTTGCGAAAGTTGAGAATGTTTATGGCTGACCTTTTGGCTAAAGATACGTCTAAGCTAGCCGCTGAATAAGTATGGGGATAAGGGAAAGATTACGCCATGACTAAGTGTCTGCGGATTGCGTTCAATCGTTTTGAGCCATGATTAACTAGCGCCAACACTTTCCGATGGAAATTTTGTCAATGAATCGCTATCTTGGAAAATGTTCTATTTTCTGAATGAATTAATAACAAATATTTAAAAAATATATAATTCAAATATAATTTTATTTTATTAAACGTATTAAATTAAACATTTTTATCAGCACTCAAAACATTTACAAATAATCTTACAATGACCAATCTTCAACTTTAAAGCAATTCGAAATTTTATTGTTTTCTTCGCCCCAAACTTTTAAGAATAACACACAACTTGAACCATTCCTCAAGAAAAGTTTGTGTTTCGGTTCAAGCCCACTGCAACAAAATAAATTCATTCTCAACTCCCTGCAAATGAAAAACATTTATATTTAATGAGTTGCCATGAAGTGATAAATATAATCCCAAAGTGGCACTCGGCCACTCGTCCTCCTGCCATTTTTTGTGCCACAACCCACGGCTGAAGGACTGCGTGTTAAATATTTATTTATGAACGAATGTCTGCGACCTTGGCTTGACCCCCCGCCATTATAGCGATTTACTGTGGGTTGGTTAGATGATTTTAAAAATGCTTTTCATGTAATTGTAATTTCACTTAGCGTAATTGACACGAGTCCCCCGCTCTAAAAACGCAACGGAATCAAGTTAATTTCAACTTAATTACGAGCGAAGGAAAGTGAAAACTCCCTTAGCATTGTCTGGGGCTTATCAACGAATTCTTTAAGGGGAAATTTATTGAGCTGCATTAAGCCCGAATAATAATGGTAATAACAATAACAATGACCAGTGAAAGTTGGCTGCTCTGTGTTTTATGGTAATTCTTTGGGGCTAAATAAACGATGATTCAATGCCCATTTGGGTGCGTATATAACGACTACGAGATGATAATGATGATGATGATGATGCAGCAATCATTACGATTGTCTCGTCTGGTTAGGGTACTCTGAAATATATATTCCTCGACACGCACAGACTTGCTGCTTCAGCTTCGGATCCAATCCAAATCCAAATCCATTTCGAAGCGCGGTTCATTGAGCGCGTTGAATTGGAAGCTGTCGGCGAGCTGTCAAGAGCATTTGGTCAAAATGGCTGCTAGCCCGCATGGCCTTTTCAGCCAGCCCCTGGGCCTCCGTTATGACCTTAGTCTACCTACCTGCCTACCTGTTAGCTGGCAAATGAGCAGGAGGAGTAGGAGGTCGAGATCTCGGGTGCCATAAACCGCTGATGCTGCACATTTGCTTAATCCGGCGCGTGGTCTTTCCCAAAGTTCTTAATCCGGTTTCGACATCCTTTTGTTTTCGCTACATTTCGGCTACTAAGTGCAATTATAAAAGGATTATGCCATCCACGGACTGAAGCAACCCTCGACCCGAGCGTTATGAATTACCTGGAAGTAGTTAAGTTGCAAAAAGTCTGCTCTTTCGGGAACTGCAGCTATGCTAATGATGTACATTTACATACGCATCTCTGGGTTCCATGCAAATGCCGCGACACATGTGTAAATTGACGTACTTTACGTTGATGTCACTCAGGTGCTGAGTCAGAAAAACTCTGCTCGTCGGGTTACTCGGAAATGGCTTTGAGTTCTTGCAGAGGTTCTACGCTGGAGGTTCATTGAGGTTCCCCAAGAATTCTCTGGAACGGTGGTCGGTGAAAGGTTTACTCGGGGCTGAATGCAACAAACAAATACAAGTTCCCGGGAATAATACTAAGAATTTATGGGAATGCTCGCCTGAGAATGCGATGGGAAAAAGCTATTACAATGGTCACAAAATATTCCTAAGGTGGGTTCTAAATTAACTTAACAACTTGTTAACACACATATTTCAAGTTTTTCTTTAATATTTAGACTGTAGACTTTATCTTATACCATTTTGTATTTATTTCATACGCACACAAATGGGTTGACTAGAAAAGATTTTTCATAAATAATAAATGCAAGTTTATCTGGCCGAGAATTCCTTAAATCTTTATCCAGAACACTTTGCAACATGTTCATGCAGGATACTCAACTGTATTTCCCTTTTTAATCCTGCAATCACTTTTACTTACCCTTTCCCTGACATTATGTGTAATAATGTCTGGTCAACCGAGCGCAGGCTTAAGATCCAAGTGGGGATTAGGCCGGCTTAGGTAATGAAATATTTTGGCACAAATATTTACAAGGGGAGACAGTCGCACTTGACCCGTTTTGACCTGAACTGACCTGCCGTGCTAGAGGTAATCGCAGACAGGTAGCACAATAAAGGTTCAGTTAGATATATAAGCACCGTCGGCGGGGCAAGAAGATATCACTCTGCGACGAGTAGTCACAGCGAAAAGAACTCTGTACTTTCACCCGGCGAATATTATATCGGCAAACCGAATCATGGAGCTCGAGAAATCGCTGAAGCCCACCGTCACCTACCACCTGTTCTTGTACCGAGTGGAGCTGGCCCGTCGGAATGCCCGGCAGCTGCGGCTTTCCCGCACCAAGATCGAGATCACGGACGAGCTCATCTCCAATACGGTGCGCAACCTGAAGACGTGCAGCATGGACGACCTAAAGGCGGTCAACCGGGAGCTTCTGTTCAAGCGGAAACTGCGGAGCAACGTGTCCAAGCTGAAAAAGGAGGCCAAGCGGCAGCAGCGCGAGGAGAACCAGCCGAAACAGGATTAGTGGCGAATCAATCAGACCGCTTTGATTTATTGTATATAGCTTGTGTAAATAAATACTATTGATAAGAGTTTTGCATCGAAAACGCTTTTGAAACTTGTTCATTTTAATGGTCTAGAGGGGGAGCAAAAAAAAAACTGGTAGCTGATTCAGCTTGGCTTGGCTTAGAGCTTCTCGTTTGCATTGAACCGCGGTTACACTCAGAAAATCAAAACCGTTTTCCTTTAAAAATAGTAATAGAAGATGTATATATACAATTTTATTTCGAAGCAAAGTCCCATAAAAGATTGAAATGCATAAAAGCTATAATGAAAACTTAGTGATGTAATTTCACAACACTTTTGTGTTAGTTGTTTCTTCCTGTGTACAAATTAACGGCACAAGCAAAGTCACTAGAGATCCGCTCGAAAAAAGACCTCTGACAGCGACTGACCCAAACCAGTTGGAAACTTTATGATCGCTGCTTTTGTTTATTTCTTCTCGATTTTTTGCCTTTGCCAACGAACTTAATTAGAAATTGCAAATGCAATTAACAAAAAGCAAACGGCCAAATGCCAATGTTTTAATAAAATTTTAATTCGATATATATACATATGAGCGGCGGTAAAGAAATATACCAAGATTGGCTGACACTGAGCGAACGCGCTGGAAACCAAACAAAACTGGTTCGTTGCATAAATTAACGAAAAGGCAGCGGCAACAAAGTCAAAGAGTTAAGAAGGGGGTGGTGGTGGGGGCGGTGTGGGAGCAGCAGTAAAATGAGAAGAAACAAAAAGTTAGCAACTTGCTAAAAGTCAGCGAAATAAATAAAAATCAGCCAACGTTAACAGACGTTGGTCGAAACAGTTTTGCCTTTGTTTCGGCTTCCTCTGCACCGAGGTCCGCGCTCTAGACAAATTTATTTCGTGACATTGTTCAATTTATGTGTGTGCCCGGCTCCTCGGAGATGTTGTAATAAAACAAGCCCAGTTCATAGATCGCAACAGATGTCGTCGCTCCGAGTTGCTGGCGCCAGCTCTCGAAATAATTGCGGTGATCACTCTTTTTTTAATCCCATAACTCATATGTTTGGGGCTTTACTGAAGATTTTTTATGGCTTAAAAATATTTAGGAGCCACAATAGTTAAATTTTACTGCACACTTATTTATTTTTAAAGCTATAACACCGCAGTTAACACGAATAGAGTATTTTTTAGAAGGATTTAGGTACATAGTTTTCAAATTTTATTGTGTGCCCAAACAAGGTTCCTTTCGCACATATTTAAAATTTATTATAACCCTGTTCTTTTTAAAGTAATAATGTTTATACATTAAGAGCCATAACGAGTTAAAATATTAGCTTTAATTTTACCAAAAACTAGAATAATATTATGCCGAATTGTGTGCTTTATATCATAATTCATCAAATACTCAATTTCAAGCAAATCAAAACCCCATGCCTCTCTCTTTTGATTAGAATTCTCTTTCTCCGCCAATCACAAATTGTTGGCTTCAATAATTCATTGTTTTTGCCGCCGTCACTGCTTTTGGCAACGATTATTGAAGGACAGGCGAGCTTAGAATCACAGGCAGGCGGACAGACAACTTGAGGTTGCTGTTCTACTTGACAAATGGATTTCTGTGGCCTGACCCACGGCGGCAATAGCAACAAAAGCAACGAAATTCGCTGCGGCATAGGAAAATCATCAAATCACGACTTTGAGCTCTTTTGATTGACATGCACAAAAAGGAGCAAAAAGCGAGAGAACAAACATTAACAGCAACAACTACCGCCGCCTGATTGTTCATAATTAAAGCCAGCGGCCCGAGGCTGTTGGCAGTAAAAATCGCGAATTTCGCAATAATTCTTTGGCGTCACCAGAGTCGCCGTCTCGAGGTGACAGAGAACGAATCCAACAGTTTGCTCTAACCACCGAGGAATTATCTTACACACTACGTATATACATATATATACCACATAACCAATACGCCCCGTTAGCCAGAGCGCTTATTAACGCATAATTAGCATATTTAGTGTGGCTCGAAGATTGCATCCCGCCGAGTAATTGCTTCGATACCCTGCCTTAGTTTCGCTCGGATATAAGTGACACGGCATATTTCGACACTGGGAGAAATATAATACAAAAAACATATAAGTGTTTAAAAACATAATTTTAACTTTGTTGACATCTAAAAAAGTTCGCTTATAATACACTTATTGATTTCAATTTATAAACGTTGAAACTATTTTGTATATATAAGGATGCAGCATTTTTTAAAGAATATAAGTTAAGATTATTCTTTTTAAGTATAATTATGCTTTAAAGTAGTTTTACAAATTTCTTTTGAATTTATTAAGGAAACAATTATTTTTTAAAGTGTACTCATTTCAAGTTAAGTCCCATTTAGTGCCGCACTCTGTTACCATTGCCACGAACCAATTGACCAACCCACCAGTCCGTCAGTGCCCCGCACCACTTCCCCTTGCTGCCCCACCATCTTGACCGCTGAGCTTGTACCGTTCACTTTGCGGGCATTTCAGTGGCCAACGCCAAGAGTCGACAATGGCAACAACTACAAGAGCAACTAAGGCAACAATTGTCGCATTTGACATTTAGCTACAATTACTTTTGTTTTAGCCGTCTTTCGTTGCTTATATTTGGCATGACTCGCTCGCCAGGTCTCCCCCTTTTTTGCATTTCCATAGCGAAACTTGTTATAAATTTAAAATATGCACACTCTTTTTCCCCGCCACTTTTGTTTTCAAGGTGTTGCGGTCAATTAAAATGCGACAAAAAATGTTTTTTCCTCGTGCACAGAAAAACAGCTGACATGACCAGAGATTCGCTAGGTTATTTTTAGAAAGTTGATCACGGTTATGGTGAATAAATGGATTATGGTTTTTGATTACTCAATACAGTGCCAATATGAGAAAAATGATTTGGCTGAAATGTAAACGGATTTTCATTTGTGATTGAAAATATTTAAATTATTTTCTGTTAATTAATGTCAATATTTATGTGTATAGAACTTTAATTTTTATGTTTGGAGAATATTTTTTTATGTTCTGGAGTTTAAAATTTGCAATCGCAATTGAAAGCCCGGTTTAAGTTGTCCTTTTCGGGTGTTGGTATTTTCTTTGTTTGCTGCAACTCCATTCTGGCCAAAACAGGCAACCTGATGCCCCTGTGACTTGCATTGTGTCTCGAAGGTGTGGCCGTTGCACTTTTCCACATCCACTGATATTCTGCGGTGGGCGTAATCGGCTGCCCCCAAAACTGGAATCCGAGTTGTCTGCATGGCTTCGAAACCCACTTCTTGGGGCGGCCCCAGTGAGCCTTTTCATAACTTTTGGCATTTACAATATTTAATCATGTTTCGTGAGGACCGTCGACGGGCTGAAATGTCGTTCGAGCGTAACTTATGGATGCTTTGTGGGTCTGCTGGATCTCCATCTGCATCTTTCTCTCAGCAATTTAACCGTTTCCATTTTTTATGCATGTGCATTGCATTTGTGGCTCATTTGCATTTGCGGTTGCTGGCGTCGTCATCCTTGTGCTTGGTGTCTGCCATGCAATTTGCCGCAGAAAAATCCCAAAAAAAAAGAAAAAATTATTTAAAAAAAAATTGAACCGAACGAGTGCCGGGCGCCAAGCATTTGGCAGCATTAAATTTAATTTTATTAAAGAAAAACTTTGCTCTCGTATGCATGTGTGTGGGAATTGCACAAATGACAACCGGCGCAAGTTGATGTTGCTGATGTTGGTGATGCTGTTGCTGTTGTTGGGGTTGCTGCTGCTGCTGCTGCTGCTGTTGTCGCCACATGTTGTTGACGTGCATGTTGCCGCTGTTCGCCTTTTGTTTTATGGTCTGTGCGGGTGTCGTTCAGAACTTCGATAAAGTTTTCCGTTCTCCAACGCGATTGAAATTGTAACAATTACATTTATATACGTATCTCTGCTCGTTTCATGCTCCTTGTGCCTTTTAAACCAATCGGTTCTTCTTGGGTTTCCTGCTTTCAGAATCCCTGTAGCAGCTCTTTGTGTTGCAGTTCAGCATCTTAACCTGTTCGATGTTGCATATTCATTTCGGCAACCAAGGACATCAGCGTCAAGAGTCATCATCATCAGTAAAACAGCAGCTGAAGAGGATTCGTAGAAATACACGTAAAACAAATGAATGTTTATGTTTATTTAAATTGTACAATTCAGAAAGAGACTAGGATTTATATTTGTTGTAATTGTAATTTAATAAATTCTTTTTACAATATATCATTTGTCAGAAAATTAATTAAAAATGCAAAATGAATGCAAATAAAGCATTGACTTATCTCTGTGTATTGACAGAAGAAGAAGCCGCTATATCGAAACGCTTCTCATCATCATTTGCATATGTTACACTTTATTTATTGTTGCGGTTGTTGTGTTTCCCTCTGTTATTCGCGCATTGCATTACAAAGAAAATGGCATTATGGCGGTGGGGTTTTGGGTGTGCAGAGGAGCAGATATAACTCATACGCAATGTTAACCTCGCTCTTTCTTGCTCGCATATTTATAGCAGTTACGTGAGACTTTGTTTATGTGACAATTGCTTTTTGTTTCACAGCTCGGCTTCTGCACACATGCTCGCTTATTCATTTATTTGTGTTTCTCTCTGTTTTGTTATAATTTTTTTTGGGAGTTGTAATTTATGTCATTCGATTGTGCAAGAATTTTGCAAACATTTGCTGTTGGCACCTCAGCGTTCGTCTGATGAATGGAAGCCTTTCAAGTTCTCTGTGGAGTTAATTAATTATGCACTTGAAACAAATAGCAAACAATATGTATAAAACAAATGGTTAAAGAGCCTTATTTTATATTATGACCTGGCTTTCGGATTGATTTATTGATTTTCTACCTTTGATACTCATGCTACAAAGATCTTTTAAATACTTAAAGTGTTTAGCTTCAAGACTGGTTATTCTTTTTTCTTTTTGCATCACCTGGTAATTGAATAGAACTCAGCCCCCTTTTTTTTTTTGCCCAGA